TTATGTATTTCTCTAACACAGTCTTTATTAATAACAGCAGAAGTGTAACACTGTAAAAATTAAAATAACTTGTTTTTTAAAAATTAAGCATACAAGTGTTTTTATTACTCATATAGGCTTCTATATTGATAGTTTTACAACATTCTTATTGAGTTAAGTAATTTTTCAATTAGGTTCTGTATTAAATGAAAAATGTGCTATATGAATGCATAAATTTTTTTTGAAGGTATAAAGATGTGCTAACAATTTTACATGATGTTTCAGTATTTGTTTACTCTGTTCTCATTACTTGCCTGTTATAAAAAAATTTTTATCATTCTACTTTTTTAAACTAGTTAGAAAACAAAATTTGAAAAGAAATTATTTTTTACTGTTAAAATACTAACTATATAAGTTCATAAATGAATAATTAAATATTTTGTTTTATTGAAAATGTTAATATTTTATAACATTTAGTTTTTCCATAAGTTTCACCAGCACTAAATGTATTAAAGCAATTATTTTAAGAAATATTTTTTTACTTAAAAAAAACTTTTTTAAGAAATACACGAAAACAATTAAAAATTTAATGCCCACGCTAAGATTTTAATAGCTAGCTGATTTAATAGCTAGCTGATTTTTTTACTTAATTAAATAGCAGTTTTAAAAAAACTATCATACAAGACTTTAAATCATTTCATTTTTTGTTCTCTCTTTTAAATCAGTTAATAAATAAGTCCTAAATATATCTTTAATTTTGTTTATTAGTAGAATTTATGTATTTCCTCCTTTGTTTCATTATTTAAAGAAGTTTCTCAGTATGTAATTAACTTCTAATATCCTATTAACTGAAAAAATGTCTTATTCTGATTTGATTTCTAAGTTTATTTCACTCAGAAGTACTAAAAAGTATGACAGTTGATTGCCCATTGACCTGATAATCTTAAACAACATCACTATTTTTTATTTAATTTCTTTTAGAATTATTTGAAAAATATTTGATTGAACATTTAGTTTAAACAGCAAAGTGATATGCTGAACTTATTTTTCAAATCAGATCAAGTTCTGAACTTAATACAGTTTTTTTTTATATTTAAGACAATATATCATATATATTTTATATGAATGATAATTAAAAAGTGTTTTGTTACACATTACATGATGCATTATAATTATTTGATGAAAAAGTAAAAAGATAACATGAAAAAATATACTAAAATTAAGTTTTAATACTAATGGTTTAATTATAAATAAAGCATAAATTTAATAATAGTTTATTAATGAGTAAATAATATCAGAGTTCGTAGTCCTGAAATTCTGAATTCCTGATATAAAAAAATTTATTCTCATATTATTTTAGCTTTTAGCTCAGATTTCTAATGTGTCTGTGCTCAGAACATCACATTTTCTACTAATACTCATGCAGTTCATAAAACTATTAGTTTGAATAATCGAAAGATTTGTATTTCCGATATATATATATAATTTTAATTAATAGTTCATACAGAAAATTACTTTTGAATATAAATGCTAAAACACATATATTTACTTTGCTTTCGTTTCAAAATTATTGAAACCTCACTTAAAAGTAAAGAGGTCGGGAATTTAATTGCAGATTTTAAATAAATATTGGTGAAAAAACAATATTAAATAATTGATACTAAATATTTTTAATGAATCAGTACTATTAAAATTTCCTAATTATTGATCTCAAACTTTTACGAATTGCTTATCAATAGAATTGAAAAAATAATTCAAACTTTGTTTCTGGAATTAAAAAAAATGTATATTTAGTTATTTTTTCATTAAAATTTGCTCTTATTGTATTTAGAGCAAATTATACGTTTTTTTAAAAAAAAATTTTTTACAGTAAACTGATAAATGTATAATGTGTCTGCTATTTGGTTATTAATATAATGTCACATTAAATAAAATGAAATATAATGTGAATATTGTTAGTAATTTGCAGGGTTTAAGAAAATCATTAAAAAAAATATCTAATTTAAATTATTTTTTTATTAGATATTTTTTCTACATTTACCATTCAAGACGTCGAATGAATTGTTTTAATAATACTAAACATTACTTTAAAGTATTATTACAGCTACAATGGTTAAAATTTCTAACTAAGAGGGTTATAATTATTTATCACAAAACTAATAATTAAATAAATAGAATCATAGTTATGTTTTTCATGCTCAACTTGCTAATGGATGTTATAGTTTGTTATTCTATTTTTCAATTAGATATCTAAAGCTGATTATATTAGCTTTGGTCAGACTACATTGTTGAAAAAAAATGTTTTAAGTTACCTTGTGTAGAATGAGTCTTGATATTCATAAGCTATTTATCTGAACTGCATTTATATAATCGAAAAATTAAATGTGAATAATTTTAATGTGTTTCTTTGGCATCTAATCTATTTTATAAAATAATAATTTGCTTGCATATCCCTTTCCTCATTTCTTAGTAAATAACCTTATTAATGAAAAAAAAAACACTTGTAAAACATATCCTAAATAATGTTCTTATTAATTATATAGTAGAAATTGTTTTTATACTTATACTAGTTAAATAATCAGTTTATTTAAGTAATTGATTTTTTCCAAATCTGTTTCTTTAATTCAATGCTTTTCTTAAGGGTAATTATTAAAGAGATGTATGACTATAATAATTTATACATGCATATCTCTTTTATTATATCTTGGCGAAATACTATCATTATCACTTAAATCAGACCTTATTTTTTTAAACAAAAGATAATGCAGCTATTAATTAAATTCTATAGCATATTTTTATAATTAAATTAATAATTTCTATGAAAAAAATTCAGCTTGTCTTAATCAATGGCTCTTAAAAAATCAGTAGATTTAAATCAATGATTTTTTTTATATTTTGTTCCTGTAAACATTTAATATATGTATAGTAAAATAAATTGCTTTATTTTTTGCAGGAAAACTGGATTCATTGAAAAGCACAATTTCTGGAATTGGATATACATAAAAATAATTATTGTAATTTAGAATTGATGTATTGATTTTGTTGCATGTAAATAAAATAAAATTCTTTTCTTAAGGTCATATTTTATTTCATGCTTTAAGCATTTTATTGCTATTATAATTCTTGCTTAATTTATTTAAAATTATTAAATTATAAATGTGTTATTTACGAGTGCACTTTTTTTTTTGAAAAAATATTTAAGATATATTTTGTTTATCTAATATTTTAATCAAATTAATGACTTGATAAGTGAGCTTATAATTATAAGATAAATTAGCTTTAGTGTGTAAGTTTCTATCAAGAAAAGCTAGTTGTAGGTTTTAAATATGTAAGCATTATTTTCAAAACTTAAATAACTTATATATTGAGTTGTATTTTGTTTTAGAATAAACATTTGTACTTAATTTCACCTATCTCATAATGTTTAAAAAATTTTAAGCATTCAATTCTAAAAAAAAATTATTTTGCTTTTACTTTAAGGGATTGCGCTTATAATTGATTAAAATGAAATTAAAAAAAAGTCTATTTTATTTTGTAAGAAGATTCATTGGCAGATAATTGATTATAAATTTAACAATTTTTCGCACCATTTTGCTTTTTATACTAGCATTAAAAATTTTGCATGTAATGACAGTTATTGTTTTATTACTGTATAAAAAGTTAAAATACAATAAATTACTATCTCTGATATCAGCAGAGTAAGACAAAACAATTTAAGTATCCTAAATAAGAATTGTTATCAACAACATGCAGTAAAGAGCCTTTGAAATTAAAAGTTATGATAAGTTCCAATAAAAGCAAGTAAGTGACAAAAACAATTGCCGAGACACCTAAAATGAAGGTGTTATACCGGCAAGGACGGCATTAAAGTTTTCTATTCAACCAAGTGTGAGGTAAGTTAAGAGTGGTATATCAGCAAGTAAGGCAAAGAAGTTAGCCTAAGCATCTGAAATAAAGGTGTGTTACCGGCAAGGGCGGCATTAAAACTTTCTATTGAACCGAGTTTGAGGTGAGTTAAGGGTGGTACATCGGCAAATACGGCAAAGAAGTTCGCCTAAGCACCTGAAATAAAGGTGCGAAAACGGCATAGACGTTTTCTAATCAATCGACAGTTAAGGTGGTTTAACGGCAAGCAAGGCAAAGAAGTGTGCCAGTGAACGTATTCAGCTTTTGATAAAAAGGCAAAAAAGACATCATAAAGGTGCAATAAAAGCCTTTATGGAAATTTTCTTTTTATTCTGTGGAGAGAAAAAAATTTCCCGATATTTAACTGGCAAAAATGGCAAAGCAAACCAGAGGCAACAAAGTAGTTCCGGCCCTTTAACGATTGCCAGAACCTTACCTGAAATGCCATGCACTGGCCCTCATTTTGGCCCAGATTTCACTTTATTAACGGAACCGATACGGCGATGAAAAGCCTGCCGTAATGGCATTTTTGGTGAGTTGACATTGTCGTGTGCTTGTTGGGGAGTTTAGTGATTTTCTTGTAAAGGAAGGTATAAAAGCTGAGTGTACTTACACTTACGTGCTAGAACAAAATGGTGTTAGTGAATGCTATCATTTAATTGCCCTAGACAAAATTCAAGCAATGTTAAAATCTAGTTGATTAAATGATACTTTTTGGACTGAAGCCTGACTCAGTCTGATTTAAAAGTCATGTAGTTTTAGAATAACAAATATGCTTATTCTAACCTACAAAAAATTTTAGGTAAGAGCAATACTCATGTGTCATCATTGAAAGGAATAAATTTAATTTTTATTGAATTTGCTCCTATATTTTATAATACAATAATATTTTGTGCCTATAGTCATACTTTTTATATAAAGTTTCTATTTAGTGGATATTAGCACAAAGGCAGGATATTGTATATTTTGATTGCTTGAAATATTTTTTAATGTTGATTGTTAACATAAAAAAACATTGTGTTATTTGAGATCATTTATAGAATAATAGTTTTAATCTATTGTTCCTGTTTTAAGCAATGTTCATTTAACATATTTTATGAATTATTCTCTTTTAGTGGTCCAAAAGCAGCAATTCTAGTTGATGATGATACTGCTGTATCAAAAGTCACTGGGCTGATACCTGGATATTATCAATTTATGTTAACAGTATATGATGAAAAGAATTTACATGCTTCGGCTACTATAAATGTATCTGTAATACAAAGTATGTATTCTAGAATTATAACATTTTATTTTTGTAAAAATTGAATGTGTTTTTTATTAATTTATGAAACTTTTCTTATAACAGGGTTCCCACAATGCTTGAAAAACCTTAAAAGCCTAGATTTTCATTGTTTGGATCTAGCAAATTAAATAATCAGTTGTCTTGAAAAATGCACTTCAATCGTGTGATTACACAAATATTATGCAAAATGATTTTAACGGCACTCAACGCAATGCTTCAGAAAGTCTTGGTTGATAAGTACCAAATATCCAATGTCAAGCCCACCGTATTAACACAGTTCTTAATCATAGTTGCAATGCAAGTTTTTGAATACCAGATATGTTTTTAATCATGCAAGAGTTAGACGTCTTTTTTAACTGCGAGTACTAAGCGGTTTGGGACTTCTTTATAAATGTTACATGAAATGAAAATACTTTACTGATAAAAAAAAATCTATGTTTGATCTGATGGACAGCTTGAGTAAAATCGAGGCTTGGTCATTTTATGAAATATTAGTAAGTACACTAGAACTCATTGCAAAAGAAAAGGGAAATTTGAACCCTAAAATAAAACGAGAAATACGGCATATTATTTACAGAAAAATCATGGCATTTGATTTTTATTTGGCATTATGCTTATGAAAAGTGTAATGGTTAAAGTTAAATTATTGGTTAAAGTTAAATCTTAGAAACATAGCATCTGAATATTATTGATGCAGCTACAATGATTAAAAGCACAATTGACACCTTACAAAGAATAAATAATACAGATTTTGAAAGTATGAATGATTTAATTTCAAGTGCTAAGCAGTTTTCTGAAACTTTTGGAATAGATGCAGAGGCTGATTTTATTAAACACCACCAACTTCACCTGAAACCAAAATAAGTTTACTTAAATAATGGAAATCAAACATCATTAACTTTAGAGACATTTAGCAGATCTGAGTTTAAAATAATTTTAGACATTTTGTTAATTTCCTTAAAAAAAAACCTAGAGAAATGCATCACATCTAGAAAATAATTATATGACTTGATACATCTGCCTTTGATTACAACACTTTTATCTGAGCCAAATTTGAAAGATGTCATGCCACTTTTTCCTCAGCAAAATTCTTTTGTCACTAAAACACAGCTTTAAACAAAATTAGAAGTTCTTTATAATCAGTGTGTTGAAAGAAAAAAAATATCTGATGCAATAAAATTGATAATGTCTGATGTAATCAAATAAAAATATATCAGAAAAATTTAAATGGCTGTTTGCTCTCTGTAAATCGTTTGTGCCATCATTTAACAAACTAAACTCATTTAGCATGAGAAGGCATTTAGCAAACTAAAAATGTTATTTGCACATGACACAAAAAATCACCAGTTAAAAAACTTAAAACTTCTCCCACCTGAAAAGGGCATTGTAGACGATTTTAATGTAAATGACCTTTCCAAGAATTGGGCTGTTTTGAAGAAAAACAAGTAAAAATTCATCTATAATAATATCATCTATAATCTAGAATAAAGCTATAAAAAATAGCATTTCCCTCCACCATATAATTTTAATTCTTCAAATGAAATTGATTTTTGATTTATTGAGAATAAAATATATTTATAAGTTATTTTTTTCATTGTTTTTTTATGCATTTTTTTAAGTGATTACAAGTGGTAAGTTTTAATAGTTTCAAGCCAGATATTTTTTATTATCAATAGTTATATATTGTTTAAAATAAGAAGAAGAAAAAACTAAATATAAATTACGAAAAAATTGAAAAAAACTCAGAGGATTTTTAAAATGACAATTTATTGGAAAAGTATTTGCATTTCGAAGATGAAGAATTTTAAAAATGAAAAAAAGGCTTGCTGTCTGTTTCATTGCCTCTGGTTAGCCATGGAAAAATCTTGAAATTCAGAGAACATAGAATATGATTTATTTGTTTTTTCTTCATTAATATATAATCTGTAAAATGCAGGAAATAAATTGAATCGACCATTAAATTTCATATTAATACAATTATATTTTGGAAAATAAAATGAAACTTTGTGAATGTGGCGCTTATTTAAGTTGCTTATCGAGTATTTTCAAGTTTTTCACACTAACTCATCGAAGACAATTTTCGGCATCCGCAAGGGCAATTTGAATGAAATATTTTTTTACTCTCTATCTTACGTATATTGTTTTAGATTTTCACCCGTAAGCAACAGCATCTTACAATATTTAAAGCAAAAGCGATATAACATATTAAAATTAACTCAATTTAGCAGCAATTACGCAATTCACTGCATGATTATCTTGTCTGTTTAATTTAAGTTGTGTGCACTTAGTAATAGACGAAATCAATTGAATTAAATATATCAATCAATAAAATGAATAATTAACTTACTACTCTAAATATGCAAAAAAATATCCTGGTAAATCAGTAAATGTTCGTACTGAAAATTAAAATTACAAAATGTACAATTATGAAACATATTTACTTAAACTTTCAAATGAAATTATGGAGAGAAAAAATCTTTTCTACATTGTTTTACTTTTTTTTTCAGCTAAATATATATGTTTTCAAACTATTATTTAAATATGAAGTTGATTATGTAAATTTTTCACCACATTTTTAAAAAAGAAAATTCATATATATTAAGAAAAAGTTCATAAACTTTTCATATTTTTCGAAAAAAAATTCGACTTTAAATTATTATATGCCGATATTATTGACCCTTTAAGGCATTAGTTATTGTGTAACCTTAGTATTAAATATATATAAATATTACTTTTTATTATATAATTATTGCTTTTTACTCATTTTTAGCAACAAATTTTAAACAGTAGTCAGCAAAATTTAAATAGTAAAGACAATAGTCTTATAAAGTTAAAAGTCCCATAGTGGTCATTGTCATTGTGCCACAGACATTCAAAACAATTGATGTTGTGGACAGCACACCATATACGGGAAGAATTCTGTGAAAAGAATATTACAGTAGAGAACCAATTATCCGGAACGATCGGGACTATCATCTATTCCGAATAACTGATTTTTCTGGTTTTCTGAATCGCTACAAAAAGCAGTTTTTTTTATTGTCAAACCCAACTAAAAAAAAATTTTTTTTAGAAATAATTTTATAACGAAGAAAAGACGATAAAGTAATACACATAAGTTTAATAAGATAAGAAGGAAAAAAAAATAATGAAATAAAAATATGTACAGGCTTCATATAAAATGAACAGAAAGGGTAAGATGGAAAAAGGGTGGGCTCCATATTCCTCGCCGCTTTCTTCTGCTTCGTTGTTGTCTGCGTCAGGACCCAAAACCATCCACTCCATTTTTTATTTCATTATTAACAAATGAAAGTGGAAAACGAGCATTTTTTCCCCTCTGCATGAGGAAGACAACGTTTGAATTCTGGATGGGAAAATCAATTTCTTTCGAAAATTTCTGAGGAAAAGAAAAACAAAAATTTTTACTTTATTGTTCTTTATTATTCTCAAATGAGAAGAGAAAAATCGTGAGCATTTTCTTCCCCTCCTGTACGCGAGAGAGACATCGTTTAAATATAATTCTAGATGGGGAAAAGATAAGAATCCTTCAAAAATTTCTGGAGAAAAGAAGAAACACAATTTTTTACTTCATTTTTCTCAAATGAGAAGAGAAAAATCGCGAGCGTTTCTTTTCCTATACGCGAAAAAGATATCGTTTGAGTATACTTTCGGATGAAAAAAAAAGAATCTCAAAAATTTCTGGAGAGAAGAAAAACACAATTTTTACTTCAATATTTTTTATTATTCTCAAATCAGAAGAGAAAAATCGCGCACATGTCTTTCCCCTCCTATGCATTAGAAATACATCGTTTGAATATAATTCTGGATGGAAAAAAAATCTTGCAAAAATTTCTGCAGAAAAGAAATTAAAAACTTTGGAACGTTCTGCGACAATGCCGTGATTCTGGCACGTAATTACTATCTTGAAGAGTTTAACTTGGGTTTCAACATGTTGCTAAAACATTAATCGAAATCTGAAGAAAAAGCACATGTAGCACAATCTTATTCCTCATTAAGCTGATTTTATTTCTCCTCCACTCCAGTTAAACATTGGCAAGCCCACACAAAAGCTGACAATAAGAAGAATTTATTTTCTACCATATTCTGCCCCCTCCTCACACCCCATTGAAAATTAATGAATAGAAGAACAGGTGCAGTTGCAATACTTGACCTTGAATCATTATTTCATTGCTGTCACTATATTAAAAGGGAGAATAGCAGAAATGTCAGAACTTTTAAAAAAATTAAAAAAAAGTAGAAAATAGCAGAAAAATAAAGAAGAGGTATAGATATAATAGGAAAATTAGGAGTTCTGCATTACCTGTAGGGAGTATTTTAAGAGATTTCTAAGAATCAAAGAAGACAAATAAAATTATTTGTTTTAACTCTCCTGGACTAAGCAATCAACAGACGTGATGACTCCTATTGTGAAAAGTTCATAGTAATGACTCCAGCTCCTTAAGGGCCAGATGATAAGAAAACAGGTGTTCAATGAGTCACCCCTTCTTCAGCTATGATTGCAAAGAAACCACTATGTAGGGGATGAGGAAGGGAATGATTGATGATATTTAGTACAAGACTCTTACTTACTTTGACAGTGTGGGGAACTAATGATTATTTCTAAAATGATGGTAAAGTAAACATCTTTTGAAAAAGAAAGAAAAATCCTAAAATGTTATGAGGAAAAAAACATTTTTTTAAAAAAAAAAGGATGGGAGAGTTTATGGAATTTTGTTCTGATTTTCAGATCTCCAGATAAGAGGTTCTGTACTGTATTTTTGAAGTATTTAATTTTGCATGGTAAAATTCAAAATTTGAGCAAAATTGATTGACTAGCTCCTGAAAAACTGAATTTTAAATATGTGACATTTTTAGAATTCAACTTCACAAACTTCTTGATTTGCTCAAATTTTGTATTTTGTCATGTTAATTTACATATTTTAAAATAATGTAAAAAATTTCATTTTCTTACGCAGGGCTGATTGTGCTCCGGGAAAAATCCGGATTTCCGGATTTTTCGCTAACTGTGATCCGGAAGTTTCCGGAGATCGAATGTTAAGATGTTTAAAAAAATCATTGATCACAAAGGTTTCCGGAAATCAAATTTTCAAAGGTGGAACTTAAAAACTCAGTTTATTTTATTTGCTTGTAAGGGAGAGCCAGGTACTTTATAAGCTTATAGTCAAGATTAATATTCATTTTTTTTATCAGTAAATAGTTATTATAATCATAAACTCAATGAAGAAAGACTTATTTGTAAATTTCAATTACTTCTCCTAGTCATCATTGGTATGTGTAAATGGTATAGGTATGTGTAAAATTTTGAATATATTTTAAGTAAACTAAGAAGTATTGAGAAAAAGAGAAAAACCTTGTTTAAATTTTTTTTCTAATTTTTCGATTTAAATTTTTTTTTTCTTACTCAAGAAATTTTCCGGAATTTTGACTTGGGCTCACAATTACCCCTGCTTACGATTCCAAATTTTTTCGGCCATTAGGGATTTAATGAATTAAAAATAAATATTTGCTAAAATTTGTTTTTTGCAAGGAATTATCTTTGGGTAAGCAAATTTTATAATTGTGTGCAAAAATGTTTCAAATTGCTTAAAAATATCTTAAGATATAGTGAAATTTGCAAAAAGTGAAATTGACATTAAGGTTTCCAAACTTTGGATCACTCTCCTGACCTATGGGGATCATATTTTCCAGATTGTGGCTACCCCCTATATTTTGGGTATTAGAAACATTAATCTGTTGAGAAAAGGTATGTTTATTCAGAGAAAGTTTGTTTTCGTGTCTGTTTTTTTTTGTAACTTAAAATATCGTCTGCACTAATTAATTAATATACTTGAGATCATCCCCTCAAACTATTATGATGGAATCCTAGAATATGAGGATTCGATCATTAGATCAAAAGTTATTCATGGTGGTCCATTTTTTATTTTGCACGCTGTACAAGCTTATAAAGAATGTTTGTATAGGTTTATATACATATAAACGTGTCTGCCCCTTTGAAAATGGCACTTAAGACAAACAACGCATTGCATCCTAAACTGAAAATTATTATTGCCTTTATCCAACCACTCCCTGTGTAGCAGAGAAGTGGAGACACTTAGTATTCACTCAAGTAAATTTTGAAAAATCTTTGGTATTAATATATTATTAAATTATGTAAATACTGTAACTTCTAGTGATAAACCGATTGCAGATTTGAAATTAGCCACCAGAAAATACCCAACATTTGTTCAAAAATCTCATGCAACAGAGAAATTTGTTTCCTCAGTGTTATTAGTTTTCACAGAAACATTTTCCTGTACATTTCTTATTTTTTCTTCAGTTTTTTTTTATGCAAAATTAAACATTCATCTCAAACAGTAAATGCAATATTTTTTTTCAAAACATGTTTTGCTTCGGCAGTTTTCTGAATAGTGAAATTGAATATTAGCTTATCATAGCTGAGCAATGTAGCATTGAATACAATATGAAGCATTTTGCATAAAATGCATACCGTGATAGAAATTCTAAGACCAAATATTTGGAAACTTAGTTTTAAGGTTGTTTGAATTATATTTTCCTAAGCAAGTAGACATGTGAATTATTGTAAAGTGTAATGAAAAATAGCAGACTCATTTATTTATTTCGTTATTTTTATTAGAGAATAAAAATAACGAAAGATTGATTAGAATTAGATACAGCAACTGTCATACTTATATAATTTTATAAGTACTAACTACAGAATTTGCCCTACTCTTCTGAATCTTCTTTTTTTAAATGAAAAAATAAAATGGAATATTCAAAAAATAAAGTGCAAATCAAGAATGATTAAACAATTATCATTTAACTTAATGAATTTTTCTCTAATAAACCATGTTTGGAATTTAAGTTTATCTCATAATGTGACTTTTTAAGATATAATTTTTGTCAGTAAGAATATTCATATTTAATTTTTATATGAATGTAATAGATATGACTCGAAGGAAAAAAAAGAAAAAATAGAAATAAAAAAAGCCTAACGAATAAAATAAAACTACATTTGGTCACATTTCTTAATGGATAAATGAAATTATCTTCAAAAATGTAAAAAGAGTTAAGATGCTAATTGTTTCATTCGCGTCTCATTTCAAACAGTTCTAAAAACTTTGCTTTTTCAGATTATCGATCAGAATAAATGATTTATATATAATGTTGGGTAAATATTAGGATGCCTAAATTTTTTCATATTGGTGAATGGCTTTAACTAATGTATCATGATTCAGGTCTATCTTTGCTCTTATAGATTTAAAATTTTGGGTTATCTACCCTTTGTAATATTGCTTCTAGATAGAAATGAATCTTTGTCCTATATTGAAAGCCATTCTAGGAGCAATATTAATAATGTTTGTAGCTATAGCTTCCCAACCTTATAAAAGTGTTTGAGCAGGTTAATGGTTCAATGTGCGTAGCAATTCCCAAGAAAATTAAATTATTTCATAAGAGTAACATAAGATTATTTCATAAGTTGTTTAAATCAGACCAAAAAATTATGAAATAGCGAACTGCAAGAATGAGATTAAAAAACTCATATTTGATCCTTTTTCAAACTTTTTTTTCCAGTTCGTATCTGTGCAATTGTTTTAAAAGTATCTAATTAAAATTGATAGACAAAAGGATAACTATTTTTCTAGCTGAAAATTTACCTCCTAGAGCTAATGGTGGTGGAGACAAAACTATTTACCTGCCTTGTGATGTTGTTGTTATGAATGGCACTGCTTCCTCTGATGATTATGGCATTGTCAAATATCAGTGGACTAGAGATGCATCTTCTCTTGCAGCTGGAGTGAGTGAAAATTCATATTTTTATAAGAATATTATTAAAATTGCATTTTATTTATTTAACAAAATTTATTAATATTTTTCTAGAACTTTCCATGCTGAGTTTTGTATTCATTATTGCTTTTCTGAATGTTTCAGCTTAGGGCAAATTCATATGGTCAGGGTATCTGCGCACCTGAAAAGTCATGAATTTCGATATTGAACAAAATTTGTCATGAAATGTCAGGATTTTAACTATTTTTTTAAAAATAATCATGGAAAGTTATGGACTTAGGTCGCCGAAAAATCTAATTTTTAAAATGGAATCCCCCCCCCCCCCCCCCCCCGTTTCATGGTGTTCCAAATATCTGAATTTCTAACAAAATCCCTGCTCACAGTCATATTTTATTAAAATTATTTATTATATTATTATTATATTTTATTAATATTTTTGTTACGGTTTTGCATTTTTTGAGATCATTTTTTCCTCTCTTTTTCTTAAAAGTACATTTTTTCTGGGCATTTATATTATAGCAAAGAATTCTTAAAACTTTTTTTGAATTCTTGATGAATTTTTTTCTTATCTTCACCACATTCTTTGAAAATCCAATGAACTTTGAAAATTAATTTTCAGCAGATTTTCCGAATTAAAAGTTATTGTTAGCATCAGTATTTTTATTCTAGAGTGGCATTATTTTAAAAGTGTTTCTGTTAGACATTTTTATTCAATTCTCGTTTTGTCGTCACTTTTGCTTGAAAATGTGGTAATATGAAGAAAATGAGATTTTTAGTTTTAAGAATTAAGGACAATTTATTTCCTTTTCTTTATAAATCTTTGTTTTTATCGCAGCTGTTATTGAGATGCTGCATTTTTAAAAGTGTTTTTGATTGACAATTTTATGTTTGAGTCATTTTCCCTAAAATTACCTTTTTATTTATTTTTTCTCTTTTCTTTCCCAATTTTTTTTTTGTTGAAAAATTTGGTATTATTAAAAATGATACTTTCAGGTTTAAAGTTTTACTTTGAGAATTAAAAAGTTCTGTTTTTTCTTATTTCTATAAATTATAGTTTTTATTATTGTGGTAGAGTGCGCAAAATAAAAAAGATATCACCTAGAATAACTCTTGTTCTAATGATCGGTTGTTCATGTACTAAGTGTCAATCTCAATGGTCATATTTAAGTATTGACTTTAAATATGTTAATTAATCAGTGCTAACTATTAATTAAGTTATGAAATCAGACACAAAAACGTACTTTCTCTGACGAACATATTTTTTTAACACGCATTGATTCCTGAACCTCTAAGTTGGACAAAATGTTGAAAAAATTGGAACATAAATTGCGAGGCTAGAAAGCTATATAAATTTGACGAAAGTCCCAAAAAACGACCAAGTAATGTCGCCTCCACAAGTGGAGTAAATTAAGATAACCATAAACTATATAATAGATCACCATAAACATAATATAGTTATCCTAATTTGCCCTAGTTAGCAGAGATTTTTTTTTTGGAGTGATAAATAACAGAAATATTCCATTTGTCTTCAATAGCCCCCTCTCTCCGACATATTTATTTCAAATTTTAAGAAATGCACATTTTTTAGTGTATTGAAATTTTTTTAATATTCCTTTCTGTACTTATTTATCTGTTTGAAAATATAGCATATTTGGTTAGCAAAGAAGGTTGTTTATATAATATGAATTTATGTAATGTAATATGATGAAAAGGGGCTATTTTTAAATACTTTCTAGCTAAAAAGATATTTAATTACATATTAAAAGTATCTGATTTGATATTCTGGAAATGAGAGAATTCCACTTTGTGTTTTTCCAGGACCTTTAAATAGAACTACATAATACAAATGTTGAAAATATTATCTCTTTATTTTGTTTATTTGATCTCTGTTATAATCTTTTATAATTGGAGTAGTTTATAGAATAAAATTGAAATCTCTATTTATATTTATATAAAATTCATGTTCTCATTAATTAAAATTTTCTATTGGTCACTTAATTATTTTAGTCAGTAATTGAGGATTCTGATGAAACAGCTGTTTTGAAGCTTAGTGGCTTGATAGCTGGTCGATACCTTTTTCGTCTCACTGTGTCTGATCTTCAGGGTGCATCATCATCTGATACAGCTTCTCTTATAGTAAAACCTTCTAAAACTCTCCTGGATCATGTTGAACTAATGGTAAATGCTGATATCAAAAGTTTCACACAAGAGCAAGAGGTAATTTAATGCTCAATGATTTAAATTCCCATAGTGGTTTTATTGCTTGAAATTGTCAAATAATCGAAATATAAATGTAATTTTACCATCTATTGAGAAGTTTATAAATTGTTTTTAAGCACTTTAATGATATCTTGAAAAAATAATTTTGAATGTTCATAAATTTTTTGACTTACAATAGCAGAAATGCAAAACAATGCTAATTTTATCTTGAGTTTGTAGTTTTCAGCTTGATAGAAACTTTAAAAAGTTTGTTAATAATCAAAACATTTAGAGTGACTTTAATGCGATGCTTTAAACTCTTTAAAAGAATTTGAAAAAAAAAAAGAACTGAATTCCGTGGCACGACAGCACATTGAAAGCCAAGGCCTGCTGTGCTCATCTCAGTTTTCTTGGGCTCTGGGGGGGAGGGCTCTTGCCCAAGAGCCCAAGAAAACTGAGCCCAGTTTTGGTATGGTGGTCCAGTTGGCTCTGTAAAATTTGTCTAATAAATTTAAACTTTATCTTATCTGGTAATAGGATACTATTCTCTAAACTATCTAACACTTTCAAAAGAATTTATTAAAATAATTTATTACTTAAATATTGTCTTTGAATATCATGTTTTTTTTCTTGAAAGAAGAAATTAAATATTTAAAACCGATTAAAAATTTTAATGTCCATGAAATTGTTTATTCATCAAATGAACTTTTTTAAGAGCCTGTAGGTTTATATTCATATTTTTATTTCAAGATACAATAATATTTAGCTCAAAATCATAATTTGTTTCAAATCTAATTTAAATCTAATTAATCAATCTCTATTACAGGATACTTTATTGCGGCAACTTGAAATATTATTGCATGAAGCAGATCCTATTAAAGTTAATTTAATAAAGTTAGATTCAGACCGCCATTCTAGAAGGTAAGTGAAGAATGTTTAAATATCTAAAATTATAAGTAACACTTAAATGCATTTTTGATCATTCAAAAGTTTTTTTTGTACTGACTGATCAAGCTAATTGAACTGGCTGGAAGATTTTGCTAATATAAAGCGGAGTGCCTTGCTGAAAGTAGATTTGCTGTATTATCCAAAAACAATCTTTAGCTTGAATAAGGCTTGTGAAAATGAGTCACAAGTCCCCTAAAATTAAAACAATTATTTTTCAAAACATAATAAACTTGTTGAAAAGAACATTCCAATAACAAAAATAGTTATCCAGTGGATCAGTATCCAAACAAACAAAAAAAAAGGTTAACGCGAACAACCTACTTGTAGGGTGTTTACATTTCAACTACAATATCTCACTAACTTATCACTTCAATTGAAGATTTGTAGGCTTGGCATTATCTATAATAATGGTAGAAAAGATGTCACAGAAAGAAAAAAAAAGTACCTCAGAGGGGGGAAAATGGTTTCTTATTTCAAGATCCCCTCTCTCCCCAACAGGAAGAGTTAGCAGAGATAACCTCCAGCTGATGCATATACAATGGATGTTATACAAACATAATTAAAATGCATTCAATACAATAATTACAGGATTTTTGTACTAAAATTAAGTAATAAACATTTTATTCACTGATATGAAGTTCTTTATGATACATGCATAGATGCACTATGATTTACTGTTAGTGTATCATTATTATTTCCTTTAAAACAAACTTAGATAGATATAAAACATATATATAGCTATGCACAATTAGTTAATCATTTGTGAACCTACAAAATACAGACATTCATAGAAATATACAATTACTCAACTACAACATATATATGTTTTTGATGTAAAAAGGAATGCCTTAAATCAATATATTGTTCATTAATTTCTGCTGTATAGCACTCAATTGGTCAATTTCACTGAATATATTAATATGAAGCTGAAACTTTTATAATATTTTGCTCATATTCAAGTTCTTGTAACAGATACTTACCATAAAGTAAGGTGTAGTGACTTCCACAGTCGAGTCTATGCTTTTGCACATGTTTTGTTTTACTGTCATTCATCAAAAAATCTGTAAATAATTCATGTATCACAAAATTATCAATATAATTTCAGTTTATTTGGAAATTATTTTGCTCATCCTTACTATGTCTCTCAGTGTTTCTTTTTACAACTAACTTTACAATGCTTACTTTTTAATTTTATATTAGCAGGATATATTCAAGATATAATATTCAAATTTTGAATTTTGTTAGTAAAAGAATAAGACTGTTTCTATGATGTAAAAAAGAGGACAATAAACTCTGAAAAATCTTAATATATACAGTACAGAACCTCCTATCCAGAAAACCGGAAAACCAAATAACAGGGTTCCCACAGTACCACAGTACTTGAAAGTCCTTGAATTTGGTTGAAAAAAATCAGGGCCCTGAAAAGTCATTGAATTCTGCCATGGGGTACTTGAAAAGTACTTGATTTTTTTTTTTTAATTAAAATACTACTAATTTTTCTTACGGAAAAGTAGTAACAAAATAATGAATAAGTTCAAAGGAAAATTATAGAGATTCTGATTGATGCAATTTTTACTGTTTGAAGTGAAAGGGGGTTAAAGAAGATGCAAAACTTTTCTCTCCTAGATTTTTTAGACCAGATTATTGTTCCTCTCTCTGATGTTTTGAAAGCTGAAATTTCTAGCAAATTTTAGGTTTTGTAGTCATAGTTTTCGAATGATATGTAGTGTTTAATTGATTTAGAAATATGTTCAGTGTGTTAACTTCATTATTACGACAGGTTAATATTGTTATCCTATTTGTTCTTTTAATTTACGTGCGAAGGATAACTAATTTTTTATCATTTATAATCACATTTTTAAATTTAGTTTTTACTGCTAATAAAAAAAATTTTTAGCTCTACAGGTTTCATTGATTATGTATAAACATCGTGATTCACATTAAACTAACTCTTGATTTACGGATCGGAATTCATATAAAATGTTCTATGAATTGCGGTTTAACTGTAAGTGATTAATGAGTCACATATCGAATATTACTTTGAAGTGATTTGCAAATTACTTATCAGAATTCATATTAAGGTATTCTATAAATCACACATCATGATTCACATTGAGTGATTTATCTATCACATGCATGATTTCAATTAAAGTTATTCCTGAAATATATAACATGATATGTATTTAAGTTATTTCAGAATCATGCATTGCGATTCACAAAAGAGATTTAAGAAGAGATTTAAGAATTACCACCCACAATTCTCATCAAAATGATTTAAGAATCACACATAGCTGTTCTATTTTAAGCACCTTCGAATCACAAATTGCAATTTGCATCATAATGATTACTATTCACATGAAAACTATTAGCTAATCACGCAACAGAATTCACATTAAAGTGATTTATGTATCTCACATTGTGATTTATGTCTTGTTAGTTCGTGCATTTTGTATAATTTGCTATTTATATTCCGAGTTAAGAAACATGCGCCCCAATTCAATTTATAAATCACACATTGTGATGATACGTGATTTACGCTATCTTCGTGACTTACGTCACTTTTCTTATAATTTTGATTTGCATATAGTATATCTGAAACTATACTAAACTCAGTGGCGCGACAGCCCATAGAGGGCCAAGGCCTACTGTGCCCATCTCAGTTTTCTTGACCTTGGACTCTGGGGTGCAGGAACAGACATTCCGGTTAGGTGGTCAGCCGAACGTGAAACCTCCAGCGTTTTGTTCCCAAGCATGTTTGGTACTCATTTATCGATCCACTGAAGGGATGAAAGGCAGAGTCAACCTTGTCCAGCCTGAGGATCAAACCCAGGACCTGCTGCATGGGAGTGTGAAGCGCTATCACTCAGCCACCAGGCATCATATAGTATATCTAGACTCGTATAAATGCGATTTAAAAATTACACATATTCACAAAATTTTAAAAATCACGCTTCACATTTTATGGATATATTTTAAAGAAAATAAAGCTCAGTAAATCTTAGTTAGCAATCTGTAAAATATTGTTCTACAATAGATTTTATTATGTTCAGAATACATTAGTGATATTCTGAAATAACAAAATAGAAAATTTGATATTAAAATTTAAACAGATATGTTAAATGGATATATTTTGATAATTTATCTAATTATATGCATTTCCTGTAACCTAAAATTTGATCTAACATATTAAAAAAAAAGTATTTATATTTCAAAAACTGTGCAATTACACAAACTTTATTAATTATTTACTATGCTTGTTTAATGTAATATGCATTATACATTCATTCAGTTTCATTAATTCTAATTCACTTCATTAAATTTTTCATGAAAAGTTTAACTGATGCTAGTTTTAAATGCTGGCTAGTATCCTATGTCAATTGGAGTTTTTTCATTTTTTTTTTCAATTCGAATATTTCAAAGTGATTTGAAACAACAATGTAACCATCAACCATTTGTATAATTAGCTGATAAATTTAATAAATATTTTTTTTGTTGTCAAATAAGTATTGTGATTTAAAAATATACAATTTCTGCTTCTACGTACGAGATTGTAAAATCTGGTTGACATGTACTTTAGCATATAACAATAATACTGAATAGATCCTTGAAAAATTTGATTTTAGGTCCTTGAAAAGTCCTTGAATTTTTTTAAAAAACTGAGGGGGAATCCTGAAATAACCTGAACGAAATTTGATATATTTTCCGGCCATTTTAAAAATAAAAAAAATTTCTCCTTGTAAGATTTTAGGATTTTTCTTTCTTATTTAAAAGATATTTACTTTACCATCATTTTAAAAATAATCATTAGTTCCCTACACTGTCAGGAGGTGTAAGAGTCTTGTACTAAATATCATCAATCATTCCCTTCGTCACCCCCTACTTTATAGTTGTTTTCTTTTCAATCAAAGCTCAGTGAGAAAGGGTGACTCATTGAACATCTGTTTTCTTATCATCTGTCCCTTAAGCAAGGGGATTTATAACTACCAGCTTCTCACATGAGAAGCTGGTAGTTATGACAGGAGCATCTTATCTTAGGGCAGGAGAGTTAAAACAAATAATTTTATTTGTCTTCTTTGATTCTTAGAAATCTCTTTAAGTACTTTTTCTTTTTAAAACTGTTTCTAAATTATTTTTTTTGGTCGGGTTTGATAAACAATAAAAAAAACTGCATTTTGTAGCGATTCAGAAAACCGGAAAAATCAGTTATCCGGAATAGTGACGATCCCGATCCTTCCGGATAATCAGCTCTCTACTGTATATATATATATAAAATTATGAGATATATATTTATAATATGCATTATTGAATTTAAAGGGTGATTTTAATTTTCACGGTGGAGAGAATTTCAAATTTAAACAGTGGCCTTATAACTGGTGTAGATGTTGTAGCTCGTCTTAAAAAGAAGCTTCGCACTGACAGTTCTTTATTGGATGTTCAAGTATTATCTATTGATACAGTGGGTATGTTAAATTTTAAATACATTTTTGTGACTTTAATGAAAATTAATTTGTTTAAGACATGTAATGTAAAAACTGCATTATAGTAATATTTGTATGCATATTGCTAAAAAAAATTAATTCTATTAGTTTGCCAAAACAAATGTTCTGGGCATGGTAGCTGTGATCAATATACAAAACATTGTGTTTGTGAAGCTTTCTGGATGCAAGATATATTTCGTTACAACTTTGGTGATAAAGAAAGTAATTGTGGTGAGTAATATTTTTATACTTCCGGTTCTCTTTTTCTTTTCTTTTTTTTTAATGCCTTGTTATGTATCAGTTTTGTTTTATTTCATTTTTACTAATAGCATAAAGCCATTCACAAATTGGTTTTAAAAAAATGTGTGCCTATTAAGAAATAATTTTTTTAAATTTTAGAAGAATATTCCTAATTATCTTCTTTAAATATAATTATTAAGCTAAGCAAAAAACCATTATGGGATTGAATAATTATATTAGTATAGCGTATGTTTGTTCTTACCCAGTAAAATCAATTCTTCTGAAACTAATCTGAGAAATTTGTCATTGCTATCAGTCAAAACAAGCAGTCCACAACTGTCTGCCATTACCCAATATAGCACGGATGTGTCCGGGCAGCCTGTACAATCCCCTACAACAGGGGTCAACTGTCAGCCACTAACCCCCTCTTTAGCATGCATCACCCAACGGTGGTTAGCAGGTGAATCAAATAATGGAAGCTGCATATAATTCTGCCCAATTTGAACCACTAACTAGTTGCCGCCATTCTAAGCTTTTACTTTCCTCATATATATCTATATATATAGTAATATTTTGCAAATACATAATTAATATATTTGGAGAATAAAATCCAAATTTGAGACTTCTGCCTTAATAAAACTGTGTTATTTAGCATTTAGACTAACTGCCTTAACAGTTACAAAATATCAAAATGAAAACTTCAGTTTTTCTTTATCTGATAAAGAATGCGCGGTACAAGTTTTAGATTTCTGTTTTGGTAAAAACATAGTATTTAATATTACTGTGAATTAAGCTAATTACCCAGATATTACAAATATTGAAATGTAGCTTCAATTTTTTTATTTTTTGCTATCAAGAACACATGATCCAAATTTGAGACTTTTCTAGGTAAAAATGTGTCAAATAGCGTTTACAAAATGTAAAAGTGAAAATTTATTTTTTTCTATTTATCTCATGAAGGTCAGAAATTTTAGCTTTCATGGAAGGTGGGATAATAATGATGAGTCAGTGAGGGAGAGATTTATCCAGTTTTGTCCACGTGTAAATAATTTAAATCTGGATTAAAAAGCTATATTTGCCCAATTTATCTTGCAGTGAGACTTTTAAACCATTTGAAAAGTAAAGCAAAATTCTTGAACTTCAGTTTTTTTTCTCTACTTTACTTTATAAAATCTTATACATAAAGCGGAGCAATTGACATCAAAGTAAGTATAACTATTCACATTAATATTAGAAATCAAGTAATAAAATTAATACTGTAATTTAAAAATCAAATACCTAATAAATAAAATAATCATTAGTTTGTACTGAACAAATAAAGCAAGGGATATTTTTGAGCTTAAAAATTAGTTTTGATCCTTTTTGAAAGTGTTTTAATAGTTTTGGGTAATTAAAAAGTTTTGCCTTTGGCAACAATGAAATTTTTGTTAATCAGTGTTTTGATAAGTATCATAGTTTTTATAAACATAACCGACAAAATCCAACCGGATAAAAAAAATTATTCTTGTTTGTGAGTGGGCTGGAATTAAAAAAATCAGCCCCTCTAAAGTAGGGTAGGGACTGTCGATGTGCAGCCGGCATAAGCCTTTAAAACCGGGGGGGGGGAATTATTTTGAATAAAAAAATTTCGCAAATTTTGAACTGCGCATTTCAGTCATCACTTTTTCATGAGCTTGATTTGCACAAATTCTAATAGTAAATCTATATTGTTTTTTTTATTCTTTTTTTCAGTTGTTATTGCTATAGAATTCCTCATGCTTTTAAAAAGCCTAATATTTCTAATATGATATTAGGATACGCGAATTTTAAATTTGAGTAATCACTTTTTGGCTAGCTTTTCGCTTACCAAATTCATCATAAATCCAAGTGTCATTTCAATCGTTATTGTCGGCAAACTGCCAATTTCCATGTGACTTTAATGCAATATTCCAACTTGTGAGTTATGAATTGCACATTTTATTAAGCACTTTTTGATGTGCTGCATTTGTATCGATTTCATCATAAATTCTTAATTATTTATCGGCAGTCACTTAGTTTTGAAAATCTTAATATTTTCAATACGATATTATTAATCCCAAAGTTGAAACATGCTTTTAAATAATAATTTTTAATGCACTTTTTTTGTGTCGATTTTATGGTAAATTATAGATTATTTTTTAAGGCAATTTCAAATCCTGCACCCTATTTTCAAATCATACAATTAAATAACCACTTTTTGATGCACTTTATTTGTGCCAATTTCATGGTAAATCAAAGTTACTTTTTAATCTTTTTTTTCAGCGGTTTTTGTTATGCATTCTCATGTGGTCTTAAAAATTGCGTTAGTTTTTTTTGTGTCATGTAAATTTTAACTCGAGCATTTAAAAATCAGTTTATTGATTTAAGATTTGAGTGCTTTATTCATGCTGATTTCTTCGTAAATGTAATTTTTTAAATCGTTTTTTGGTAATTATTTCCATGATTTTGACAATCCCATTATTTTCACTACGATATTAATACATCATGCAAGTTTCAAATCGTGCATTTAAATAACTACATTTTAATATAATTTCTTTGTGCAAATTTCATCGTAAATCCATCCTTTTTAGTCAGTTAAGGCAATGCATTTGCATGAGGTATTTAAAATCAAACTATTGCAACATAAGACATTTGAAAAGTTGATGAAAACGGGAATTTTTAAACTGCTGGCTGTTTGTGTTTTGCTTTAAATTTTGCTTGAATGATTTTTTTCATTTACATACTTTCATTTTGTGAGCATTGCAGTTTTTTTATCCTTAGAATTTATTTTAAACTTAACTGTAGTATGGAGTGATGTGATAAAAAAATATTTCTTTTCATTAATGTTTACATTTTTTTTAATAAATCTATTTTTGATAAAATAGAATTTTTTTAAGTCATTTTTTAATTTTTGAACGAATTATAATATTTAAAAGTATTTAATTATCTACAAATATATAACTAAGTTTACTGATAAAAAATTAGTACCCAGAACATTACTGTTTGCATACAAAAGGCTGTGTGACAAATGTGTACCTGCTGTGTGCACCTCTTTTTTAAAAGTTTTGCCTTCCTTACTTTTTGATTACTATGGATTAGTGATATGATAATTTGTTGCAGCATTTTTAGATAACTATTTTGATTTTTACAGATTGGAGCATTTTATATGTAATTATAGTGTCTTTTACAATTATTGTAACATTAGCTGGAATACTTTGGAGTGTTGTTTGTTGCTTCTCTAGGTATGGAATTTTATGCTTTTTGGCTTATTTTCTGTGTCAGAATCATAATTATTACTATTTTATGGATTAACATTCAATTATATATTTTTTTAAAAATTTATTTAACCATTTTTCCAGTGGGTAATTATTATCGAACCAGGGAATTAATTTTTTAGTGCTGTATGTAAACTAAAAAATAATATACACATAAATTATAATAGGTTAAATAGATCATAATACTTTGTATAAAAGTAAAATAAGAAAACAGTTATTTTTTTAAAAGAATAAATATAAAGGGAACCTTTCAATTCTTTCTGTACTGTATTAAGTTTTATGTGTTTAAATTTACGCTAATACTAAATGCTAAATAATTGCACTAGTCATTTTTAGATTTTAGTTTCTGTTTTTTTCAGTGACTTGGATAAATTAAAAAAATTAACTCTTTCCAAAAGAAATCTCAACCTTGTTTAACAATCTGATCTACTTGTATAATATTTTCGAAAAATTTAATCCAAATTATTGGAAGAAAAAATAAAAAATTTAATACCATTAGAGTTTCATAATTTGCGTGACTAAAGTATATAACTTGACAACATAAGAAAAATCTTACTAAAATGAAGGAATGAAATTAGGAATTAAAATTAAATAGTTATCAGTAACTAAATAAATCAGACCCCTTCGAAATCATGCTATTTATAAATCTAAATTAATCCAAACTATTAATATGTACAAACCTTAACACAGGTTGTTTAAGAGTTATGAGCAAATCTATTGTGGAGACCACAGATCATGTTTCATAAGGTGTGAAAGTTTTTTCTTTAGAATTTTCCTTAAAACAAATGGTTAAGAAAGCAACCTTTTTCTGAAAAACTAAATTAAAAGGGAAGTGTTTTTAGGAGTATTTTTGCAAAAGAGACAAGAATGGCGCATTTCTAAGAATCAAAGAGCAGGCAGGGCAGGCCACCCTTTTAAAAATGCTTAGGGAAAACATTGCCATAAGTTCATTGTGTATTCCTATATGGTGCATTAAAAACTATTTAATGTATATTCTTGTTTCTATATTCATTCATTTCACCTGAAGCAGGTTGTACCTTAAATTTTAGACAACAGTATGCACTATTCTGCCGTGCAATTGATAAATCAACATAAGTAACAAAAAATTCAAAATTGAGATTATAGATTTGGCATCTTTATATGGTAAGCTACATATTGCAAAAAAAATTTTTTTTCAAAACTAAATTTTGTTTTATCAGTTTTTTGAAATTCTATTTTAGCGTTCATAGCTTTAGCAATAGAAGGAGAAAAGTTGTCAAGCCACTTTTCTTGGAATCAATCGTGAAGCACTTACGTTTTTTCAGTTTCATGGCAGTGTTAGCTGTAACTATTTTGAAATTGATGATATTGTGAACTAAGAAAAGTTTAAAGTTACGGCCAATTTTGATCAAATTTTCTTTTTTACTTCTTATTTCTTAGAAAAATAATTTTATACTGACAACATTGGTTGCGATAAATTTAGAAAAATATGTATCAGTAAAAAAGTTAAAAGCTTTCGATAAGTCAGAAAATTTCATTGTTATAAGCTTTTAAGTATAATTTACAATAATTTGTTTATAATTTGCTACAAATGCAATGGTAACATTTTTTTACGTTCTTATCTGAAGAATATTTAAATTTTTTTAAAAAATTACAAAAATATGTTTATTGATTTATTTATTCTTAAAGTTTTTAAACTTTAGCAGATATTATCACTAATGTGGCAGATAACTTTTGAAAATAAATATGTTTTAATTAAATTGAAGTTGTTATATGAGCTTTCTGTTTAATAATAGATCAGATAAGATTTGTAGTATTGTCATAATGTGTTATATGAAGTATCCAAACAATTATCTGTTGAGAAGAAACTTCTAAGTGAAAAATGATTTTTTTTATTGATTATAATAATAACATGATTTCAGTTTTAGTAATATTACATTTTACAAAAAAAAAGTATGCAAGCAAATTAATACAGATAATTGTTGCATTTCGCGTAAATCATTGTGTTAGTTTCTTTTTACTGGTTATTCCTTAAAAATGTTTGCTCTCGTATAAATCGGTTTCTGTGTTTATTTTGTTCTTTGTATCTCACATTTTAATTTTAAATAAATTTTTTCTTAAGGATGAGATTTCGAAGACCCAAGAAGCGTCATCGTTATACTTTGCTAGATGATTTTAATGACAGGGAAAGAGAGAGAGAAAAATTTTTTCCTCAAAGTAAGTATTATTGAAATTGCTGTCTTATCTGTATTCCTAGTTTAATTTATAAAATCTTTGAATAATTTTTAGGCCAAAAAAACAGTCTAATGATATCGGATTCTGAATCTGATGCTATATTTGAGTCACAAAGTTTGCCTCTAAGTGTGAAATCAAATGGTATTTTGAACGGTGTAAATAGAGATTCTCACAATATAACTGCCTAAATAAGGTACAGTATCTTCATATTTAAATAACTTTTTAAACTAACTTCAAATATTGATTACTTTTATAAATAATTGCTGCAATCTTTGTTAAATTCATACATAAATATTTTTGTGTACATAAAAAAACATTTTAAATTCATATTGTTCTTTTACACATAATTTACTACTCTTTAACGTTTAATAGGATTATCGAGCTACAACATATAGAATTGACTGTTTCCTATTTCTCTAGGTCAAAAATTTTCTGTTATAGATTTTACCTTCTTATTTTACCTTTTACTACATTTACTATTGTTTCATAGGTCTAATCTGACTGCATGATAGTCTGAGATTACTTATTTATTAGACTATAATTTAAACTTTTAGTCGTCATCTAACTTTTGTTTTCTCATTCCATACTTCTATTACCTATTTAAATTCACAATTACTGAATGATCCCGTCACCATATAACTCTGAGCTGAGCTTTTTTTTAAAGTAAATGTAAAACTTTATTTGAAAATACATAGCAAAACATAGTTTCAGTACACATAATTTTTAAGGTTCATGTATTTTTATCCCCTCCCCCATGATTGGAAGTAGTATTTAAAATCAATAATTCATCTTTATGGAATTTAAAATATGTCTACTATAATAAAACATGATACAATTTATTGCCAAAACTGAGTTTTACATTATGGTGTTATGCATTAAAAGGTCAAGATTTTTTGGATATTATGCTTCTGTATTATAAAATCAAATTGTGATGATTAGAAAAACATTATTCAACTCTACAAAGTTAAAATTTGTAAATGTCATAAGATTTATAAATTATTAAGATAAGTAAAAATATCTGTGATCTTTAAGAGGGTGATATGAAAAATGTTTTTATAAGCAAGAAGAAAGAAAATAACAAGGTTCAAGGTCTATCCAGGTCATTTCATTAAAAGTTTAATGTGACTATGATTAAAGTGGTTTTTCTAAAGTAAACAACAACACCACAACATTCTTTTTCTGCATTATTATTAGAATACTCATGTCTAGTTATCAACATGACTGTTTCCATGAGGCATTTCTTCTTTTCTAAGTAATGTTTCATCAGTTAGTGAAAAATGCAGTTTTTGGCACACATTTCTATCCTGATCTTGATTAGGCAACAGCATCCCTATAATTTTTTTACATAATATGAAAGTTCTCTGTCATGTCACGTTTTGTGACCTAACACTTAAGTGAGGTTAATGATACTCACTTTTTAGGGCATGTTTATACCTTAATGTATGCTTTTTTAATTTGGTCTTTAAAACTTTGAGTCACACATTAAAAAAAATTTTATGTTTACACATTTTTGCAATTAACAGTGGTATTTTTAAATTAAATTACTTGATTTTTTAAAATTTTTTATAAATTTTTAAGTTATATTCCCTTAGACTTCCGGCTGACTTTCTTTTAGTATGCATATTTATATTTTTTAAAATTGAAATTCAATTTTTGTTTTCAAATATAGAAATTCTAAGAAAAACGTTTGTAGATGGACAAATTAAAAGATGGACAAAAAGTAATACTTAAAATTATAGCTTCTAACTACTCATTTTTCTATGTGTCTATATATATTAAGATACTATAATCTTAATTTTTTTTTTAAAAAATTCATATAAATGACAAAAAAATAGTTTTTTTTTTTTTTTAGGTTTCATTTAGCATCTTATGATAAATTCTTTAATGAACAAGTTTCCATTATCAGGGTCATGGGATTTGGCCATTCGGGCCGTAGTTTTACTAGCAGTTGCATGATGAAAAATCCACACAAAATTGGTGTGCCCTGTCTTTTATACAGGGATCATGAAAAAGGGTTGCTGGAAAATCTTCAGTGTAATTGAACGTTATCCAAAGGGGAAAATGTAACCATCTTGATTCGTTTTAACAGATAACGCCATTCAACTGTCCAGAGTTTCTGGGATTTTCATAAAGAGCATATTTCCAAGAATCATTACTCTTTAAGTTCAGAAAATAATCTTTTAATTGGAATCTTGACTTTTTATGGCTCTTTGAGAAAAAACGATGTCTATGTCTTAAAATTAATAAGAGAATCTATATTTAGCTTTAAGCTATGAATTATTTTAGAAAGACTCATATGAGACATTCTATACTGTATAAAATGTTGTTTCTCCAAAATATTATTCATAATATTAGAGAATCATTCCAAAATATTAGAGAATCATTTATATTGTAAAAGTTTTTAAATCATGTAATTTCTCCTTAATATCAATGAAATTAAAAGTTCTTAGAGGTTTGAGGGACTGACAATAAATTACAAGCAAATTGTTTTGGACACCCTATGCCAAAAACTAGAGCAATACATTTGTTACTTTTGAAAATTATTTTGGTTATTATATGAAATAATTACACCAAGTTTCGTAAGCCTAGATTAAATATTTATAGGCATATGAACATTTTTATAAAATAAAAAAAACATTTTTTTTTTTTTGTCTTACTATACTTTATTTTTTCTATAACCTTAAAAATGCCTTAATATTTTACAGGATGTCCGGTAATGCCTGCACTAAATACAAATTTTTCGAATCCCTTTAAAAAAAGTCCAATCTTTATCAAAAGTATAAATATTAAGTGGTATAAACAAATGCTTAAATGATGGCAAAACAAAAACATTAATGAAATTTTTCAAACCCATAGTAAAGACGGATTAAAAAACATTAAAACCAATTCGATTGCCTGAAATATCGCGGAATGTTTTTTTTTTTCGCGGAATGTTTACCCCCTCGCGACAGAACTGCTTTACTCTCTACTAATTTATTGGGTATATTCATTATACATAGTCATATATAGTGATTCATTAGGTTCAATATTTATTTTAAGTATCAACATATTCAGATATATATAACAAATGTTCATAATTTTTTAATGGTTTCAATTTTTTTTCATATGGTGCTCAAAAACATTATTTTCCGTTTGTAATTTATTGTACGTCCGTCAAGCCTTTAAACTTAGTTAAACTCCAACCTTAGTTTTTGAGAAAATACTTTTTACAATTATCTATATTATTTTATACAAAATGTCTGGAACAAGAGAGCCCTGCAAGAAATCTTGGATTGACCCTTTTGATGAGCAAAACATTGATTTTGTAGTTCAACTAATGGACTATACAACTCAAATAATACTTTAATAAAATAATATTTATCAATAAAAAATCTTTAATATGTAATTTAAACAAATATTTTTAAATAAATAGATATTAAACTTTTTCGTATTATTAATTATTTAAAAAAAATTTCATTAAGCTTAAATATATTTTGAGCTTATTTAAACTGTATATTGAGGTCTATATAGCTCAGAAAGTTGTTCTCAAACTATTGTCACATGTGTACAGGACATTTCCTTTTGACAAATCTAATACTAACACTCTTGTATTATTTTTTTATTTTGTATTTTTATGTGCTATTTTATAAAATTTCATTTTGAATTGTTAAAAAAATGGTATTTTTGTTTAGGTCGCTGTTCTTGTGTCCTTTTATGCAGTTACACAGTACACAGCTGTGATGTGCTTACTACACAAGCAGTTTTGTTATAGTGTCGTACTTTTAAGTCATGAATATTGTTGGAAACTGATAAGGTTCCTAAACTTTCCATTCCATCAGGCTTTTTTTGTAAATGCTCATTATGTATGTTAGCAATATTTCTTGTTTTCATTTTTCTTATGGCTATGCAAACACACTTTGATTTAATGTTTCAATAATTTTATAGCTATTTTTGTTAGATAAAATTATATGTATGTTAACTGCTGTGTTAAATTATGTATGTGGTTCAATTGAAAATTTCCACATTATTTTATGTGATATTTTTTTTTTACTGTATATAGTTAGAGTGATATTTGCTGTTCTCATTCTCTAATTAAGATGAAAATTATTTAAAAGAAAAATTTTCTGTGAGATAAATACAAAAATAAATTTATAAATATTTTTGAATTTTATTTTGATTAACACACCTTCTGGGTATGTTTAAGGCATATTCTAGTCTCATCTAATGAAACCTTGGGCTCTAGAACCCTTTTAAAATGGGGGATAAATTAGCAAAGGGGTTTTAAGGTCCCTCATGAAGCTTATTCAATATTCACATTTTACTGTTAATTTGAATACACAAAATCTTGGCTTTAATTAGTGAGAATGAGCGAAAAAAGAGATTTCCATAATTGAAAAGAACTATCTTTCAAAAGTTGTATATTTTGTGATTGATAATTGTCATTTTGTTATATAATTTATAACAAATGCATTAAAATTTATACTAAAAACTCTTTTAAGCTTTTGCTTAATAGCTTTTGCCAAACTGAAGAATAAATAAATAAGTAAAATTTTTAAAAAAAAGCATTAAAAAGTAAACACCAATTTAAGAAAAAAAAATCCTAATTAAAACTACTACTATCTTATGGAAAACATAATTTAGTATTTTAACTTTTAAATCAATCAAGCATATTTTATGTTGTGTGAGTTCATCATTTTAACAAAAATCAATAACTATGCGTATTAAATTTATATTCACAATCAGAACTTGTTTGATGAAATCGAAATAAAACTAATATAGGTGATACGTTTTGATTCTCGCACTCAACTGAGCTCATGACCAAACTAAGTGTTAATGCTGTTCTTATTTGGAATATTGAACATGAACTTAGCAACATAAAACATGAAAGACCTTGGTAACAAAATTCAAGGAATAAGAAACATAAAACATTGTTTCCAGGTCTATCCAGAATTCTAGCAAACCTTCCATGTGTAATTCTAGTTAGGGACGTCACTGAGATTGAAAGCAGTAAAGAACCTGAGATTTCTAGTACTTCTTTGACTTCGAATTCAGAGTTTTGAGAATTCGCTTTTTTATTTTATTTTGCAGCCAAAATGTTTTAAGTTTGCTTGTTTTCTTGAAATTTGGAAAGTTGTGCTCCACCTAAAGCTAGATTTGTTTTCTGTCTTTCCATTTTTTGCCATTAACTGTTCAGAAATTTGCAAATCAATGAAGCCAATACCTATTCATATTACAGTTTGCTGGTTGTAAAGAAATCTGGCTCTTTAGGGCAAACTTTCCTTGTTTTTTCACAACCTCAATGTTTGTGGTAAATGTGTAGGAAGTTTTTCTTCTGGTGCTAATATTTTTATTATGAAAGTAAATCTGAAACGAATCACAGTGGTGCAGAAATATATAATAAAAATTGCAATATTCAAGAATATTACAGAAAAGAAAAATGTGATAGTAAAATTATGATAACCAATATTTCATCTCTAGCAATATTTCATTCAATACGCAATTTTTGAATGGTAAGAGATTTGAAAAAATTTATAAAAATTCATTGTCTTTCAAAAATTTTGAAATTTAAAGGCTTTTGTGGAAAATGAAGATGGTGCATAAAAATCCTGAAAAAATTCGCGATTGATATACCAGTCCACATGCAACTATAGAGAGGTAGTGTTTTTGAATTATCAAATACTTTTTTTTGCTCCATCTTAATAATTAGCAAGTTAATAATACTTTGTATTATTAAATATTTAGTTTGTTGAACTATGTTTCTGTGTGTTCTCAGCTTAAATTAAATCACAATCTCATGGAATGGATTATCTAATGTTATAGTAATAAAATAAATAATTTGTTATGTATTTTTTAAAACTATGCTATGCATTCTAAACTTAAAAAAAAACTAAACTCAGTGGCACGACAGCTCATAGAGGGCCAAGGCCTACTGTGCTCATCTCAGTTCTCTTGACCTTGGGCTTGCCCATCTCAATTTTCTTGGGCTCTGGGGTGTAGGAGCAGATGTTCCAGTCAGGTGGTCAGCCAAACGCAGAACCCCCAGTGTTTAGTTCCCAAGCATGCTTGGTACTCATTTATTGACCCACTGAAGGGATGAAAGGCTGAGTTGACCTTGCCCGGCCCGAGGATTGAACCAGGGACCTGTGGCAAGACAGCGCGAGGCGCTACTGCTCAGCCACCGGGCGTCGTATTCAGGATATTAAAAATTTTAAATTTTTTTACATTTTTATCATAGTAATTACTGTTCTGCATTTTAAAATCATGTAATATGCGTTTATTTCCAAAACAAAAAGCAATGAAATCAAATTATTTATTTATCAATAATTTTATGAATAATTTACTTTTTTTAAATAATAAATACTGTATATTTTCCCCCTTTAATTTTATTCTTCAAATTTCTCAATTCTATAAATACTTCATAATTTAAACCAGATATAGATTAAAGATCACATCATTTTGCCCTTTTGAATAACTCCCAGTATAACTTCCCTTTTTTATGTCTAACTGTTTTTAATCTCCACATACTACAACATTATCAGTTGCAGTAGATAGCTTTTTATTGCTGTAATTAGCTATATTTTCTTAAACTTATGTCATGTGTGTGATTTTTCTGCTAATTTATTTTTTCATACTTTTTGTCTGCTTTTATTTTTTGTGATTTATTTATTTGTACATCTTGATTCATAAAGAGGGTGTTAATCAATCACCCATAGCAATTTGTTTTACCTCAATTTGAAAATCACCAAGACTTGCCAATTTAAATCTCGATTAAAGTCATGTATTAAATCACTTGGATTTTTTTATATAACATGCAGCTAATTATAATTACTGTGTACATTCTTATGCAACTTAAATCTATTTATCTAAAATCTATATATCTAAAGTTTAAGTTTACAAATTTTTGGGAGGAAAGCTTTTATGTTTCCTATGTTCAGCTGCAATAAAATACCTTCCCTCTTATATATTTTATTTCAGTAGCATCAAAACTGTTCTTTATGTTTGTTATTATTATGACGCTATTATCAGAACTGCTCTTCACCACACACACATTCTCTGTAACAACTACATAGCACCTCCATTTCCTTGCTTATCTGATTGATCTACATTTCTGAGACAAAGTACTTGATTTATTTTATTTTTAAAAGGTGCTATTAAAACTTAAGTTTATAATTAGTTAAATTTTATAAATACAATTATTATTGAAATATTAAAAATTTTTATGAAGCTATGATTTTTATGAAGGAATAGAAGAAAAAGCAGTTGCTTATTTTTGGCCTTTGTGAGAGGTCTATTTATTATTTTCTGTACATAGTTTAGTACACTAAAAATGTGAAAAAATTGGAGAATTAATGTTTTGTGCACAAAATTCATGCCTTAAGTGTTTGTAGAATATGTTAAATGTAATCTGAAATACTTGATAGTTTTTCCTTAAATTTTTCTTTATTTTTAATTAATATTACAAATATTCTATATGTAAACTTCTTCCAGCCTGTTTTTTTAAGAAATAATTTTTGTTTTGATAAATATCCTTTCCAAATTAATTTTACTCATTTCATTCATATTTTTAAATATGTGTGTCGTAAACTTGTGATAAACAGCAAACCAATAAATGAAGATAGAGAGGGAAGAACAGTTCATGTCCATTTTTCACGAAAATGATGATTGAATAGCCATCTGTTTCTTTTTGAGGATTACTATAATAAATTAATAATGTTGTAATAAATCAATAATCAGAACCTTGAAATTTCATTTTTCTCGGAATCAGCTTTTATGGCATAAACCGTTCTTCCCTCTTGATCTTCAAATGTGTATGTATTCTCATTGATTGAACCATCATTTATTTTACCCGATAGTTGATTTTATAATTTGATAATTAAATATTTTTATTATATACAAATATTTCTAAAGAGTTTAGGTACATTTTACTCAAGTATCTCAATTACATTTATTTTTAAGTGTATTATAGCTTCTTTGAAATTTACTCTTTTATATTTATTACTTCACAATTATATTTTATACTTTGTGTCCTTAAAAAATTTAATATTCTTATAAGGTTATTAGACATCTAATAAAAAATCTAGTGCCATCTAACCAATTCTGGGAAATTCGCCATTTAGATGTTTTTTATTATTTTTTTTTAAGTAACAGGTTTATGGAAAGTTATGAATCCGAATAAAAATGTACAATTGTACGTTTTCCATTCGTGATGTTTAGTAAAATCTCATTACCACTAGATAGAACACATTTTCACAGACAGCAAGCAGCTTCACACTCCACTTCAATGATCTGGTTTTTGGGAATCTGATGACTTTTGTTTCTCCCTTACAGGACTCGAAGAAAATGACAACCAACTTATTTTTTCTTCAAACCATTCTTTGCATCTTCTCACATATTTTGGTCTTTTGTTCATGGACTTTGAATTAGTAAATGATAATGTTTAGGTTTTATTTTTGGCTTGTTCTCTTTTTGTTCTTTTCGGCTTCAATCGCTTTTCGCTGAGTTTTCTTATTCTGTTATACCAATTCCGTTGATATTAAAGCCCAAGTAAGCAAACCTACTCGAAGATCCTTTTTCTATTTCGTAATATTGTCTTCTGAAGTTTTCTTGAGTCAAGTCTGGTTGATGGCGAACCCAATGATTTCATCTTGGTTGATTCCACAATAATTTAATATTCTGATCTGGCGACAAAATTTCTACAGTGTTCTTTTACATTTTACCTAGTCACTTTATATGATCCATTCTTATAAATCAGTTTGTGCATTCCAACTATATTTTAAAATTTGAGAATGTATTATAACCATAAAAATATACCATAAAAATTTGACTAAATCGTTTTACAGCTTTTAACTAAACAATGATTTTTCTCTTCTGAATGTGGTTACCTTATTTCAGTAACATATTTTACGATGTAATGAATTTTATGCTTTTATTAAAATTGTTAAGCAGAAAATCTGCATTTCTAAAGTACCTAAAATAGTTTATTTTACATTTTTTCAACAAAAAAAAACTTTTTTATTTATATTGGTTGCTCATTAATATTATTCTAATATATAAGGTTTTTAGTGCATTTTTTGTGGGTATGAAAGCTTAACATGTATTCATGTCCATTTACTGGTTCAAAGCTTTGCAAATGATTGACCAATTTCATTTGGTACTGGCATACATTATTATTATCAATGGAACTCAACACAGTTTTTCCAACTTACAATAAATGAATTTTCTTTATCTTAAAGAATTTTAAATTGTACCATTTTCAAAATACAATTGAAATATTCATTAAAAAATTCAAAAGGTTAAATACCATCAATAAATTGATAAATCGATCTATGTATACAGGGCCTTAAGCCAGGATTTTTTGTGGAATGTAATATATATAATATTTTTTTCATGATTTTACTATTTAAATACTATCCTTTATTGAGTTTTTGTAACTTCTTTTCCTATAACGAGTTTTTGTTACTTGCATTTCGCCAAATATTCTGAAATCCAAATATTCCTTTTCATAGATAACAGTGCTGAATTTGATTTGCTATTTATTTAACAAAAATAAATTTACCAATTATTGGTGGACATTTGATTAAATTACAGTGGTATACATTATTGATAGTAAAAAATTTATTGATTTTCAAATACCACTAATAAAAGGATAGTATAGGTCTGTAGCCAGGATTTTTTTGTAAAATGTTATTTATTTGAATGAAACACAATGATTTTGCAATTTAAATATACTTTTCTGCTTAGCAATTTTTGTTAATTATTACATTAGTCGAATCTATTTTTAAATTTTTTTTTTATATCTGTAAGTTTGCTATTACATCATTTTTCTTTTTTTGCAGCATTGGTGCATTATAAAGAGTAGTTTTTATCGTAGGGTAATTATTTTCTATTTTGAAATGTCTTTTCAGTAAAGGAAATATATATGTACTTTTATCAGTGTTGTAACACCTCTATTTATTTTTCTTTTGGATTGCTAAGTAATTGGTGAAAATTATAAAATAAGAAAGCTTGCGTATAATGCAAAATGAATTTATTCTGCTGCTAGAAAAAGGAAAATTGAAGTTTTGACAGAAAAAAGTGTTTTTTTTTTGTTTGTTTTTTTTAAATTTCTTTTTACTAAAATCACATTTAAATTTAAATTTGCATGTTAGTAACTGATGCAAGTCATATAATTTTACAGATGAACAGTAAATAATTGTTATTAAAAAATATCTCATTCTATTACGGATTTTAAAAGAAAAAATAATTTTTGTTTTAAAAATTTAACAAAAAATATAAGTATTACAAATAAAAATCTTAAAGAAAAATTTGAAGAGGGGCTTAAATCCCTATATTCCACCCACTGGCTATGGCCTTGCATCTATAATATAATGATCAATGAGTGAAACCACTTAAAACAAATTATCGTTGTTTTTTAAAGATTCAAAAAAAAAATGCAATTCTTTTCATAAGCAAAAAGTATGAAAAATTTCAACAAATGTGTGAAACAAAGTGTAAAAATTCATTACAAATCAAATAGATTCTATTTTTAAATTTGCAATTACTTCCCGTAAAGAAATTATTATTAATAAAACTATTTTAAAAAAACAATAGTTTAAAAATAAAATTGAAAAGACTATTATTTATAACTGGGAGTATAAAAGTTGTGTCTGAGACTTATATATAAGATTAATAATGATTTATTATTTTAATGATTTTATTTGATGAGTAATTAAAAATAAAAGAAATAAACCATTAAGTTTATCTTGACTTACACAGCTTTACTTTTTAACAAAGATATATTTTTATGCTTATGTTTTGACATAAATAAAACAAGAATGTAAGTAAAACAAGAATTTATCTCATTGAATATTATTGAAACTTGATACATAAGTGTGTAGGAACTACTGACATTAGGGTTTTTCTTTGCATTGTCCATCAAGAAAATTTACATACTGAGAACATGTTGTGCATACAGTGACATTTAAATCTTTAATAAAAAATAAAAGAATATGGTAATTTATGCTAAAATAAACTGTTATTCTCTTCCACTATTGAATTTCTTTACTTCTATAAGCACAAGTGTGGCCTCTTTGATTTTGAAAAATTATTTCAGAGTCCCCCAGGCTCAAAAGGTTGAAGACCCCTATTGTACCCAAAGCACATATCAGCTCAAATATTTACTTCAATTATTTTAAAAGTTTAAAAAGAGTGTGTAATTGTTTGTTACTTTATAAATATGTTGATATATAAACACTATATAAAATTTTTGCAGTGTGTTGTATCTTACTTATTTTGTTGAAATAGACTTGGAGTATAGAATACTGTAATAAACTTTTTCTAGTTATATTATTTTAATTTAATTGAATATTGTTTAAGTCATGTTTTAGGACTTTCAAATAATATAGTCTTGAAATTCTGTAGAACTTTAAATTGGTATTTTACTTATTAGTAAGATTAATCAACTACTTAAGTTGATAGTTAAAATTTAAGATGTGATTATTTTTCTAAATAAATTTCTTACATTTAAATATTATTTAATAATTTTCATCCAAAAAGAAGTGTTATGAACTAAATATTTCTGTTTTTGGAAATATCTAGTGATCCAGTAATGTATAGGATTTATTTTAAAAACTGTAAGATATAAAAAAATAATTTTATCATGCTCATATTTTTTAATACTAAGCATGTAGAGATTAGATTTAAAATTAAACTATGTTTCATTTATTCTATATAAGGTGCCCTATTTCAGTATTTTATTTTGTAATGATACATAAATTTTTGTTTGGCTTGCAAATAAAATGATGTACATACTGTGTATGTACGCACTTTCTAGTATATTTTTCTTCTTCTTTTTTTGCATTATTTCATCTTTTCTAGAGCATGGAATGATACACGAAATAGCTAAGTTTTGTTGCTTGTGCAAATCCAGGGTGGCCACTCAAATCAGGTTTCAAAGTCCCAGACCCCTATCTTGAATTAGATTCTTGTAGATTTGAAACAGTAAGGAGTTTTACTTACTTAGGATCAATTATTACTATTGATAACAGAATGTCTCCTGAAATGAAAAAAACAGACACTAATTGGCAAATGGGGCTGTCTATGGGCTGAGAAGATTTATAAAATCTAGATTTCTTTCTAGAAAAACAAAGTTCTTAATTTACAAAACTCTTCTCATGCAGGTCTTGACATATGCTTCTGAAGCTAGGACAAAGACAAAACTGGAGTGAAATCATATCGCAATATTTGAGATAAAGATTTTACGGAGTATACTTGGTGGTGTAAATGAAAACAATAACTGAAGAAGGAGACTTAACTTTGAACTGTACAAGATTTATAAACATCCTGATATTATTAAATACCTTAAAAATGAATAGGATAGCCCATGTGATGAGAATACAATAAAAAAGATATTGCTTTTTAGACCCGCTGGAACAAGAAAGAAGATGAGCTGATTCAGTGGAGTCTTATTTTTTTGCAATTAATGAAAAGAATTGGAGATCAAAGATAAATTGGAAGTCGTTATGGAAAAAAACAAGAATACAAAACTAACTAGTTACATTTATTTATGGGCTTTTAAAAGCTATTGTAGATGCAAAAGGAAACTTGACTAAATGTTAATTTAATGAAAAATAAGAATATTTACTAATTGGAGAAGATTTTTTTTTAAAGTGTACTATGACTTTTGTCAGATAAAGTTTTTGATTATTCAGGGCCCCCTCTAAGCATTCGTCACCTAGCCAAATGTAATAAAATCGTGAATTCGGAAAAACAAGTTGTATTTTGGCAAAAGTATTGACAAACAGTTTTTCTACCAAAAAGAAAAATATATATTCTTGATCCTGAAAATTATGAATTTTAATTAGAATTATATCAGGGAATTTTTTTATACTGGAAAAATCAGGGAATTTTAAATAAAAGCTGGAAATTTTTTATCTTAGATATTTTTTTTAATTTCACCAATTTAAATTATTTACCAATTTTCTTAATTTAAATTATTTCATCCATTATAACCACATTTTTCAGACCGAAATGTATCTCCAAACAGTTAAAATGTCATCAACTTTGTTATACTTTGCTTGCATCAAAATTTGCTCCATTATAACCCTGTTAAACTAGAATGCCACTTAAAATTCTCCCATGGTTGCGAAACAGATGTAGAAACCTCTGACCTCTATGGAACTGTGCAATTTAGGAAAGGCAAAGATTGTGCTAGACATGGAAGGGGTTAGGATATTTGCCTCTGTTTTAAAATTCTGTCCATGGACTGAATCCATTTATGGCTCAAGTTTGTTTCGATGCTTTGGTGGTAATTTTTGTCTATTTTGACAAAATGAGTCAAAATGTTTTTGTATTTTTAACTTAATAAAATTCTCCAAAAATTTGTTGGTTATAATTTAATAATAATAAATTTTATATTGCACTCTTTTTCTGGAAGCTTTTGTACTCCCATTCAAAGAAATCTGTAAATTATTTTTTCTCAGCAAACCAACCAATCAGAAATTTTTTTACAATCACTATCAGCAATGTTTGTTGACAAACTGTTGCATCAATGCTAATTTTTTTCTATTTCATTTTAACCTTTTATAACATATTTTAATTTTAAAAAATATTTTTTTTAACTAATATTAATATTTTGCTGTTTTGTTGGTAAATATTTGATTTTTGATTCAAAATTCGAATTGTATAGTTATCACAATATCGAAAGTTCATAAATGTTCTTGCATACCAGAGATGATATTTCCAAAACTACCCCCCCATTTACCCTAAAAAGCTGACAAAGACTAAGGAATATATAAGAAACATATTAAATGATGTATAAACATAAAATATAAATTTTTTATATTCATATGTCTAGTCGGAAGAAGGAAAGTAAAACTTATTATTTTAGTTGTGCGCTGTACAAGATTCTAGTTGTTAAAACAAAAACAATTAATATGCTAAACTAAAAAACTGTGTGTTTAGATTGGAATCTTTAAATGTTTTAATTTCAAATAAGAAAAAAAAGTATAACATTTAAGGAATTTTATCTATTTTTTTTTCTATAAAGTATGGAACAAAGATATAGATAACATATAGATATAGATGGATATAGATATAGATGGAACAAAGATAAGATAAAAGAAATTCTATAAAGTATGGAATTAGACAATTTTACATTTATTTTTGTACACTGAATCTCTTAAAATAATAATGCTAATTCAAAACAACATTATTTAAAAAATTTGACTTGATATTGGCTTAAAGAAAATATGATCAATGAGTTTTATAAAAAAGTACAGGTAAGATAAAATACAGTATAGCTTTATATTGAAATGTAATTACAGTGACTCACAAAACTGTTAGTACACTTACGACTTTCAATGAAATAAGACAATCCATTGATTAAAATGAATATTTCAGAATGGATATTTAATAATAAAATATGTATACTAATATTAACAAAACTGTATGGAATCTTTTAAAAACAAAGGAAAAGTTTATTTTTAAGAAATAAATCATCAAAAAGTGACAAAAACTTTATCTCACAAAAGTCATCGCACTCTTTCAAAAAAAAATAATAATAAATAAATAAAACACTGTCTATTAGTAAATATTCTAATTTTTCGTTTAATTAACATTTAGTGGAGTTTCCTTTCGCATCTACAATAGCTTTCATAAGTTTGTAAATACACGTGACTAGATTTTTTTTTGTCGGGTGAAATTTGTGCAAAATATTTTTTTAAAAATTTTATAGAAACTTGTACAACTCTCAATTGCGAATTTATGAATTTTTCCACAAATTTTATAATTTTAATCTGATATGAAGTCCTTCTTTTAAGCATTTTATCACATATTCAGGCATGAAAGTTTTCAGCTTTTACTCTGAATTCAGCTTTTTAAGCTCCATACATTTATTAATTTCATAATGTAGAATTCAGCTTTTTTTGCTAACTGGTACTTTCATCCCTGCATATTGCACAGTGCAATAGGACACAATAAACTAATTTAACATATTCATTACTGATTTACCTCTTATGATGACAAATAATCAAATATGGTCTATTGTTTTATTACGACCACGTACCGTTTTAAATGATAAAATATTACGGAGTTAGCAAGCAAAGATTAAAATATAATTTTGCTATCATAAGTTTGATACTAAATTGCAAATAAATAAAAAAAATTGCAATATACGATAATTTTTATTCTGAAATTCTAAAAATTTAACTGTATGATGACTTTCGTGGAGTAACATTTTTGTTACTATTTGATTATTGATACCTTAAAAATTCACTTTTGCTTTGTTTTTAAAATATTCCATGCAGTTTTGCTAAAAATAGATTATACACCTTATTATCAAATACCCATTGTGAAATACACATTTTTATTAATGAATTTTTATTTCCTATTTCAATAAAAGTTATAAGTGAACAAACACTTTTGGGAACCACTGTAATTATAAAAATTCATTGATATATAATCACCTGAAACGGTTTTCCTTTGCTTAAGAAATATATGAAACAATATTTATCCAAGCTTTTATTAGTCATTCTGCTTTTGCCATTTTGTAGGTACACTTTGAGCAAATACAACTTAAAGTAACACATTAAAAAAAGTTTATTCAATAAAAACAATATATTTTACCAGCTAAACATATTTTCTCCATATGTTTTAATTTTTCGAAAATTAATGTTGTACCAAAACATTAAAAAATAAAAAAACAAAATCTTGTCAAAAAAAATTTTTTTTCAAGATGATATGTTAAACAAAATGTCATTTTGAATAAAATATTTTATAATCTAGACACTTTCCTTGTACAAATCCTACACTTTGTAAGAAAAGAAAAAAAATGCAGACCTGGAAATTTTAAGATTTTTACCTGGAAAAATCAAGGAAATTTGAAATCTGATTTGAGTGGACACCCTGATTAAGTCCAGATAATGTAAGTAGCAAGAGAGATAATGTAGGCATTTTAAAAAAAACTGTAAAATACAGATTATAAAACACAATATATTGCGTGTTAAAAATCTTTCCTGCGGCTAGTGTCAACACGATAGATTAAGTGGTAACTAAATGCATATTATTATCCAACTATTTTTCTAGAAAATGGTAGCTGAAATAAAAATAATTAACTTTGATTTAACCTTTATATTTACCATTTTTTTAATGATATAAGTATAACCACCTGTAGTAGGCTGGCAATGAACATATTAAGCACCTTGATAAAAAAATCTCAGAGTGGTATAATAACTATTAAAACAGAACTAAATGCTTCAAATAATTTATCTTCAACTGCGATAAATTTTTTGTTGTTGAATGATGGCAGTAAAAAATAAGAGAGACTAAAAATTCTTTTTTTTTTTAAAAAATAAAAAATTTAAAGAAATAATTTTATTTAAAATGAAATATATTTATTTAAAAGATACTTGGAACTTCGAAACATCAAATGTTGCTTCAGGCTTATCCTTATATTACTGCTCGAGTCTAAGAAATCATCAAAAATTACCCCAACCTATTATTTTTTCTATTTCTTCAAAGATGATAAAACATCAATTTTTTTTCCCTCTCTTCCATTCATTGCTCATTTAGTTTTCCCCAACTGTAAAAAGACTTCTAATTTGAATTTGCCTTTTTTAAAATAAATTAATTAATAGTAAGTTTGTATTTCAATTTGAAATTTTCTATGAGAAAAAATTAATAATAAAAATTTGTTAAGATGCCTTTGGCTAATACTTTTGATGTTTGGCTTATGAATAATATGAAGTCCTTAGTGCGAGCCCTGGTTATTGATTTCTTAAAAATAAACTTTTGATTTGTTTTTAAAATATTCCATACAGTTTTGCTAAGAATAAAAAATAATTTTTTATTACTAAAAAAATTATTTCATTGAAAGTCGTAAGAGTACAAACACTTTTGTGAGTCACTGTATTTACATTTCCATATAAAGCCATTTTATACTGTATTTTATCTAAACAGTGCTCTTTAAAAAATTCATTGATCACATTTTCTTTAAACCAGTATCTCAAGTCAAATGTTTAAATAATGTTGTTTTGAATAACCATTATTATTTTAAGAGATTCAGTATACAAAAATGAATGTTGCAAATGCAAAATTATCTAATTTCTCTGTCGAAAAAAATAGATAAAATTCTTTAAATTTAATTCTTTTTTGTTTAGTTTTTTCTTATTTGAAATTAAAATATTTAAAGAATTCCAATCTAAACACATGGTTTCTTAATTATATAGCACAGTTAATTGTTTCTACAACTAGAAACTGGTACCTGTACCATGTAGAATAAAAAAAAGGTTTCATTTTCCTTCTTCCTAATAAACACATATGAATAAAAAAAATTATATTTTATGTTTATACATCATTCAACATGTTTCCTATAGTTTTCCTTAGTCTTTGTCAGCCTTTTAGGGTAAAAAGAGAAACAGTTTTGGAAATGTCATCTCTGGAATACAAGCAACATTTATGAATTTTCACAGGGTGCGTAGCCAAATCTTTGAATAAAAAATAAGCACTTTTTAAAAACTTTTGAAGCACTTTACAAAAATTTTCAAACACTCAAAAAATTCATATTCAATCAGTGATATCATTGAAAAACAAAAACTTTTTATAAACAGTTTTAGCGTTAAAAAAACCCCCAAAAAGAAACAGACGTAAATCGAAACAATCATTACTTTCCCACATCATCGAGTGAATTCAACTTGACCCTGAACAAAAGTACCCCCTATGTCAAAAAAGTGCTAGAAGTAAAATAAAATAAATAATAAAATTTAAATAAATTAAAAAGAAAAACATTTCATAAGGATCTGATAATCTCCATCCGAGCACTCGGGTTTCGGTTTCAAGTGTGCGTGCATGCGCAAGTTATAACGTGGGTACGACATGAAGTCCGCGTGAATGACTAAGTAGCAAACTCCCCATTTTTCGTGAAATGCATGGGATCTACCAGATATCACTAAAGGGAAAAAAAGCACTTTTTAAAAACGCCAGCTGAAAAATGCACCTTTAAAAGCTTTTAAAAACGAAATCCCCAAAAAAGCACCTTTAAACTTTTTACAAACGCTACGCACCCTGTTTCGATATTGGAATTACTATACAATTCGAATTTTGAATCAAAAATTTAATATTTACCAACAAAAAAGTAAAATTAAATGTTAACATAAAATTGGTTCTTAAAAAAAAACTTTTTTAATTAAAATATGTTATAAAAGGTTAAAATGAAATCGAGAAAATTAACATTACTGCAACAATTTGCTGACAAACATTGTTGTTAGTGATTGTAGGAAAATGTGTGATTAGTTGGCTCTGCTGAGAAAAAATAATTTACGGATTTTATTGAATGCAAGTACAATAGCTTTCAGAAAAAGAGTGCAATATAAAATCTATTATTATTAAATTATAACCAACTTTTTGAGAATTTTATTAAGTTAGAAATATCAAATTTAAATCATTTTGTCAAGGTAGAAAAAAAAATTACCACCCAAGTTTCGGAACTAATTCAAGCCATAAATGGATTCAGTCCACTGACAAGAAGAAAAAAGAAATCCCACTTTTTAAGAACAGAAGCAAATATCCTAACTCCTTCCACCTCCACCACAATCCTTGCATTTCCTAAACTGCACAGTCCCATAGTCTCCATAGAGGTCAAAGGTTTCTCCATTCGTTCAGTAACCATGATAGAGTTATGTGTGGCATTATAGTTAAACAGGGTTATTATAATAGAACAAATTTTAGATGCAAGCAAAGTATTGTTAAGTTGATGATGTTTAAACTATTTTAAGATACATAAGTGTAAAAAACGGATGGTAAAATAATTTAAATTAATAAATAATTTAAATTAGTAAAATTTAAAAAAAAACTAAGAAAAAATTTCAAGCTTTTCTTTAAAATTCCCTGATTATTCCAGCATAAAAAAATTCCAGGTTTTCCCGCTGTCCACCCTAAAATCCCTATAAGATTTTCAGCAAGGTGAAAGCAAATAACTCAAGTGAATCTGGCAAAATATGCCGTAATACTATAAAGTGAATAAAAAAATTTGTGAAAATCCTAATACTTAGCAAAACAATATTTATATGTATGTATATATTTACACATGATATTTATACTATATATATATATATATATACTACAGTCTGTCTCAAAACTTTAAGCTCACAGAGAAATTCACTAATACTGTACAATTGAAAACTGCATGGAGTAATATCGGGAAAATTCTTAAATTATAACCAAAATGAAATATTATTATGAAATGCTCGTAAATTAAAATTGATTTTATTATTGTGATTTTTAAAATTTTGTTTAAAATGACCGTCTCAAAAGTGCAAGCACTTAATGTGCAAGCACTTAATGAAATGTGGAGATTGGTTGGATAACATACAGTAGCAGATCTATATTAACACAATTCTATCAACCTCTATAATGAAAAATTTTTTCTCTATAATATTAAGAAAATTGTCACAAACCATGTCTTAGCACTAAACATACCATGACCGTTTAAGAACATTTTGTAACTAAAATGCGCTTATCATCTTATCGTTTTTGCACATTTGACTTCATGACTTTTTCTAACAATTACATACTGTTCATATTCTATTACAGTAGGGAACCGATTATCCGGAACGATCGGGACCAACGCTATTCCGGATAACTGATTTTACCGGTTTTCTGAATCGCTACAAAAAGCCGTTTTTTTTATTGTTAAAAGCAACTAAAAAAAAAACTATTTGGAAATAATCTTAAAAAGAAAAAAATATGAAGTAATACACTAATGATTATTTCCAAAATGATGGTAAGGTAAAAATCTTTTAAAAAAGAAAAATCCTAAAATTTTACAAGGAAAAAAAAAAATTTTTTTTTAAATGGCAGGAAAATTTAACGAATTTCATTCCGGTTTTTTGGTTTTCCGATTTCCGGATAACGGGTTCTGTACTGTATTTTTGTTATATTTTGTTTGTTTCGAATAATACTTGTCATATACCTATTTCTACCACAACCGGTCATTTGACCGAAAGAACAATTTATTGCTTTATAAGGTTGTTGTATCAGAAATAACGATGCAATGCATGTTCAACTGATGCGCAACCCATGGAAGCTTCTTAACACAATGAATTTTTTCTTCCAAAAATTAAATTAAAAAAACATGGAGAATTTCAATTGCACTTTTTTATCACTTTTTGACCAGCTCAATTTTCAAAAAGGTTCTATATTAGTTTCTTGATCGCTTTTTCCGCGTTTATTGTATGGAATTCCGCATAGTACATAAAAAGAAACCCAATATTTTTAATACGATATTATGATACATGAATTTCAAATTTCAGTAAGGTGGTTATTTCAAGAAAAATATGTAATGCCTTTTTTCCCATTGTATGAATGAGGTATTCAAAGCAATGCTGCAGCTTCGTTAAAATGAATTGGTGAGAGCAAACTAGCTGTCCAAAAAGCTACTAGTTGCTGCATCAACTTGGCATTTTTTAAACTTATTTTGCTAATAAGCAAATAAATATGGGGCTTAAAACTGATAGAATCACAAACTATTTTTTTTTTAAACTTTTAAGCTTACATTTATATTTTATGTAAAATAAATATTAAATACAAAATTTTGTCACTTTATTGGTATAGGAATTGCAGAGCTTGTTTTGATGGAAAAAAAGGATTTACTATCAAATTAATTGCAATAGATAAAAATATTGCTGTAATTATAACAATAATGAATTGGGACATAAAAAATTTATTAGTGATAAGTTAACATTCATACTTTATATACAAATCATGATATCAAGCCATTTCATTTATAAAACTAAGGAATTTCTGGCTTAACATTTATTAAATAATAAGGCATTATTCCATTTTGCTTCTCTCAAACTTAGTTGTCATAATTTCCTAAAAAAAAAAGGAAAAACAGTAAGCACATTTTAGAGGCCAAAGAATAATTTAGAAAAATAATAAAAGTAAATGATTTTCACCTCATCAGAATCCAAAAGACTAGGAAGAGCTCTGAAACCAAAAAAAGAAGAAAAAAAAAGGAATATTAGATACCCTCCTTTTTTTAAATGTATACCCTCCAACAAGCACTGAATGACTGTAGTTTCAGAAATTACTTTTTTTAGAGGCACTATATGGCTCTGAGTGTTGGACACTTACTAAGGCAGCAAAAGATAAACTGCTGATCTTTGAAAGGAAAATTTTGAGGAAAAATTAAGGCTCTCTGAATGAAAATTACATATTACAAATACTTTATAACAGTGAGCTCTACAACAAATTTAAACAGCTCAATATCATTTAAGCATATTGTGTAAGATGGCTTGGACTCTTGCAAGGATAAGAAGGCTTCAATCCTGCAACTGGCTTTTGGCATGTCAGAAATTGGAGAACAGTGGCCTCAGATAGACAGCCAAAGTGGGACCTGTCCGAGATGGCCTTGGCCTGTTCTAGGACTAAGAATATAACTTAGGTAACATAATAAATTATAATTTTAAAAAATTTTGTCCACCACTGCACATAAATAATATAAACAGGTTAATTAAAGGTAGGATGGATTGATGAACAGGGATTAAAGTTCTGATGGATGTTTTATAAAATTCTACTAAATTTCTGCTTTTTCTATTCACTACTGCTGAAATCTGTAATGTTGGAGGGTATGTAAATGGTATAATTTCACACAAAAAAGAATTCTTAACTCATTTCTAAGAATCATGAATTACCTAACTATCGAAACACAACGTTTGTCATAGATGTACAGTAAAACCTCGTTTGTTTTGACTTATTACATCAGCTGAACAATTGCTAAAAGTTATGAATAATTATTTCTGCACTACAAATAAATAAATACTATAACATACATTGCTTCAGTGTGCATAGCCAAATCTTTCAACAAAAAATAAGCACTTTTTAAGCACTCAAAAAATATTTTTAAGTACTATATAAATTAACTAAATACAAAATAATTTTCAAAGACTACATGATTATGATAAAATAACTAGTTTCTGACAAAAAACACCTTTCTTAATTATATTAGCCATTTTAAAATGATCAAGAGATTTTTTGGCTCAATATCAGAGAGTGGAAAATGAAGCCTGAAATTGATAATATCTTGCAAAATGCAGTAGAGTTGCACATGAGAGTGCAATAATCTGAACCCAGCTCAGTTGACGCACATGCGGTCTCGCAAGTATTTCATCAAACATGTAAAATGATTGGTGCTTTCATATACTAACGACCGACGGTATACCGTAATTGATTGTGGTTGAATGAATTGTTAAAACATTGAATAGAACTATGTGAAAAGCACAGTTTCACAAAATACATGGCGAAAATAGACATTCTCTTTTCGAAAAGGGAAAATTAAGCACTTTTTAAAAACACCCAACGTAAAAAGCACCTTTAAGGGCTTTTAAATAACGAAAATAAAAAATAAGCACTTTTTAAAAATGCTACGCACCATGCGCTTATACATCTTTCAACGGTATGTTTTATAGGTATAATTCCAAAAGGTCATTGCAAGAATTTTAATTCATACTGAGTATTCTAAAATTCAACAGATGAAATCACAGGGGTGATAAAAGGCATTAAGAGAATGAAAGTTTACCATAGAACATGGAGTTGCAAACCACATTTAGATGGAGAAAATGACATATCAGTGCTTAATTTAGGTAGGTCAAACCTCAACCAACCTCCGCCTTTTGTCTAGATCGGAGATTATCAACCTGAGTCCCTGAAACTTTGACAGAGGTTCCGCAAGTGATCATTATTTGAATGAAGTCTTGATAGCTTATTTTATTCCTTCTCTTAGATCAAGTACACTCATGTCCATAAATTAAGGACAATGAAGTTCAGGCACAGAAAGAGACAGAAGCCAAACAAATATGACTTATTTGTAAAGTCTATGTATTAAACAAATGGTAAAGAGCAAAAAAGATGCTATATGTTTGACATAATTAATAAAAATTGTGATTTTTACTCCCTGGAGCAAATTTCAAAAAAGAACCTATTTCAAAAAACAGTATAACATGGCTAGTATGATGGTTAATACGGAGTATGTCTCCCGGGCAATGCAATACAGGCCGTACAACGCCTAGACATGCTGAGTATCAAATTATCAATCTGATCTTGGGGAATATTACACCACTCATCAAGCAATGCCCTCCGAAAGTCTGGTAGACAGGTGGGAGAGGGTTGGCGGGATGCAATTCGTCGGCCAAGCATATCCCACACACAAGTCCGGTGAGTATGCTGGCCAATCCATACAGGTGATATCCTCCGATTGAAGGTATTTGTCTACAATGTTTGCACCGTGAGGACGGGGTCGTCCATAAACAGAAATTCAGCACCCATGGCGCCCCGAAACAAACTTACATGTTCCAGAATGACATCCCTATAGATGTGGCCTGTCATCGTTACACTCTGAACATGCAGGTTAGTTCTGGAACCAAGAATAATTCCTCCCCAAACGAGCCATCCTGCACCACCGTAACGCTGTCGTTCAATGGTGTTGTCTTGGTGGTAACGGGTACCTGGCGCTCTCCATATGAAAGTCCGGCGAGAATCAGACTGCAAACTAAACCTGGACTCTTCGGAAAACATCACACAAGACCACTGTTGCGGTGTCCACAATGCATGCTCTCTACTCCAGGCTAATCGCAGGCGACAGTGAGTTGCGGTAAGTGGAACACATCTGACAGGCCTACGATCATATAGACCAATGTGCCCTAAGCTTCTGTACATGGTATGCCTTGAAAGTGTCATACCGGTAGCTGAAGAGAGCTGAAGAGAGACAGGTCTGATGCTGTGCTCCGTCTGTTTCTTTTGGCAGTAACTGCCAAATACCGGTCTTCATTCGGCGTTGTAACTCGGGGGCGACCTGTGCTGTAACGTCCACTCACATATTACCATCATCTTGGAATCGTTGCCAAAGCCTGGAGATGACTCTCTGGGTGATTCCAAGTTCCTCGGATATTTCCACCTGGGTACGTCCACATTCCAGTCGTCCGATGATTCTGCCACGTAAAAAATCATCCAAATGCTACCTTTGTGCCATAACTATGCGGTTATTGCACTGAAAGGCTTTTAAAGTGCTTGTGAACAATTTTACTTCTTTGCCACCATTCATTATATACCCCTCTCTTACATTCTCGTCATTGTGACGTACTACCAGCGTCATCTAGTGGTTTCCTGTAATTTGCATATTCTTCTTCAGGATGTGTGTCATAATTCTACAGGTGAAATTTTAATTTTAAAGTTTGATTTCCGTGTGATTCTGAATTATCCTTAATTTATGGACACGAGTGTACTTCCAAATAGGAGCTAGCTCAAAGAGTACCAAATATGGGCAATGAAGACTTTTAGGGGGCATTAGAAAAGTAAGGGGTATTTGAGAGGTATCTGAGATTTCTGGAAGAGCTATAGATGAAATTGGTATTGAGTATATAATAAAATTTATAGATTTTTAATTATATATCGAAGAATTATATATCTTTCATATTCAGCCTATATCATTTTTATTAAAGCAGTTATGGTTATGTAATTGTAGTATCCACTTTATGATTTTAACGTCACCATGATCTCACAAATTTGTAACTTTTAGACTAGTGCTTTAAATTTGGACTACAAGGTTAATACATTTTCTAACTTAAACATACATTCTTTTTCTAAAAAAAAAATTTTTGAAATTTATTATTTAAGAACTTTAATTGCATTACATTTAATTTTATAAAGACCTTGTTTATAATGAAGTTTTTAAATTAACTTATTTGCATAATTTATATGTTTTTTTGGTTTAGTTATTCAAAGAGATATTATTAAAAAGACATTAATTTCAGATTTTCTTCTGTTAACTTATTTTATTAACTTATTACACTCTGACTTGATTTTGAAATACGTTTTACTCAGTTATAGTTGTACAAAAAGTAGAGATGGATTACATTCATAAACAGCCTCCCTTATTTATATTAGAAAAATTTTTAATTTAGTATTTAATTTAAATTTGATACCTTGAACTTATTTCCATGTAAATACTCATGAAAATCAGGTAAATACTACATTGGAATTATTCTCATCAAAATTTGTATAAAAATGTTTTCTAAACAAATGCATTGGTCATTAGGTACCTTTTTTAATAATTCAAAGGCATTGTTATATATTGAAGTGGATTAAATAAAAAAGACTGAAAAATTGAAAATGCATAAATAGATTAACAGCCTGCATACCTTTTTTGCTATTCTCACACTCTTAGTGTGATTAGCGACCCCATGTTCTACAGTAAGTTTTTATCATGTTGATGCTTTTTATCACTCTTCTGAATTTGTAGGTTAAATTTTTGAACACCTATTTTCTAATTTTTGTATATGAGACAGGTATGGTAGGACTTAATAATTATGACAATGATATTAGAATAACAGATAAGGTTAACTTATAGCAAGCAATTTTAGATGTTTAGTATACTACATAGCAAGCCAAATTGGAAATGCTTTGTATTTTAGAACCCTTCTTTAAAAAAGAAGAAAGAGCAAACTCCTAAATTTCAATTTGCTTAAAATAAGAATAATAACTATGTTTTAAAAAAATTTCTCACAATTTAAATTATTAATGCAAGCTAATACATTATTTGAAGGAGTTGCGAAAGAATAGTAGAATTAAATATTTGACCGATTGGCCAAACTAGGCAAACATTTGGTTTTGGTCTAATCTTCCCTGAATCTCAGGTTAAGTAAATATGAAATCCTTGTAATGTAATCCTTGAACAACAAGTTTTCTTTATAGCGGCAGAAAATTTACTTTAAACCATGTTTAAACTGATATTTTTTATTTTACTTAGCTATCATTTTAACTTAGCTATCATATCAATTTACAGAATATAGATTATGAACGTAACAAACATTAATTTAGATTGAAGTGGCTCCCACCCCATTTTATCCCAGAAGCACGATTTAGATCAAAGGGGTAAGGCCAATGGAGAAATCTTTAACTATACAGAACTAAAGACAATTCTTTGAACTTCATTACATATACCTTCACAAATACTAGTCCAAAGATTAATCAAAAGTGAGTAATGTATAAATTAAAAAGCAAATTTACACAATTTCACTAAAATGTCACTCAGAAACTTTATCTATTCAGCTCTTTAATTGATAGTAATATCTGGTTTCTGATTGATAGCACTATCTAGTCAATTGGCTGGAGTCTATATTACTCACATTAGAATAGTTCATGCTGGAACATCTTTGTTCCTTTTAAGTGAATTATCTGCTTTTCATAAAAAGATAGGATCTTCAACTTTCAGTTCTACATACATAGCTGCCAACATGGATAGGGAAAAATCCAGTAGATTATACGAAGAATAATAAATTTCATGATAATTGCTGCATAATGTATTAAATATTTTACACATAGGGAATTTTAGGGATTTTTATAGTCATCAAAATAGAAAAAACTGCAATATATTCTAGTTATGATTGACATTAAATATACTTGAAATATTATGTGTTAAGTCAAAGTAAAAATCTCATAATATCGAATAATAATAGGCATTCAATTCATCAAAGATAGTTTAAAGATTTCTTTCATTAATTAAAAAAGAGATCAAAATAAAAATAAACTTAACATTTTATAACAAAAAAAGTTTTGAACTGATTTCTATGAATAAGGTTCGCGCCATTATGTATTTGTAATACTTATTTAAATATTCAAATATGCAAGCAATAATCTGTACAAAAATTCTATTTCAATGGGGATTTTTTTAGGAAACTTACTCAATTTTAGGGAATTTTCTAAAATGTACAAAAACCAGGAGAATTTTAATTAAACCAAGAGAAACTGGCAGAATTCAGTAGTCTACTGGAAAATCCAGTAGAGTTGGCAACTATGTACATACCAACAACAACTTTTAGTTAAATTACCAGTGAACTTAGTGCAATATTATATTCAACAATTAAAAATAAATAAATAAACAAATTTCAGCCAAAACGCCCTTGTTTTTAATATCACCATGAAGTTCATTGTGACTAATAAGAAATGGAAAACTTATGATTATTTTTTGTGAGAAAATATCATTTCAAGTTTATGAGTCTTGTTACATCTAAACACAGACCAATGCAAAATATGCTTTTCTTATTAGTATGAATTTCAACATACTTTTAAAACATGTTTAACAAATTAATAATAAATATTTCTTTATGGAAAATTCAGTGTTGTTACTTCTAACGACACAACTTGTGTCTAATTTTTTCAGAGTGAAGTGAATTTATTAAAAAGATTTTTTATCTTAATAAATTTCTAATATTGCTTCTAAAAACTTTTTCGAAAAAAAATATTTCTACATGATATACTAAATGGCATGTATTAAGACTAATTTATTTTTTTTCTCTTATTTGCACACATTAAGGGAAAACATTCTAAATATGAGAATCAAAATAAAGATATACATACACATCTGTTAATGATGGGGGAATGTTTTCCTCAACCCATTTTAGATCTTCATCCTAAAAACATAAAACTTGCATCATTTTATAAACATAATTTAAAATATATACACTGCAGTTGTATTCAGATTAGCAGGTTTTTGAGTTGTATTCAAATCTCTTAAAAAGTAAATTACATAAACATACACTATTTGTTACACATTTAGATAATTCAGTGTTTGAAGGGATATGATTTCATGTTAATGCATAATATCCAATTATCTCCTAAGGGCAAATCTATAACGATTAAAGGCCATAGGGTATAACAAATGTTGTAATAGTAATATCATGATTATGAAGAAGATACATAATATAAATAAACAATATTTGGATGATAAACAAAATGAACTGGCTATATCAAATCATAAGATTTTGTTAAATCCTGAAGAATATATTTATGCAAAGATAATAGTTAAAAATCCTTTGGATACTTACGTAATTTTAGAACCGAATATAAATATGTTAAAGTTCACTCAATTCACAATTAGGAACAGTTTAAAAATTTTCACAGATTTCAAATTAAAAATAATAAACACTATACTTGTAATATTTTTCTAAAAAATAAATCTGAGAAAACTTTATCTTTGAAAAATGGGCAAACGATTGACCAAATGTATCTTATTGATACAATGCAAGATTATGACTATTCAAAACTAATTTCAAATGATTCTAGTGTCAAAAACGGAGATAAAATTAAAAGACAGGCATTTTTTAATTTAATTGTACCAACAAAAGATGCAATAGATTTTAAAAAAAGTGAATTACAAGAAGATGATGTGGATGAACCAAAACAAAGACAATTAAAACTAGGTATTATTAAAAAATTATCAAGTCTTTCTAAAATCTTTAAAAACACTCAGAAATACAGATAATTTTATTAGATTCTTTCATTCATGATTATCCTGTGGTTGTGCAGAATGCTTTTGGATAGGAAAAAGAAGACAAATCATCTCAAACAGAAAAAAAAAATTAGATTGGCTTTAGACTTATGATTAATAAATAGGATTAAAATTTTGTTATATATTAGAATATCTCTGTCCCATCAGGAGCATACCCTCTTTAGGAAGATACAGAGATGATAGTGTTTTTTCACTTCGAATTTGATTTTTCTTTTATTTTTTACATCAGACCCAGTGTTTACTTCCATTTGATTATTCTACATTGAGTACAAAATAACGTTTGTGTTTAGCGCAATACAGCTGCTTCTGGCTCTGGGATATTAAATTGTAGATTGACAAAATAAGTATTTTTCCTATCAGTATATGAAAGTTTATTGAAAGTGATAAAAGAGGTTAAATTTATAGTGGACTTTAGTTTTGCATAATGCACAATCTTTTTTTTTCATTAAAAATTTAGTTTAAACCAAAACCATTGTTTCCCAAAAAATCAATCTTAATAAATAATATTTTTGTAGTATAAAATTCTACATTTTTCAAACATTATTTTTTTTTCTGTTATAAGTTTTGAAAACATAAATTCTTTGCTATCAATTCCAAGAACTTCTTTAACTTTTCTAGAACTACAATATTTGTACTAAAAAAAAAGAAATTATATACTTGACTCTAATATGAAACCAATAAATTCATTATTTATCTTAATAGTTTTGTAAACGTAACCAAATAGTTTTCAAAGCAAATTACAAGCTGGCATAGTTATTTATTTCATTGAAGTCAAATTCAGTGACAAAAAATTTTCTTGATAAATGTTAAAATTTTTAATGACAGTATAATGAATATTAATTTAAAATTCATTAGTGTAATATTGAATAGTATAAAATATAATAAACAGAAACAGTACCAGATTTGATTTGGGCTCATTATGGTTTGGAGAATTGTTCAAAGATTTTGTTGAACGCATCTTCATACCAACTGAAATAAAAGAATCAGATTTTAAATATTAATATTGTTGTAACAGAAACTTTTTGTAACTGAAAGTCTTTAAATATTTTATACCAAAACCATCATTAGCAACTAAATTGTCTTCATCATCCTCATCATCATCTATGGCATCTAACAAAGGAGTAAAGGCATATCTGTAAACCAGAGGATAGGTTTAGAAATTACATCGTAGGATACAATAAAATTCACTAATAAACATTTACAGCAGTGATTTCCAATGTGTGTGTGCAGCGATGAGTGAATAAATGACAACACAAAACAATAGATATAATAGAACAGTGTTTTCATCATCGAAAAAATACGGGGTGACAATTTCTCACCCTTTCTCAAAAACAGGGTGAGATTTCAGAAAGTTAAGTGAGATTTCTAAAAACTAAAAAAACACAAATAGACTTGGAAAAAAAATCATTTCTTTTATTATAATACATTTTTAACGTCTTCTATTTTTTAAAACATTGAATATTTTTGCTGCATCATCATAAAAGATTTTGCCTTTACTAGGTATTTGTCCATCTTACATTAGTGCATAAAAAATTTCAACGTCTTACATGAAAAAACCTTACCTACTGTAAACACGTGGTTGCAGAGAAATATGTTCTGAAAGGGGTTCCGTGGTTCGGAGGGGTTGTGTTCTGTTGTTCGAAAAGGTTCTGAACAATACTGGTAAATAGGGAAGGTAGATAACGGGGCAAATGTTGAAAATAATGAAAGATCCAGAAAGAAAAGTTAAACGAATTTTATTCTAAATGGCGTAATTCGAAGCTTTTTCCAAAATGCGAGAAATTCGCGAATTTTGAAATTGATTTATAGAATGCGCGAATTTCTCGCGGTAATCATTTTTTAATGCGAGAGAAGGAAAAAATATGCGACATTCTCGCGCTGTAGTGAAAACACTGTAAGAATTATTTTACAATTAATCATACTTTTACTTAGACTAGGAAGCTGTGAAAAATCTTACCACAGTTTTCTTACAAAAAGTTTTGGAGTCATTAATATACAGGTTTCTTAAAACTCCAACATTATTACAGTATAGGTCCAATTACAAAACAAATTATTAAAATTTGAGTACAATAATAATATTTTTTTATCAATTTAAATATTGTATACTATCTACGTGCAATTTTAATATTATATTCTGAACATCCAAGTTCAAGTTTTTTAAACATTTAGACTAAAGCATTTATAAACAATATATTACAAAGAACTCAGTTGATTTTGATGGTTGAATACAAATATTATGAGAAAGGGAGAGATTTTTCTTGAAAAGCAACATAGAAATGTTCGCATAATCGCTGGTAAATCATTGTGTAATACAAGTAAATTGTACATCAATTAAAACGAAAATGTATTCTAATTCATCTGAAAGCATCGTTTTGCGGGATAGCCAACAGTGATAGGATGTGTTTTAGATGTAAATAATAAGCTCAGAAGAATTAAGGTAAGTATTCTACAGCCTCATGCAACCTGGTGGTCATACTCATAGTCAAAGAAGCCTTTGATATTGAAAGCAAACAAAATCACCAATTGAGATTGTTATATGGGAGCCAGGTATAAAAAAATTGATAGGAAATAAAATTTTAAAAAAATGGTTAGTACCAAAAAAAAACGATATGCCGCAATATCCCTTAAAATACAACTGGTGAGCTACAATTTTTAAAAACAATAACAAAGACTTTTTTTTTTACATACCCTTTCTTGACCAACCAGGATCTAAATAACAGTTTATCAAAATGAAGCTGAACATGTACCTAAAGTAGGAGTTTAATTCAATGACATCAAATGAAGACAAATTCTTGGAAAAGCACTATAAAATCCTGGTTTATTTATTTTGAAAAGCATCGAGGAGCACCATCAAAAACTACATCATCTATATCATCATTACACAGCTGGTACATGATTGGCAAGGAATAGAGGCACTAGTGGTGGGGAACAAACATGGAAGCATCTTAGAAGGAAATTTTGCAGATTCTTAAAGGCATTCCGGAGACTTGGTTGTATCCAAAGAACCATATAGGGAGTCAATTTTGCTGCTTCATTTTGGTATGTAATAGCGAGTAAAGACAGCACCATCAAAAAGGTGAAAGCTCCGTCTCTCAAAAAAAAAAAAAGAGAACGGGGAGAAAAATATCTAAATCGCTCAACACGGAAGCGGAGTGCAAGTGGGATCACAAATCTCGAATGTTTCCATATTAGCAATAAGGCCGTCAGTGCAATTAATTTTTTAAATGATGAAAAAAGTTCATCTCTCAAAAGAGAGACTACACACAAACAATGGCGAAGGAGACGCCATCCTTACCTCCTAACGAGTACCAGATATCAACTGAAAAATGCAACAGCGCGACGTGATGATACTCACAAATGATACTCACAAATTTCGAATGCCTCGTGTGAAAATTTTCGCTCAAAAAGTTTATCTCTCAAAAGAGAGACTACACACAAACAATGGCGAAGGAGACGCCATCCTTACCTCCTAACGAGTACCGGATATCAACAAAAAAACGCAACAGCGCGACGTGGTGATACTCTCAAATTTCGAATGCCTCGTGTGAACATTCTCACGCTATATTTATAGCTGCTACAACTTACAGTTACGTTAGCAGTTATTTTGTCAAAATTAAATTGAAATACCTCCCCCTTTTAGTGTTGAGATGTTTTGAACATTTATTTCTTAAATGTTAAAGTTACAGCAGCATTTTTCGCGACCGCATGCTTGCCAAGATCAAAAGGTTCCGCCACAGGTGTGGAACGTTCCCAGAACTGGGATGAATGGGCAAGGAATTTTCTTGGGGAGAGTGTGTCTATTGCCTAACGCTTAAGGGGCGAGAGGAATTAGATCAGTAAACAGGAATTAGAACTAGAATTAAATAACAAAAATTTGAAGAAATTAAATTAAAACTTATGACTCGATGTCACAGAGATAAAAATAATAAACACAAAAATAGTATTACATCATTCCTAACCATTTCAAAAAATTTATAATGTTTACGTTTCATTAATTAAAAATTTTGTTTATACACATTTTTATATATATTACATATATTTTAGGAGCCATAAGTATAGGATAAACATTATTTTTGAAATAAATAATCGTTGGATTTAATAAAAAATTGAAAGTAGAAAATTTGAAAGATTAGTACAAAAGAGAGTTTTAGTAGAAAATTTGAAGTTTTATATTGGTTTGAGAATTTTAGGTGTTTTACAATTTTAGGTTTTTCTATGAATATTATGTTAAATGTCTTAGATGTAAAAAGATACAGTTGTACAGCATACCACTAGCATTAATTCTTTATACCCTTCATGTTGAGATTCTCATCTACAAATCATGTACATGTGTTTGCTGAATAATGTAATAAAAATATATGTTTCTTTTTTGCATACTTTTTTGAGATATTTCAGGTCAAATGATTAATAGTAATAACGTATATGTACGATAAAATCACACAAAATGAACAGGTCAAAAAGGGGTTAATTAAATTTACTTTTCAAGATTAGCATGTTATAATAAATATTGTCGTATAAAAAATATCAAGACTTTAAAAATTAATGGTAGCAACATGAAAATAAATAGTGATAACTGCAGAAAAATTTATTTAAAAAAGTCAGTAGTAGTCAGTACAGGTCAAATAGTAAATACTCAGGTTCGCAATTTGATTTACTGTACCATACCATAATACTAAAAAGATTTTCAAAAATCATGTGGAAATCAACAGGAATAACTGCCAAATTATTTTGATCAAAATGCTATATGGATTTTATGCAAATTAAGCATGTTAAAAAGTAATTTTTCAAATGTGCAATTTGAATTTCCCATTTCTTAATCAAATTAAAGTGATTACTTAAATGCGCAATTCAAATTTTATGTGTCGAGATATCAAAAATCAAAAACCATGAAAAAATCAATTGAATTAACTGTAAAAGAAAAAAGATGGAAAATGGATTTACGATGGCACAGAGCACATCGAAAAGTGATTACTAAAATGCACAGTTTGAAATTTCCTTGTCGTAATATCACATTAAAAACTGATCCAAATAAAAAACAGCACAAATATATCACATTGACTAAATAATACTTCATTTACAAATCAGAAATTTCAACAAAACTGCTACTCATTAAAATATAAGTCTAAACAAAAATGAGAGAAAACACCATTTTTCTAGTGGATGATATTTAGCCATTTCAGAATTACGTTTTAGATAATCAATTTTATATTATTGAGTTTGCTAGTTCATTAATTCTAGCAGAAGATATGGAATTGTTTGTTGCCATGTATTCTTGAAGTTCATCCGAAGTTGCATTTATCTCTACCAAATCTGTATAAAAAAAAAGTTATTGCATGCAAATGAGAACTTAGGAAGAAATAAAAAGAATGCAACAAACATTAACAATAAAAAGAGTGCAACATTAACTATAAATGTCTCGTTAGTTAGCATAAGTAAAGAAATTTAAATTTTAGACTAATTAAATTTTAGATTTATGTAATTAAGTTTTAGAGTTCTACTAGAACTCTAAGAAAATTTTGTCGTAATATAAATATTTATCTGCGGAAATCTGTGGATAGCCGGTAATTAATAAAACATCTGGGAGAATGATTTGAATCAGTTCCAAAGGTTTAGTTTCTATTTTTCTATTTCATTTTATATGATATGCAGAGCAAAACAAAAATTACAAACATTTTTATTCTCTCATTTGTATTATACATAAAAAAATCCTTAAAAAATATGTGCCAAACAATAACTAAAATGATCAATAAGAAATTATGCAAGTGTACTAAAGAAAATTTCATTTTTGCTTCTCCAAGTCTTACCTAAAACGAAACATGCAAAGCACACTATTTCCGGAAAATAGAATTTTTTTTTCCTTTTAAAACTCATAAAAAGTAATTATTTTTTTTAAAAAAATTTATAGTAATTATTATTTTTTTAAAAATCTCAATAAATTATTTTTTTTCCTTTTTAGCTTTGTTTGGTAATTTTTTATAGATGGAAAAATGAATGAAATTATGATTGCAACTTGCATTGTCATCAAGTACAGAATTTAAACTGAAATTTGGGCATTCAATCTAGTCATAAAATTGCTGCAATTTTAACTGATGTTAAATTTCCTTTGACTACAGATTTCACTAATAGTGCTCAGGAAATAATTGAAACTTGTGACATCTTTCAGCACTAAGCTCCAGTTGAAATTTGATTGACAGCTTTAACTAGTCAGAGAAAGGTCAGACTTTTGTTTGATTATAAAATTCTTTTGGTAATAATATTGCAAGGAATACTGGTTTTAGTAGAGAGGAAACAATTGAAAGTTTAATTGCTTTTCATCACAAAGGTTCCATTAAAATTTATGTACATATATTTTGTCCAGTAATTCTTATGAAAAATACTATGAAATTATTATTTTAATTACCTTTGGTTATTATTAGTAGGACGCCATAAAATCATTATAACAAAGAGAATTAAGGAAAATAAGAAATGCCAATATGCTTCATCAACCCATAGTTCTTTCCAGTCCTAAAAAAGAAAGTCTTAGTAAAAAGAATTAATTAAACACTATTTATTTTTTTACAGTCAAAGATTTTAAAAAAAAAATGCTTATGCTGCAAATCTTGTTCATTAGAAGATCTTTAACAGATCAACACTTAGCGACCAATGCTTTAAAAGAAAATCAGAAAGTTGTCAAAATTTTAATTTATGTTAAATTCTCTTTGGCAACAAATAACAAAAAATACTGTTCTTAGTGGTCAAAGAGTAGTGGAAAGTTGTATTTCATATCAAAGGCTCTGTTAAATTTTGAGTGCTTTAGAAGTAGGAAAAAAGGTCTATTTTATTGACCATAAATTATCTTAGGTGATATTGTGATTAATTCTCATTGTAATGGTTAGGAAACAATAAAAAGTTGTATTATGATCAAGGAAAGAGCTCCAGTTAAAATTTGTGTGATTTAATTAATCTGAAAATTTTTGAATTTTTTACTACAAAATCAAAATTCCTTCTGTAGAAACAGCGGCTTGCAGGAACAAAGAAATTTGCTTTTGACAGTTCTATGCTTATACATCAGATTTTACATTAATCTTTTCGATAAGTTTGTGATAAATTCTATGATATAAATAAACGCAATAAAATTTAAATGTTTTTTTTTCTGAAACAGTATATTTATTTGTAACACAAAGTCAGACTTCAATAAAAAAAAAAAGGAAGAAATAGCTTTTAGAGAACTATCACAAGAATATTTAATGGGTTTTCTTTTTGTTAAATTTAGAGATAACTTTAAATATGTATCTTTTTGAAAAAGATCATGCATCCCAGTTATTTGATAGAGATATAGTGGGTCTATTAAGAGAATGAAAGGTTAATTAAATTTATAGAAAGTTAATTAAATTTTCTGATAAAAAGCAGCTAAGAGAATCACAACATTTATACTGTTTCAGCAGCAGTTATTGGATCCAAATGTCAAAATTTTTTAGCATATTTCAAAATCTATCATATACACTGAAAATCGTGACACAATTTGTACCAATTCAATAGTTCAATTTACTAAAGATGTCAATTAAGTATGAGAAATTTTGAAGCCAAAGAAAATTAAATATACAAGAGCAAATGTGAAGTATGTTATCAAGAAAAGGCAAATTATCATTTCCCAATTAATAATGGCCCAGTTAATTATTTAGAAATGATTATTTTGTTGTCTTTCACAATAGCTAATGCTATGTTTTTGCAAATCCCCTTCAGACATTCCTGTTGGGAAACAATGTCTTGAACTACTGAAAAATGTTTGCTATGTTTTTCCAGATTATTAGGTGCATAAATATTTTTTGCTTGAGTTCATAGGTTTTGAGATACTTAAGGAACACTACAAAAAAACTTTTTCTTAGAGTCTCATTTGCAAGCACCTGTTAAAAGCCGGACAGTTTTTTGTAGTTAAAGCCTAAATTCCTGAAATAAGAATGTGTTCTTTAATAATGTACAGTAAGGTAAATAAACAACATATTTTTTATTCATATACTATATTTACATAAGTTTTTTCTTGTTTAATTAGAATGTATTCAGTATTTATTTACGATCTAATGCTTTTTGACATTGACATATTTTCTATGTTTAAAATTACTATGATAAATGGAGATTTGACTTGTTAAATTTGTAATTTAATGAAAAAGTAAAAAAATAAATAAAGTAAAAGACTTTTTAATGTAGAATTTTTCAATTATTCTAATAATTTGAATCAGAGTTGTACCACATGCTCCTTTTAAAGAGTCATCATAAAGCATGCGATTCATAAACATTCCTTTTCCCTCGTGTTTATATAATCATAAACCACATGCACGTAATTCATATGTTTCTCAATTTGAGTAGGTCAAATCTACTTGTATTTCAAAACCTATGGAGAAGCAATGCCTTCTTGGACCTAAAATTATATCTTTTAAAACGTTCCAGAACATAGACACAAATGAGTGATGGCTCGGAAGTGAGAGCATCTCATGCTGGCACATATATATGACAGAAGGAGGGAAAAGGACACTTTAAAAGGACTTTTTAAGGACACTTTAAAAACAATTATCGTGTCTTTTTTGTGAAGGTTGTATGACACAAAAGACCAATTCATGTATACAAATAATATTGATTTGAAAATCAGCAAATTGTGGAAAACTATAAAGAAGTATTAGCTACACTTCAAAGATATGTGAAGAAACATATGCTAACAGGCATAAAACATTTTCTAAAAATAAAATTCCTAGCAATATTATAATAAGAGGTAAAAATAAATACTAAAATTACTATAATGAAGCTACATTTTTTTCAATGGTAATAAAAAATGCTGAAGAACAACTTACATCAACACAACTAACTAATTTGTGAGCATGAATGGACCATATCATGAAAGCAGCAGAGCCTATAAAAAATTTTATAAAATAGTGTCAAAAACAGACATAGTATCATCCTTTTTTAATTTGATTTAGCACAGTAAAATCCTTCCTTTGAATGAAAACAATAATATATTTTTCAATAAAATAATGTATCCTTGTGTTAAGAGAAAGTTTATATATTTATTTAACTATTTAGAAATCTTAAAATATTGATGTTGAGCAGAATTAGAAGAACAAAAATACTTCTCCCTAAAGACCAGCCATTGAAGAGGGACAGATTGCACCAAAAATGTACAAAAATTATAAAAGTGACATTTATATTTTTTTCCAGTTTTTAACAGCATCTTAAAGATCTACATGATTAAATTATAAATACAAACCAAGACATATAGGATTCTTTTAACATCTCCCAGAAAGAAGTTAAAAATCTAATAAATTTGTAATAACTAAAACTTCCTTCTTTTATCTGTGAATAACTTTATTCAATTTCAAACTTTAATGATATATTTGGGAAGCGAGTCATAACCGGACTTATATATATATATATTTTTTTTATAACCGTCGTTGAACAGCTGACCCAATTTTGGGTTTACGACTACTAATGTTCAACTCTGTAGCCTTGTAATTTTGAACCAATCCAGAATACAAGGAAATTCCTGGACCAGTAGCCCCAGAGGTATGATTTGTTATGGGAACATGGAGAACTTCGAGATTTAATGGATTTAACGTGCATCAGTCACCATTTACTACACGGGGAGTCTTAGGCCGACGAGGATCGAACCCACGACCTCTTGGACATGGGCCCATTACCCTACCAACCAGGCTATCCCGGCCAACCGGACTTATATGTAATACTTCGTACTGATGAAATTGAGTAACTCTAGTGACATTTTACACTTTATTGTATGTTAAGAAAAAATTAAATTAAGGCCTTTATAGCAGTGCGGTCTATCTGATGAAAATTGAAATTTTTAGCAATGTTTTTTTCGCAGCTACAACGTGTACAGTGGTGCAGCATATCTACCCAAAATTACTGTACATAATTTTTATTGAAATATTTTTAAATTTGACTTTTATAATTAAAATGTTCTTCTCGAAAGTTCTAATTCAAATGGGATTTGAGATATAGATTTCATCCTGTATTTTTTGTGTAAATAAAGTTTCATTGTAAAAGTTTCTCTTTAGCTGGTAGTAAACAGGATATTTCATAGATTTATTTATTTGTGAATAATTATTGACTCCGAATTGAATTCTTCATATTTCTAACGCTAAAATGGCATTCCTTCTGAAACACAAGAAGGACTAACAGATTATTGATGTTTATATGGGCAGTGCAAATACTGACAAATTTAAATTATTTGAACATAAATGACAGTGCTAAGCAAAAATTATTAGGAAGACTTATTGAAAGAATTTTTTTAATTTATTGATAGAAGATAGAAATTGGTATCAGAAATTCAAAGACAATAAACAGAAGATGAAGAAAGGAAGCTAAAAAATAAAAAAGGATTTAGAATTTCAGAAATTACATACAAAATAAGAAAAAACATGAAAAAATTGAAAGTTTTCAAGAGACAGCTTTTTTTCAAACGGAAATCCGAGCAACAAAATATTTTACATGAATTCCATCCAAAACCTAATAACATTAGTTAATACTTTGTGCAGTTCTAAAGGTAAGCAAAGGGAGTTGGAATTAAAAAAAGCATTATGGGTATCATACTTGATAGGTTTACTGCTATGGGTTAGAGCAAATTCTTGTAAGAGAAAAAGGAAACTACGGATAATTACAATAAAACAAAAGAACTTTTATTAAAGAGACTTAAATAAGCATCAGAAAAATTTTTATAATTCTTCACAGAATAACAGAGTGAACCCAAGACAAGTTGGCTTGACCTAGCATATGAACTTAATTATTTCAATTATTGATTATGAGTTTGTGTTTTAAATTAGTGGTGATATTTTATGGTTAAAATTAAGGATAAAAGGTAACTAAATTATTTAAAATGCAATTTATTTTTTATTACATTAATTGGTTTTATAAATGTTTTTATTTATGTATAAAATATGTTTGTCAGTATTTATGCCATATTTAACAAGGATGTAATTTCCATTTAATCACCTCCTTCTAACAATAGTAGTTTTTTTTAATTACTGGGAAAGGGTGATTAATCAAAGAGTTTTAAAAATCCTTCCAGTTCCTATGTATCCAGTATTTAGAGTGTCAAATGCATTTTGCACACATAGTAAGATATTTGTTGTACACATACCTATAACAGACAACAGAAGAGTATTAGTGAAATGTCTGTACAATTGAAGTTTCACTATATTTCTTCTTAAGCGCAAAGTTCTGACTGTTTGAACTAAACTACTAAAGATTTATTACAGATGTTAAGTAAATAATCCACACTCTGATTATAATACACAATTAAACTAGCAATTGCTACTTGTAAAATGTGATATATATGCAGTCGCAGGGTTGCCACAGAAAAAAATGAACAAAATAGTTGCTTTTAGTAGCCTAAAGCATGAAAACAGTTGCCAAAATAAGAACAAAAATTCATCAAAAATTATAACTAAAATGTTATTAAATGACTTAATTGTCATATACCATTATCCATTTAGTCAAGTTGGTGGCAAATATGATAAATTTCATATAAACATTAGTGTTTCAGCACTAAGTTTTCATATCAAAACAATTAGTATATTTGCAGAAAAATAAATACTTTTAATTAGCAGAATTCATTAAAAAATACTTCTTCATTAAAAAAACATTTTTTTTTTTAAAACATGTTCTCCTTTAAATTCATGTATCGTAATATCGTATTAAAAATTGGGTTTTTTAAAATCATGCGAAATTTCGTAGCAATAACTATTGAAAAGGAGATCGAGAAATGAAATAGTCTTTCAATGGAATCTGTATGAATTGAACAAATTAAAAAGTGCTGACTCAAATTTGCCATTCAAAATTTTCGAAATTTTTCATTTTTTAAGAAAAAACAATTCAGTGTGTTCAGAAGATCCAGCAGACAGCAAATTTTCAACCCAATTTATCAATTTATGCTAAAAAAAAAACATAGCTAGGAGTACAGAAAAGTGTTTCAATAGTCTCCTTTTCCGGAAAATAGTTTTTTTTTTTAACCTTTTAAGGCAAAAAAGTTGCCATAGTCGTCTCATGTCGAGAATAATTGCATTATAGTCGCCAGCGGCAACCCTGCAGTCCTGTTCGATATCTTGATATAACGACCCCTTATGTCCAAACAAAAAGAAACGTTATAACATGAGGTTGCTATAATGTGAAGACACAAAATTAGAGCTAATATTTTCTTACATTAATAAAAACTGGGCTTGTTTTGAGAAAAACATGCTATACAACGAAAAAAATTATGAAACTGAAAGAATACTTGATATTAATGCAGTTTTTTAAAAGAGGAACAGTAAAAGTAGAAGCCTGTTAGAAAGAAATATTTTTTAATGAATTTAGTAACGACAGTGATAAACTTAATACCTTTTTATATCAGTGTGCGCATTTTAATTAATAAATTTATCTTAATAATAATTCTTAAATTTATCTTGTTACAAATACAAAAATTTAAAAAAAAACTAAAGTTTATATAATACAACAATTAAAACTTATTTTTTAAATTACTCAAAACTTGTACTCATAAGTAAAAAAAAAAATCCAAATTTTATTTTTTTCGCTGCACGTAGGATTTTTAAAAAATAATTTTCTTCACAAAATGGCAGAGATTTGGAGGAAAAAAAAATTCAAAAAATAACATGAAGTAAGTTACATTTGCTTGCATTACTCAAAATCAGGAAATACAATTAAAAAATCCCTATGTGCAACAAAACCTGTATTTATTGTTAACAATCAAAATTTGAAGTTAATTAGTTAAAAATTGTACTGCTTAGAGATATAGCAAGTAAGAAAAACAGTTTCGAGTAAATTGCATTTTAAGCCTTGTGATAAATCATCAATATAAATATATAAAAATTCTTGTTGGATAAAACAGTTTTGCAACTTCCTCTATGAAAATTTAAAATTTTTTTTTAAATTATAGCTTTCGAATATTAAAATCTGTCAAATAAAAAAGGTTGTTCTATATTTATTTTCTTGACAGTTAATTACAAAATAATTTTTTCTCTGTATTCTCAATTATTATCATGAAACTGTTGTAAATAAAAAACGATGCAAATGACAAATACGAAAATTTAAGGTTATTTAAAAGAGATTTTAATTTTTTTTTAAATTAATTAAATGTTCTGAAGTTACGAGCAGTAATATACAGCATTCAGTAAGATTACATAATTTAGTAACTAATGAGGAATCAAACTATTAAGAGCATATATCAGTACAAGAAAATCTGACTATTAGATCAAAACTTATTCTGAGAACATCTTTTTTTTTTTACTTTTGCCAATTGACATAATCTTCAATTACATACTGTTGCAATATATTTTGAGAGAAATTTAACAAGTTCTTTTAATAATTAATAACAATTATCATCGCATTTCTAAAATTTTTCTATTTGTTATTATAGCAAAAGATAGAAAATAAAAAAAGTTGTGCTGAAAAGTGAAATAACACTTTAAATAAAGGATATCCACCAGCAAATTATGCTGTCAGTCACAGCAAGAGGTATTCCTGCCATCAGGGCTTGATTACCAGGGTCGGTTTTTGGCTGAAAAGATCCATTTTGATTATATTATATAGTGAGTATGCTGTTAAAAGCGACAAAGTTGTAATATTAGTCTTATATAAGAGTGATAAAAAACCAAAAAAAATTGGTAGTAATGTTTCAATGTTTGTAGCAATGTTTGTTGTAACGTAGTAATGTTTTCAATAAGATATTTAAACACTACAGATATCATAGATGTTTTCAAACTTACTAATTTAAACTTCTCAGAACAGGTTTATCAGTTAGATTCCTTAACATAAATTATTATTATTTTTAAAGTTCTCAAAGGTAAAGCAGTCAGTTTTTTAATTTACTTTTTGAAACTTTAGGACCAGTTTTTAGTTTTTCTGGGATGCTGGTAACTTTAATGCAATGAATTGGTCATTTTTGATGGCACCATACTAGTAATAATGTGCCATGTCAAGTAAATGAAAGTTCAAATTTACTCTATCTAACCACTTTCAATTAATAAAATTTGATATACAGTGAGAGAAAAAAAGAAAAACCCTGAATAATTTTTGATTTAATGGTTGAATTTTCATGTACTAGGACTCAATCTAAATAGTTTGAGGGGATGACCTCAAATATGATAAATAGTTAGTGCAGATATTTCAAGCTACGAAATCAGGCACAAACGAATATTTAAGCTGAATATACATAGCTTTTTTTTTATCCTGATCCCTAAAATATAGGTGGAAGCTGCATTCGGTCAGGAGAGAGGTTGAGATTTTGGACCCTTTAATGTTGAGACTACCTTGAGAACATTTAAAGCAAATTAAAAAAATTTTGCATACGATTTTAAAATTTGTTTATTCAAAGAAAATTCTACATGAAAAGTAGAATGAAATTGGTCAGTATAGTTCCTGAAATTTTAAAAAAGTTAGATATCTAAAATTTGATTTTTCAGAAGCTATTTGACAGATTTTGTACAAATTTTGTATTTTGCTTTAGAAAATTACATTCTTTAAAATTACATAAAGTTTTTTAAACCTAACAATTCAATTTTTTTTACCATAATTAAATGAAATAAAAATAATAAATGATTATTAAAATTTTTTTTGAACGGGGTGGAATTATCTTTGGATATATGAATTTTATAATTGAGTGCAAAAATATTTTAACTCGCTTAAAAAGTTCGAGTTGTAGCAAAATATGCAAAAAGTGAAATAACAATAAAGGAGTCTAAACTTTTGACCCCTTTCGTAACCAAACTAATAGGACCATATTTTCGAGATTGGAAGTACCCCCTATATTTTTGGGTTCAGAAATCATAATCTGTTGAAACAAAAATATATGTATTCAGAGAAAGTATGTTTTTGTGTCCGATTTCTTAACTTGAAATATCATCTGCACTAATTAGCAAAAGTCACCTCCTCGAACCATTAATATTGAGTCCTGGTATGTGAAAATCCAATCATTAGATATAAAACTATTCAGGGTGTTTCTTTTGTTTGTGCGCATTGTATTTAAAATGTTTCAGCTGTTCCTTTAATTTCATATGCTTTAAAAAAAAGGCTTTCTATGTGTAAAAATATTGTTATGTGTAAAAAAACTATCATGGTAATTCATAGCATGACATCAGGTTTCATAGTGGTCAAAGAAAAATTAATGACAGCAACAGCATATACATATATACCAAACTACTTTTAAAAAGGATAAATGACTAACTAAAATACATACAATTTGCACTACTAAAGCATAATAAAGGTATATCTTATCACAAATACTATTAATTTCAGAATTACTTTATTTGGAAAAGAAAGTTTCAACATTTTCAAGTCTTATTTTATTAATGGACCATTAAATAACTCATAATAGTTAAAAATCAATGTATCAAAAATTTAGTTCAGCTGCATTAAAAAAAATTAACCAGAAAAAAGAGTATCAATAACAAAAACACAGAGAATATACAGCTATTTATTTTTGTACATAATTAATTTAGTGGCTGATTCCTCAATCTACCAATTAAAAATTCTATGATATGATTACTGTGTTGTGGATTCGAATTGATCATTATTTAAATCACATGAAAGACTAGAATCAATTTTGAAACTATTCAACTCCACCCTACAGGGTAAGTTATTGTATTTACTAAAAATAATAAAGAAGTGTACGGCTTCTGAGTTTATTTCCATAAAAATTTGAAGATGCAGAATTGTTTATTGAGTTTCTACATCATAAAATGACTGAATTCCCAAACAGTTTAAAACAATGAATGTATATAAATAGTGGATAGTGAATACTTTAGAATTTTGATTTTTACTAGCATTAATTATTAAAAGAAAAAGATGCTAGATTGGAAAACTAAATCTTTAGATTCTTGAAAAACCAGTTTTTGGACTCAGTTTTGGATTTAAATGTTCCAAAAATCAGAAAAGTCACATACTTCTGAAAAACTATGAATTAAAATCACTAAAAAATAGAAAAAATTTAATTTTCGAAATAATACAAATTTAATTAGAAGATTGTTATTTGCTTCTAAAATAAAATCTATACATTTACACAAGTACAATGAGAGTGCCTTATCAAATACACAACGCTATGTATTCACTATTTCAATTTGTTCCGATTTTGAATATAGTATTAAATACTGTATCAAATACAGTATTATGAATCAAGAACAGCTTAAGGAGTTTAAGAACTTGAATGAACGCTGTGCCTAAAAGATTTAAATGACATTAGTATTTAGAACTAAATTTAAAATCCTGAGAATTACTTTTCAAAATATTTTTTTTTTGTAAAAAAAGCAGGCTATGTGCAGTTGAAAAGTACTTTGAATTGATTGAAAATAAAATAAATAGAATTATGCTCACTTTTAAAACTCGAAGGCTTCCTTCAATAGTGCTGAATGTAAAATATACAAAGCCAACACCAACAATATGGTGGAGTGTTGGACCTAATCTCGGTCTAGATATAGTGAAGGAAAAAAGAAAAAAAATGTTTCACAAAATTTTTAAGTAAACATGGCTATACTACATATGCACATATCTCACTTACTTTACAATGCCAAAACCAAGACTAACAATTATTATTAACATTCGTGCTAAAGTTCGCTTCATTGAAGACAGTATTTCAGCAAAAAGAATAGCTCCTTGCACTAAAATATTCATAAATAATAAGTAATTATAAATATATGTACAGTAATTTCTACAAAGTATCTTACATTAACAAAATATTAAAAGATAATTTATTATAGAGTCCAAGCCATAGTCAGTACATCAAACCTTAGTACCTGCCACCTAAGACTTTGACACAAATTAATTAAGTTATTGAATTTTTAATTATAATAAAAAATATTAACATAGCAAATCATATTATTTAGATTTACAAAACATGAGTCATATTATGATAAAAAAAGAAGTATGAAATAAAAGATGTAGAAATCATTAAAATAAAAATAAAAGTGATTAAAAGTTCTTAAAAAATGTCCAGCTTTTTTAGTGGTTTATAACATAAATGAAAAAAGGGCAAGAAAACTAAAGGAAAAATGATTAACCAGAAAAAAAACCTGTCCACATGTAAGAACTGCATTCATGTGACTCTCATACAAGCAAATGAATCAATTTGTTTGATTTATTTATATTATGAAAGGCATTTATAGAAAAAGAAATGCTCTAAAAAAAGGAAGTTGAAAGAAAGAGAGAGAAATATAAATAAAGTTCCTCATTAATATGCATAGAGATACTAATTTATAATTAAGAAATGCAGAGTAAAAAGTAAACAAAAATAACCTGTTTGGTAAGTACAGTAGAGAACCGATTATCCAGAACGATCGGGACCATCGCTATTCCGGATAACCGATTTTTCCGGTTTTCTGATTCGTTACAAAACAACTTTTTTTTATTGTTTATCAAACCTAACTTAAAAAAATATATTTAGAAATAGTTGTAAAAAGAAGAAAAAACGATAAAGTCACGCATAATACATAAGTTTAATAAGATAAAAAGGGAAAAAATAATGAAATTTAATATATATATACAGAAAATAAAAATATATACAGAAATTAAAAATAGTATAAAATGAACAAATAGGTAAAATTAAAAAAAAGTATCAGCATTTTTTTTTAAAAAATTCATTCATTTTCTGTTGACGGAAATTTGGTTTTTGTTGCATAAACAACTGCTGAATCTTATAGATTGACATAATGTGGGATTCGTCCACAAACGGTTTCTGCTCCATCCCCTTAATAAGTTCTTTCGTCAACTTGATGCATCGCTCGTTCGAAATAAAGGCTCCTTGATTTTCATCTTCCTCGTCGCTTTCTTCAACTTCGTCGTTGTCTGCGCCGGGATTTGAAACCATCTCAACTATCTCAGAGTCTGACAGTTTGTTGACAATGGGAACATCGTTGTCGATGTTAAAACATTCCTCAATTTCAGATTCCGTGAAAATATCCTTTTCGCTCCACTCCCTATTGTATTTTAAAAGTTCTCTCTGAAGGGCTTTCTCACTAGAAAATTTGAAGCCTTCAAAAGGCGATTCTTCTTGATCGTCTTCGAAAAAGATCGATGTAGGAATCAGCTCGCGCCATGCATGCACTAAAGTATCGCAAGTTACTGAGCTCCAGGCTCTTGCCGCTAACCATATAGCTTCCTTTACATTGAAGGATTTCTGGAAATCTTGTACTGATTTCCCCTCATTAGAGGAATCAATCATTTTTTTTAGAAAATCTACTTTGTAGCGGCACTTGAGGCTTCTTAAAACACCTTGATCCAATGGCTGAATTATTGATGGAAGGTTTTTTTGAGAGGCAAGCAAGGTTTTTTTGAAACAAATAATTTAAAAAATAATTTTACTAAACAAAACATTTCTTTAGTTTTTTTTTTTTTTTTTTTATTTTTAATGCAGGTATGTAAAATATTTTGTTAGTTTTATTATTATTTTTAAACCAATAAATCTTAAGTCCGCTTTAATTTTGAAAGAAAAAAATTAAAATAAAGCTTGGGTTTGTTTTTGCTTAAGGCATTTTATTTTGTAATGAATTTATTCCTTTTATTTATTTCTGATTAATTTAAAGATTTTTGATCGATAATTTTTGAATATATACTAAATTGCGATACATCGCAATGTCTAACAGACGATGTATCAAGATATATTTGATTTGGGTGTGAGGGTATTCCAGGTAGCCAGCTCTCCTCATGTTAGCATTGATCAACACTAAACGTCATGTGCATCTCGCGATTTCTGAGAATACCAATAATTCTCTCTATTTCACTCTTAAAAAAAAAGTTTTCTGTCATCAGAATGATAAATTTTTTGTTTCTTAACTTGTTTTTGATGTCAGAATTTTATTTTAATTTTAGACTTTTTTAAGTGAAGATTATTAATGAATTTTTTTTTATCTGAAACATTGTGTTAGGGAGTACTTTAAGAGACTTCTAGGAATCAAAGATGACAAATAAAATAATTTGTTATAACTCTCCTGCATGAAGCAAGGAACAGATGCCAGGACTCCTACTGTGAGTAGCTCCTAGTTATGACTCTGCCTGCTTAAGGCTGAGCTGATAAGAAAACAGGTGTTCAATGAACCCATTCTCACTTGAGCTGTGATTGAAAAGAAGCAACTAAGTAGGGAGTGAGGAAGGGAATGATTGATGATATTTAGTACAATACTCTTCCTTCTCCTGACAATGTAGAGGGAACTAATGATTATTTCAAAAATGGGTGGTAAAGTAAACATCTTTTTTAAAAAAAAAAGAAGTTCGTTTTTTTTTTTTAGAAATGGGGGTAAAATGTATGGAATTTTGTTCTGGTTTTCTGGTTTCCGGATAAGAGGTTCTGTTCTTAGACAAAGTTGGCTGGTTAAAACCAATGTGATTTAAACCATGGTTCAAACCCAACTTTTTTTTCTTTGTTTTAAAAAAAAAAAAACAAAGCCTGTTTTTTTTCTCGTTTTATTTCTCTTAAATATTTTATCTAATTCAAATTTCTATTATTTATAAAAATATTTTAGCTTGATTGTAACAAAATGAAATTTTTTTTTTTACAATTTTGAGTTTAATTGCCAATGGGTTAATCATTTCACACAAACTGCAATTTTTAAATGCTTAGGAGGAAATTGGCTTCCTCAAAAATATCTATGTTAAATAGGATTGGCATTTCGTTTGAAAGATACCCAATTCTTCCAGGAGAGTAGAAAAAGCTGAAAAAAATTGGAAGAAACTGGACAAAATGGAAGAAGCAAAAATGATCAATGAAATTGTTTAACAATAAGTATTATAAGAATAACTCAAGTTTAAACAAATTAAATTTAATATAGTAACTAAAAGTTTAAGGTTTTTCATCCTTACCTTTAAAAAAAAAAAAAAAGCATTATTCATTTATTAATTTTACGGAGAATTTCGAAATCTACAAATCATATTATTTAAGAGTTGGTTTGAGTATTCATACTTAACATTATTTGGTATTTATAATTGAGAATTTCAATATGCATTTTTAATAGTATCTGTGTTTAGAACGTAATTTGTTTAACTTAGTTGCATTAATAAAATTTGATTATGTCATTTTATAAAATTAAGTTTTACTATACTCTTTAACATAAAATAATGAAAAAATTATTTCTAAGAAATTAATGAAAAAATTCCAGATTTTTTTCTGCTTTTTAGTTTTTACTTATTTAAAAATGATATGTTATGCAGATCAAAAATTAATACAATTATTTAAACTAGATTGCAATTATAAACTGCTTAGAAAATGCATTAATACTTGACATTTCTTTGTGAAAAAACAGTTTCTCCCATTTGGGTTGGAAAAAGCTTATTTCTTCTGTACCATTTTTTTTTTTTTTTTTTTTTGCATGGTATTTTTCAGCATTTTTTTCCTTCATGGAAAAAAATGCGATATATGTTAAATAATTTGAGAAAACTTAAAATCAATTCATAATGTCTGTTAAAAATGTTTAAAATAAAATAGATAGTCCATGTTTTATAGTTTTTAAAATTAGATAATGTAATTATTGAAAGAGTTCAAGTTTCTCAAAGCTTATTTTAATCAACACATTATGTTTGTTACAGTCAAAAGTATAAATAGGAAAGAGATGCTTTTCTAAATTTAATGTTTTCAGTTTAATTTTAGGATTATTTTCTGTCACCAGTGTGAATAAATTTGTATTGTGTAAATGCAGTGTTATATTCATTATTGTAATTTTCAAATTACATTTTTCATATTATATTTGAAAAAAAAAACTGTTAAAGAAAAATATTACACTCATTTAATTTTTCTTATTTATTATATGCTGCTGTATGTCAATAAGAATATTATTAAATTTAAAGCACTATCATGTTAAAATAAATTACACAAAAGTAATTTATTCCTTGTTTTTCAAACCGTAAGTACTAAAACATTTCTTTACAATTTTATATGTTTATATTTATCAAGGTTCCCACTCTTTTAACAACATAAAAATTAAGCACTTTTGAGAACTTTTTTTTTAAATTAAGTACCTTTTTGAAAAATTAAGGGGCTTAAAAATAGCATGGTAATTTATTATCGAATATACATATGCCATCAGTGACAGTACCAATTATTTACCTTTCTAAAAAAAAAAAATAAGAAAAGTAAGAAAAAACAATTTTATTATAATGTAAGCACTGATATAATTGTATTAACTAACAGGCCGGGCCAAAGAAGCACTAGACAATTTTTGCAACCCCAGGTCGTCTTTTTTTTTTTTTTTTTAAAAAACATTTTCAGATAGTTAAAAGGTAACGTCATTCAGATTGTAAAAGTTAACGCATGAAACTAATCTGTATTCCATTTTTAATGATTTCATTGAAATTGAATTGTAAAATTAAGTGCAAACATTAAGATTTGCAATTTTTTTCACGTATTAAAAGAAAAGAGTAAATAAAGAAATTTGGTGAAAACATTTAAAAAATTATTACAAGTTTTTATATTACGCTACTAGGCCAGTAAATGAGTTATATTAATTTTTATGATGAACTTTAACGAAATTATTTCCAGCCAAACGTTATTAGGAATTAACTTTACATAATGTTACTTAACATTCTGGCGAAAAACATAAACGAATTTTATTGATATTTTGATATTGATATTATTTTATTGATATTGATATTATTATTATATACTGCTACATTAATTAATAAAATTAATGCAAATAATGTTGAAATGCAATATTTTTATACACATACTAACAATCAAGGAGGTAATCTAACTACAGTGAAACCTCTCGGTAAGGGCCACCTGTCCTTCCATTGAAAATTGGCCCTTATGGGGGGTGGCCCTTAAATGGGGGGGACCAAAAAATAAAATGAGGAAATCAAAATTTATGTATAAAAAAACTGTTTATTAACATTTTAAGTTTTTATACATGTTTAAAAAAATTTTCAATTGAAGTTTGTTTACTTTGTACAATTTTTTCGCAAACAATTTTAGTTTCCAATGAGTCCTTAACTCTATAAAACAAATTAGTTAAATTCGCATCATTTATTAATGCCTTGGATTGGGATATCAGTTTATTTACTTCTATTAGCGTTTCTTGGTTTGATAAATATGGCACGGGGAACTCATGGGACGGGGGGAAAATGGCCTTTATTGGAGGTAGTCAGGAAAATGTGGCCCTCTAATGGGAGGAAAATTAACATTATGTCTATGGGGAAAATTTTCGTACCTCAAAATATTGGCCCTTAATAGAGGTGGCTTTTAAGTAGAGGTGGCCTTTAGGAGAAGTTTCACTGTATTACAAACATGCACTACTAAAATTATATTTGGACAAAATGTTTATTTGCTTGTTAAGTGGAGTTGTAAAGTAATAAATATGCATATTAAAGATCTTTAGTTAAACTTTTTTATCATTTTCACATATTAATGAATAAAAGTGAATTTTTTCTAGCATTCTTTATGAAAATATTAATCAACATCAATAGTTAAAAGATTTTCGTCAAATACATTTTAATGGTTCAATTTTTTTTAATTTTGGTCTTAATATGTTATTTAACCTTTTGTTTTTAATAAACCCAAAAAAACGCAGTTTAAACCAAAAAAACCTGTTATTTTTTTAAATTCTTTTTTTTCAACCTTGCACATAGGTATTTATCAATCATTTACAATATACTATTGATTAGAAAGAAAAAATTTAATTAAAAAGTTATACAAATTTTGGGTAATTTGATGCTTATTTTTCTAAAAAATGGTATTATAAATCAGGAAGTTATTATTTCAGTCTTTAAGCCACAGCTTAGTAAAAAACCAAAAGAAATCTTCAAAAGAATTTAAATAAACCTTCAAATATGAATTTGGAATTTTAAATGAATTTGAAGCAAGTCTTTGAATGGTAATATACAGGATGAAACAAAATTATCCTTACATTTTATTTTTTGTTGAAAACCTTATGCAAATAGGGTAGCTGCAGTAGTTAAATAAAGTGCTAAAAAGTGTCTTAATATAGTTAATGAAGGATTAATTTAAGATTAAAAGTTTTTTGAATACTTCTGCACAAGTAGATGACTGATAATGATTGACTGATTCTGTTCAAATTCAGGATATTATTATTTAAAATAACACAGTTGAAAATTTTGTATAGCCAGGGTTGCCACCTTTCTACACAGTTGGGGAAAATTTCTTCTAGCAGTAGCTAAATTATGTATTATTCTTTGCTTTGTAAATTTAATTTAAAGCTATTTTCCACACCACTACGTGTAAAGGATTCAAAAGTTTAGATGAAACGAGAGATGTTTCCCCTCTCTCGTGGAAAGACTTATAAAATGTTGACAAAATTACCAAATATCAAACATTTAGTATTTAATTGTGTACCACTCTATGAAACATTCTGCAAAAAACTTAGTTGTTTGCAGACCTGTATAGCTTACAATTCAAATTCTTTTTTAACCATTCTCAAAATAATGAAAAATAATAATTATGAAAAATCATCTTTTACAAACAATTATCTTTGGATAAACAAGTATTATAATCGTGCAACAAAATTATATGATTATCTTAAACAGTTACAGATATGGTGAAATACACAAAAAGTAAAATTAATATTAAGATGCATTAACTCATAATATTATTCTGCCATATCATCCCTATTGGGACCATATTATCCAGACTGCAACTACCTCCTATATTTTGAGGTTGATTAGAAATTGAAATTAATAAGTATTGATTTCAGCATGTTCATATAATTCAAATTAGTAGAGAAAAAAGCATTCAAAGAAAACATCTTTGTCTTTGAATCCATAACTTAAAATATCATCTGCACAAATATTTTAGTACATTTAAGGTCAGTTTCTTGAATCATTAAGATTGCATTTTAGAATATGAAAACCCAATCATTAGACTAAAAGATGAACTGCAATGGCTCAATAGTTAAAAGTGATTCATTATTAAGAACTGGGGTTTAAACTTTAGTAAGGATTAAAACTCATCCAGCTGCAGATTAATGGGGGACATGCAAGTTTGGAAAGTAAAGGGAACTTGACACAGTGCTAACTATATTGCCATAATCATGCCATTGGTCACAAAATTAACGAGCTTTAATCTTTTAAAAGGATGTGGCAATTATGCTTAGGATCAAAATTCCTCAAAGTGTTCATGTTTTAATTTTGCACACTGTGCAAGAGAAAGATATATACAGTGATACATACAACAATACAAAAGGTAAAAAAAAAGTTGATGAAGGTTCTGGTTCAATAAAACGTGTAACCTTCCGGGGATTGATCAATTGCTAATTAACGGATGTTACTACTAAATTCTGACTTTTGTTCACACCTGTGTGGATGAATGCCCAATTTGCTACCAGGATGCGAAGTTGTCGGTTGCTATTTCATTTTGCGTCTTTTTACGTCAAAAATCAAGCATTAGCATATACTTACCTTATTGATTTAAATACTAGACATTCAGTTGTTGCCATCAATAGTATGTAAATTTTATGAGCATAAACAGAGCTCTCGTCTGTACTCCAATGCTTAGGTTAGTATTTTCAGTGATTATTATTTGCTTATGTATCTTCATTGCTGTCTTGTAGATCATCATTTTGGATTTATGATTTGTTTTCTGATTTTAACATGTTCTTTTTGCATATTATCGTGTTAATTTTTAAATGCAACAATAAAAGTGATGTTCATGTTTATGTAACTGTCTGCCTTTCTTGACCTGCATTGTTATTTTGGTCTCTAGCAGGGGTTGTGTTATCGTGATAAAATGATTTTCATGCTTTTGGAAAAAAGCATGTGATGAGCCTGAACATAAAGACCTCTGAGAGAGGAGGTTACACCAGCGAGGACAACCTGAGGACATCATAAGCAATAGTCCACATTATATGCGAAGAGAACAAAAAGTGAACACCTTAATAACTTTTGATTTAATAACTGCACACTAAAATCTTAATTGCAGAGAGGTTGACTTTAAATATGCAAATTACATAGTGCAGAAGATATTTTAGTAATGCAATCAGACACAAAATTGTACTTCTCTTCCTTTAACAGATTCAAATTTATTGCTCACAAAATATGGGAGTTAATCATGAAAATATGGAACTAATAGTTTGATTATGAATTATGAGAGTGGTCAAAAGATAAGGTTCTTTTATGTTGATTTTACTTATCGTGAAATTGCGCCATATCTCTGATACCATTAAGATAATAAATTAAAATTTGCATATAACTATAAAACTTGTTTATAAAAAAATAATTTCACACACAGGTTTTTACATTTTCCAACATAATGCAATTTTAAATGACAAATTTCAAAATTTAAAGGGGATGTTCAAATAGCTTCAGAACAAATCTGAGAATTAATTTCAGAATTTTTTTTTTACTTTGGAAGTCCACTACGCACATAAAATACTTAGAATAACACAAATGACTCATACAATTAAACATTCATACAAGAAATGTATTTTCTTTTTTTTAAATATATTATGTAGACAAACTCTTTATCGTTAAAAAATAGCTACAAATGTTGTAATGAAAACAAGAACACCTATGCTTTACCTGATTGGCCAGTATAATTTATTGACTGGTATTCAGCATAAAATACAGCTTTTTCCATTAATCCTGAAAAATTGAAAAACTAAAGTCATCATTTGCTTCAGAAAATTTCCTACATAAAAATCAAGCCTTCAATAAATGCAAAATATATAGGGAAATGTGATTGCCCCCCCCCCAAATAAAATCCTGGAAGTAAACTATTAAACAATATTCCGAAACAGATATTTGTACAGTATAACTGAATTAAAAACACTACTTAACATGCACCACACTTGACGCTTTCAGAGCCCAATTTTGATAAAGAAGCCCGATTTTTGTAATTCAAACAATCATATACTACATTTAAATAATATTTATTTACACAAAAATCATAAAATATTTCAGAATAATTACGTATTTAAATATAAAAAAAGTACTACCCGACTGAAATAATTACAAAGTAAGTCAGTAAAGCATAGTTTAAGATTACATAACTCTTAACTATGCTTAATTTTTGCACTAGTCAGATTTAGTTGATACATTGAATATGATATGAATTGAATTGATATGATTTTTTCTCCCATGTACTAGTTTCAAAATTGATCTCTATTCCAGTTAAATACAAAATGATGTGCAAAATAACTGAATTGAAAATGCTATTTAAATAATATCACATTTGGTGCTTTCAAATGGTATTTTAGATAAAGAAACTTTTTTTTTGTTTATTTAATCAATCATATGTCACAGTCAAATGATATTTAGTTCCACATAAATGAAAAAAGGATAAAATCATATTTATTAATGGAATATATCCTTGAAATATCTTAACTTAAAGATTGTATCCTAAATAGATTCTAAAATATGATTTATGATTGCTCTTTTAAGGTATAGTGTGGAACCTCCCTCCATTTTAAAGATAGCTAAAATGTAGGGGCGTTTGCCTACCTAAAATTATAGATTTAAAGGTCTTAAATTATTGTTATTAGTAATACAGTACAGAACCCGTTATCCGGAAATCAGAAAACTGGAAAACCAAAAAACCGGAACGAAATTTGATTAGTTTTCCCGTTACTTTTTTTAAAAAAACAAATTTTTTTTCTCATTAGATTTTAGGATTTTTCGCTCTTAATTGAAAGATGTTTACCTAACCATCATTTTGGAAATAATCATTAGTGTATTACTTCATCGTTTTTTCTTCTTTTTAAGATTATTTCCAATTTTTTTTTTTAAGTTGGGTTTAACTATTAAAAAAAACGGCATTTTGTAGCAATTCAGAAAACCGAAAAAATCAGTTATCCGGAATATCGATGGTCCCGATCGTTCCGGATAATTGGTTCCCTACTGTATTAATATTAGAAATATATTTTATTACAATTTTGCTGTTATTTTGAAATGTATTATTTTCTAGCGTAAAAAAATAAGCATTGTTAATGATTAAGAATTGCTATTCTTCAGTAATTCAGAAAAGCGGAAAAAACTTGTTATCCGGCACAATATCAGTTCCCTGGATTCCAGATAATTGAATCATTACTAAACAGTAAAATATTGCTTTTAATTGTTTTAGGAGTACAAAATAATCAACACAGTGAATAATTTTTATTAAATTATTATTTTTTATAAAATTGTATATTTTATTAAAAAAATGAGTAAAAAGAGAAACTTTGATGCTTTAGATCCTTCTATTAATCTTAATATAATTGTTTAAAATTTTCAGGTCAATTTTAGAATATCATCTGATACAATATTAGTTGTTATGCACATTAATTTCAGAAAATTATTATTATTTTTTTTTGCAACAGCGCAAGGTATTAAGAAAAATGAAGAAGTGCAATAGAATAAAATATTTTAGCATTCAATGCTTAGTTAGAGTAAAGGTGCATAACCTTTTTGCGAGAAGGGCCACTTGTTGGCCAAGTTGAGTAACGAAGGGCCACACACATATTTAGTCATATTGGGGGCAAATATAATTTTTATATAAACGTTAGTGTTCTAAGCACAAAATTTTTTTTAAAAATTTTAAGGATTCTTGTGACGTTACTCTACGTAAAACAATACTCTACTTTCACTTGTCCTGTGTTACTTTCAATCAGTCATTTTGTAGCATTCATTAAATTGCTCTTAGCTTATTATTATTATTTTTTAAACAAACTGTGTTTTACATAATCAGAAAAAATCTAAGAGAATAAGGACAATGGAATAAGAATTCATGAAGGGTCTATCCGCATACAATAAACTGCATATTGATGTTCTTTTCTAAGAAAACATTCTGATTTTTTAGGAGTAGAAAAAGGGGAAAGGTAAGTTATTATTTTCATACAATACATTTTTTTTTCAAAGTCAAAAGTCATTCATTATTTTTTAACATACTAGCAAAGTTATGAAAAAAATTACTGTTAATAAATTTGATTAATTATTTATATCTAATCATTAAATTAATTATAATCCATTTTAATTATATCGAATCCTTAAATTTTGTTTATTTTTATTAGTTATTCAATCAGGTTTTTTTTGTTTATTTAAATAGAATTGACAGAATTAATTTTAGCGAAATGCCAAGGTGATAGAATGTATGCATTGGAAGACTTGTCACTAGAACACTATTAGAGTACACATCTGGCCAAACATTTTAAACCATGTATATATATATAGAGAGAGAAGGGGGAAGAAAACTGAATAAAATCTAGATTTATTCATAAAAATATGTCATAACTTTCTCCATTATTTCTTGAACTATTTACTAAGAGGTTAAAATTTTAAAAACTAAGTAAACAAAAATTTATTAATTTGTTTGTTACTAGTTCTAATACTGAAGAAAATTTCCATTTTTCTATCTAAATAGTAAAAAAAATTGCCATAGTTAGTAGGTAAGTAAAACAATATATATAACACAAAATTCCATAAATGCACAGCCCCAGGTTTCAAGGTTTGCACTATAAAGAGTTTTTACCGTAGTACACAATTTTTCAAAAATACCGATACTTTTCTAGAACAGACAAAATTTACGACAATTTTTAAAACTGAAAAACATTTCCAAATATAACAATAAAAAAGTTTAATTAAATTGTTACAATTATTATAAACATTCATTTTCAAATTACAAACAGATAAACTTAATGAATCACAGTAAACAAGAAAAAGAGATATCACAGTAAAAGAAGACTTTCATCTTTTGTGGTGTTGGGCATAAGTATCACAGTTGGTAAATCTGTTTTGCATCCTTCTAAAGGCTGTGATTAAAAATTACTGTCAGCATTATTTCACAATGTTCACAAAATGTAATTAACTTAGATAAAAATTATTAACTTTAAATTCCAATGAAGATCCAATGCTATAAAACCTGTTAAGAATTTACAGAAAGTACTAAAAATTATCTTCTAACATATTTCTTAAGTTTTCATTTTTTTAGAACCTTGCATCTTTGAAAAGTTTGCTTACTAAGATACATAGAGGGCATTTCAGTGAATAAAATGACTTAATATATTTCAGAATATAAATTATGGAAATTCAAAGATTTTGTAAACATGATTTCAGAATTTTTTAAAAAGTTGCAAAATTTTCAAAATTAAATTCAAATAAAAGATGTAACTTTATAACAACAAAATGTACATTTTATTTTATTTTATAAAACTTTTAAAACTCTTTGAAGAAGTTTTTTTCCTAAATTTAAAACATTTTGAAAATTAAAATTTTTTCAAGTGTCATTTCCAAATATTTTTAATTTAAAAAAAATGCAAAATAAGAAGGTTTTAGTGTCTTACTAAAGCATTGCTCAAACCCCTCTACCCCTTGTCAGCATAAAATCACAAATCCCTTCAAGTGTTTACATAACATTTAAGCCGCCTTTTAGTTCTGAATAAATGAAGAAATCATATAATGAAGTGAATGCTCTAAAAATTAATACAAGAGGAGGTCTAAATTTGACCCTAAGCAGAACTTACCTAATAATATCACTGCTCCAATCCAAAATTGTATGCGTAGTAAATCTCTCCATTGCAAAGCAGATAATATTAACCACACAATAGCATATATGACATAAAGGCCACACATGACTCCATAAAACTGAAAGAAATCAGAAATTAACTGCTGAAAATGATTAAAAGGTTTTTAATTTGTTACACTCTTTGTGAACTGGTGGTAAAGCTTAGTTTTAAATAAGGGAACATATTTCACGGTTCTGAGGTCATATGTTCAAGAGTTGGTATATCTGTTTTAAATAATTTTCATTGCAAAAGCTAATTATTTTCAACTGAACAAAGAATTCCAACAAGTGAAGATAATTTGACTTGATAGTTTAGCTTCAGTTGTTAGATAATTTTGGTAAATAAATTTTATACATAAATTAAAACATATTCAACTTGTTTTGAGAGCATACTAAAGTGCCTATAATTAAAACAGAAATCTACATAAAACTTCCACTGTTGCAACGGCTACAATATTTTACAAATAAAAAATAAATAGATAAAATGAGAGCAGATAAATGAGAGTTTCAGAAAACTGGAGGCTAATCTTATAAAAAGGCAACTATAGATTGTTGTCAAACCTTATTATCCAATTTGCATAAAATATCGGATTTTGAAAAACCATATGGAAAAATGTTCGATAAAACCATAAATAAATGAGGGAAAATTAGGTGAATTTCTGACAGAACTATCACAAAACCAGCATATAAAAAAATTTAGTATTCAAATTTAAATGACATAATATATAAAAAATATCAGAATTATAAAAACTAAGTGGAAATGACAAAAAAATTATCTGGAAACTATGGAATCATTGCCATTCAAATGCATCAATAAGGGATAACACAAATTCCAAAAATATATGAGTATTTTTTACTTATAAGTTCTTTCTTTTTTATTTAACAATATTTTCTAGCAGTATTTATTTCACTTTTTCTTATTATTCTCTACTATTATACGTTTTATTATTGTGATTATAAAAGTATAAAACAAATAGTGATGTCCCTTTATTATAAGATAGTCAAGTAATATTACTTTATCAGGCAACATTTTACGATAAACATATTTGAAACAGGGCATATATACCTTTTTAACTGTTCTGCAATTTCTAAACAGTAAATAGTTAAATTTATTTTTAAAATATGCTTTGCATAAAACTTTTTCCAGTCAATATGTGCAATTAAAATAAAATAGAAAGTCTCATATCAGGAACCACCAGGACTTTGGTAAGTTCAAAAAATAGATTTTTCCTGATAATAGGTCTTTAAGATAAACAAACACCAAAACAACCTTACTCAACAAAAAAATAACAAAAAGACGACAATTAACACCAATTCCAAGCAGCAACAAATAAATACACATGGTTACACTATCTACGCAACTTTTGTTACAGATTTCCACATGGTACTTAAAATTTTGATATTTTAATATGCCATTATAACATACCGCAAATTCTGAATCACACATTTCAGTTAGTAATCATTTCACAATCTACTCGATTAGCAAAGATTTCACAGTTAATCCGTGTGGCTTTAAAGATTGTTTTCAGCTACTATTAAAACCAATTTTTACTGGGTTTTTTAAATTTCAATCTTTTAATACAATATTATTTCATTCAGCAAACTTTGAGTCACACATTTTGCACTCAATTATTGATGATCTATCCGCAATTCTACGCGGACTACATTTTTGTTTCACAGTTTTTAAATGATCATACGTGGAAAATTTAAATTGCACATTTGTAGAATTACTTTCTGATACACTCAATTTGTGACGACTTTACTGTAGACCTGGTTTTGAAGATTGCATTTTTAGCAGTTCAAAATTTTTAATATAGTTTCGATAATTTTTATTTCATTTTTAATATTACGATCCGCAATTTCCGAATCGGGCTTTTCAATAACAATTTAATAATTTGGTTTAGTCGTGACTATTAGATCTCGAATCCACAATTTTTTCAAAATGTGTTGTACTCTGCATTTGAGTGTGTCATTCATAGAGATAATAATCCTTTTATATGAGTGGTGGGAAATAAATATGCAATTTATTTCTTGCTGCAGTGAAATGCCGAATATTGTTTAGGTGTTTTCTAAATTTTATTTCAGATTATAGTGAAATCAGATTAAAAGCGAACAAAATAGGAAGTCAGATAAAACTCATCAAAAAGCAGAAATTAGCTGAAAAGTGGAGGATTTTCACCCCTGCATACTATTTTTTAACAGGTCGTAAAGTGTGAAAAAAAAAATTTTTTTGAAAAGTGGAAAGAGTTGTGTTTATTTTGATTGTTAAAAAGTGTCCGGAAAAAAGAGACCTTTTCGATAAACAGACATCTGGTTATGGGACTTAGTACTGAAATTGACTTTTAGCATTATTACAAAATAATCTGTTAGGTGAAAAACATTTCATGAATTTTTATAATAAGTATAAATTAAATAGGAATTCAAAGAACAAAATTGTAGAGTGAATACCATGTTAAACCCTGAAAAATGATTAAGTCTTAATTTTATCTCAATACACTAGGAAGCTAAATCTGTGTTAAAAATAGAAAATTTAAGGATTTCAAAAATGAACAATTTTTAATTTTGATGTAAGAATCTGTGTGATTTTAAGAAATGAAAATTATTGTTTAACACTCTAAAAACTGTCAAAAGGTAGTTGCATTTTCAGAAAAAAATTAACTTTTATATTAGATGTAGGTCTCCTGTAGTATTATTAAGGAAAACAATTTAACTATAAAATAAATTAAGGAATAAAAAATATTTCTGGAAAAAAAAAACAAGACTCTCCCTCAAAAACTTAATAAAAAATCTAAATGTGCCGAGGTTTAACAAAAATAATTTTTTCTTTTACCCTGCCCCGTTTACATAATCACAAATGGTTTTCCTTTTTGAAATGTGCGTTCTCACACTACCCTAACCCAGACTAATGATAATATTTGTTTTTACTTAAATGCTTAACAAAGATAAGTGGTGAATGAAAATGCTATAAATTTTATGTATAGCGTTACTGTATGTTACTTTCTGCAATAAGGAAGATAGGTCAAGCTATGAAAATTGCATTCTTGCTGCTATTAGGATTACTACTTTAGAATTAATTCAGCTTTATTAATTTTGCTAATGAAAAGGTAGTTCACAAAAGAATTACAAGAGGTAAATTGGTCCACTGGTATAAGGTTCATTAAGAATTTCTTTGCCCAGTTTTGATCCTTAAGTAAAAAAAAAGTTAAAAAAATCCAAGATAGAGATACAGCAAAAAGTTTTCAGCACATAGTGACTTGGAAGCAGTTTCCTTGACAAAGAACTAAAATATCTAAGAAAGAAAGTTAATATTTAGCTCATTTTTAAAAGTAAACTGAATAATAGAATTTGAAGTGTTCAGGATCTGATTAATATCACCCTAACAAAACACCCGTCAATGTATCTAGTGCAGGGGTCGGCAACCTATTGAAAAGGAAGAGCCAAAAGTTACAATATACAAAATTTCCCAGTTCTTAAAGAGCCAGTAAAAATTTTTGATTCAGTATTATATTATTCGCTTTTATATATATTTGATTTTCGATTTAAAATAAACAGCTTTAAATATGGAATAATATTTATTCATATAAAAACACAAATATAGATAGTTACATCAATGGGAGTATTGGCTTTGCATGCCTTTTGAAAGTTTAAATCTGGCGAATAACTTGTTGCTTTAAATTTCAAGCACGACTCTAAATTTTAATTTGTTAGTCGGTTTTTAACTTTACTTTTTATTATATTCATGCAAGAGAATGCTTGCTCACATGAATATGTCGACCCAAAGATCATCAGTACTCTGCCATCTTCGTCACCTCACTGTAGTATTCTGGAAGACTATTGTGCTGAATATTGCCTTATATGTGCCGAATATGAGGGTATCAACTAGCAGAATTTCTTTTAGAGCTATCGACTTGTGTTACGCGATGTACATGCATTTTTGAATCTCCAACTCTTCTAACTTGCTCTTGAGTTCTGTGAACTTGCCACTCCACAAATCTTTGGTTTTCATAATCAGAAATTGCATTTGAAGTGATTCAGCATCAATTCCAAATGACTCAATGTTAATCTGTTTTTTATTTGTGTTGAGAGGATTTACTATGAAAGCGAGAACACTTTTGTTTGTTTTGATTTGCTTAAATCTATCTCTCAGCGAATCCATTCTTCATGTTTTTTAAAGCTATGCTGAAGTAATTCTTGTCAAAAATTAATTCTTGTCATTCGTCTCATCCCAATAATACTTCAGATTTTTAAAAAAAAAGAAATTTACCTCTCTCCATGCCTTCAACAAAAATAAGTAATTTGTTTATGAAATAAACTACTTCTTCAAGCAAGGCGTAGGCTGGGTTGTCCTTTGCTTGAAGTTTCAGATTTAGTTCATTTAGTTTCATTGTGGTATTTACCATGAAGTTCAATTATTGCATCCATTTGTCTTCTTCCAATTCGGATGTTCAATGCTTTTTTCATTGAGGAATGATTTTATTTCACTCAAACACATAGCAAAACTTTGCAATGCGTTACTACTGGAAAACTATTGCACTTTATTGTGCAGAAGTAGGTCAGAAAACTAGCAATCTTTAAACTGGTGATGGTAGAGTGGTTTTGCCAAGATGCTGTTAATAATCTTGATTACCAAGTTTGTAACATCAACTACTTCGATCAGAAATATTTGGGCACAAAGCACTTCTTAATGAATTACGCAGTGAAATGTAGGAATTTTGTGGTTTATTTTTTTCTGAAAAATTGATGTCACCCCTCTATGTATTCTTGTCATCCTGTCTTGGGTGAGATAGAAATGGAACGAAATCGGCAACTGGAGAGCAGCGAGTTTATATCAAAAGAGTCACATGTTGCTCGCGAGCAACAGGTTTCCGACCCCTGATCTAGGGGGAAAATGCAAGCTTTATATGTTAACTTAGCTTCAAAATCATTTATATATAAATAATTATAAGCTGAACTTAGAGAGTTATAGATAGCATAACCATCTGTCATACTGTAAAAGGTTCCTCCCTTAAACAGGTCTCTACTGAAGTCAACATTCAAAAATAGTTGCTTCAGTAGCCTCTAAGCTCAAAAATTGTAGCCTAAATAGGATCTTCTGTTAATAAAATTAGCACATAGTATATAAAAACGTAATGATATATGAAAACAAAAATGTATACATATTGAAGGGTCACAAATTCTTATTTAACCCGGAGGAAAAACGCTATTGAAATCACACAAATAAGAGTACAAGAATGCACATGTAATAAACAACAAGACTGGTTTAATTGTGTGAGGAAACAGAAGAAGATTATTTGGAGGTTTAAGAAGATTATTTCAAACAATTTCAAGTTTTAATTTCCTGGCTTGATGTTCATTACATCTATTTTTCTCTACAGTAATTTGCCAGATTTTTGTTTATTCCTTGCTTAAATATTAATTTGCGTTCTCTCATGGATCACATTTGACACACACAGTTTGAGATGATAGTGCTGTAAATTACGTTGTTTTTCGATCCCTTTTTTGGTCATTTCCATATGCTTTTTCAAATTCCAATATTTTCAAAATGAGTATTCATACATTCCACTTGATTTTCAATGATATATGTATATTTAAATGGTTGCCTTTTTCTGAAAATAGTTGATTTTTAGCTACTTTTGTAAGAGTTAGCAGCCATAGTTGCCTTCCCTTGGTTTCAGTAGCAAATCGTCACATTTTAGTTGCCATTGGAAGCCTTACTTAAATTATAGTAAATATGCAGAATGAAAGTTTGCAACAAGTTGATAACATTTCATTGGAAAAGAGAAAAACATTTTGCATGCAAATAACTATTATCAAATGGCTTTAAAAAAATTATGTACAGTAAATACAATTTAATTATTAAACACTTACAATAAGTAAAGGATAGTCAATAGCAGAGAGATAACCATGGTCACCTTTCATTGCAACATCAACTTTAAAAGAAACATAAGACTTGTATTACAATAAAACATAATCTAATACATTAGCTTTAAAAAATTAAGCTTAGAGATTTCTCAAAAGCTATCTCTTAAATGAATTAACTTTTTGAAAACATATATTTCAGATTGAAAGTTCATATTATATATATAAGTTCATTATATTGTTTTTAAACAACAGAAAAAATTTAGAACAATATTGGTATTTTCTTTTATTACAATATTTCTAAGAGTACTTAAATTAATGAAGCAACTCATACTTTTATTTTATATAATAAATCACTTAAATTTAATACTATAAAGAATAAAAATTGGAAAATCAAAATTTTTTTAATCGGTAATCTGAAATTGAATCCAATTAAAAAATTAAATTAGTAAAAATATTATGTAAATATGAAATTAACATCACAAGGAGGTATTAATTACAGTAAAATTACCAGTAGCATTAAAGCTTGTTTGGTCAACGCTTTCTATTTTCAAAATGAACAAATATACTCCATCTAGGTCAACAGAGGTAAGTTTTGGGCCAAGCTGTTAAATATATATGAAATATTTTATTTATATATACATATAACACAATGAACAGACAAAAAAAAAAAGGAATTAAAGAAAAGAGATTAACAAAGAATTAAGAAAAAATAATTAATAAGTTTTATTTACTGTGTATAAGCAGCAAGTACATAGAACCCATAAAATGAATTAAAAATAAAAAGGAAACAAGAAAACAAATATATTTTTAAAGAAAAGATGAAATCATGATCATGACTAATTTTCCCTAAATTTTGGTTAATAGCATTATAATTAAAAATAATTCCACTAAGAGTTTTATTATTTTTATTATAGCTTTTAATTATGTTAAAATCTTTTAATGGAAACAAATTCTTTAAATTGTCAGATATATTATGACATTAAACATATCAAAAATAGGGTTTTGAAAGCCATCAAAAACAGGGTTTTTCTGAAAACAAATTATCACATGCCAAGAGTGAATCCTAATGGTTCAAGAGGCACACATTTAATATGCTAACTAATTAGTTTAAACAATAATTTCAGGGTGGGGTCTCTATAGAAAAAATCAAATTTCCTGAGATTTCTAGGGTAAAATTAGATAAGCTTGGCAAAAATTTTCATGATTTAAAGCAACATACTTTTAAATGAAATTTAAAGGGTAACATATAATTTTATAAGTATTACAAATTTATATTTAAATACAGAAGAAGATTTTTTTTCATGAAATTAAATAAAAACAATTTTTCCTACTATCTTTATTATTTTCAATATATATTTCTTTACAGGAATTATTTAGAATTTGGTTTCCAAATATGTTTATTTTTTAAATGTTCTAAGTTATTAAAATGAAATTAAAATATTAATTAGAATTGGTTGGAAATTAAAATTGGATTATTTATTAGAATAACACTAATGGAAAAGAAAATAAGTAAAAGAGCTACAGAAAAATTTTTTAAAGTTACAATTGTTTAAATAAAAGTCTCTTATAGACTCTAATCTAGAAGATTTGTTACTGTATTTACTGAAAATCATAAATAAGCATATGACCCCTGAATTCAGCACAAAAAAAATTTCATAATGCAAAATCATTAATTGAGCTCCCTTTCAGAAAATGGCTGCGGGTAAGGTTAATTTAACGAATTTTACCAGCATTATTAATTAAAATAAAAGGATATTAAATCAAAAACCTAAATTTTTCAATTTTTCTAATCAATTGTTGTAAAATCCGTTTTTGTATTCAGAGAAAATACAATGTTCTGAACAAAGACAAAAATCGGGAATATCAGGATAAAAATCTAAAACTCAGGACAAAATATTTTTCATCAGGAAAAATCAGAAATATCAACACAACTATGAACTCTACAAGCCAAAACAAAAAGAAATTAGCCACAAATAGATATTTAAGGGGTCAATAGCTTAGAAGGACAGTGAAAGTGAGATAGGGAAACGGAGTTTTAAATTGTTAATGTTATTTCTACTTTTTTAGCAATCAGGAAACTAATTGCAAAATGGGAAATAATATTGCATTATTCAATATAACTTGCCCCAAAATGATATTGTACATAAGATTATTTTTAATAATGATTCAGTGCATTTCTTTAAAAATTAATATAATAAAGGTTAACATATTTACTGATTTGTAAGGTATGCCAATTTTTACACGATTTTAAACCACCTAGAATGAAAAGTATGACTTTTTTTGTTTAGTTATTATAACTGTTTATTTTTTATTAAACGCAAATGATAAAATTTTTAATGCATTACTCTCATTTTTTTTAGCTTTGCTTTTTTTTAATTGTTTCATTAAATTTTTATTCATGTATGGGACACCACCAATAAAATATTGTGAATGACCACACAACCAACAGTTCTTAATTATTATGTTAAGAAATTAAGAAATTTTGAAACTGAAATTAAAAAAAATTTTCTTTGAAAAGTAGAGCCATCCAATTAAATAATCATACTATACTTGAAGATATCAATCAAGATATAAATTAAAAACCCCATTAAAAATTGGAATTTATTAGTACAGAGGCATTTTTAAGTTTGGGCCTAGATGACCTTTTCCCAGCAGTGACTCATAATTTTTTTTTTCCTCAAAAATTTGCCAAACCAATTGCCAATTTGCTTAACATGTGTGTTCGAGAAAGAATTTAAAAAAATATTAAAAGAAAAATTGGTTCCACATGCATATCATTTATCATGTTAAGTTTTACATGGAATTATAAATAGAAAAGAGACAGGCTTTTCTATTCATCAACACTTTGTTATTAAGGTTAGAAATTTTAGTTAAAAAAAAGTTTTTTTTTCTATTTTCAAATATTTTTGGGGTGAAATTAAAATTACAATGCAAGGCAAAAACTTAAAATTTTTTTAGCCCATATTTTAATTTTGAGAAATTTTATATACTTACTTTGTCTTTGAAATTTTAAAAAAATTTATGATTTTTCATTATTTTTTAACCTTGTGAAATTTTTAAAAATAATTGTTATATTCTTTTTCAACAGAAAAATATAATTTAAGCTCTTATTAGTACCATCAATTTGGAATTCTTTATTTCTGATGTTTATTTACAAAGTTACGAGAATTTAAAGTGTGGAGTTACGTATTTTCTAAATTATTAAAAATTAAAGGTCTATTTTGAAATGAAAGAAAAAAATAAAAACAACAAACTAATTACATAAAATATTATTTTTAAGAATGTAAAATAGTTTTTAAAACAAATAAATAAACCTGAGAAACTAAAGTGAAAAGACCTTGCTTGATTAAACACTTCATTTGCTTAAAAAATATACAAATCCGAAATAACAGTTGACATGTTTCAAGTGCTTAAAAAAGGCAAAATAAAGGTGATAAACAAACTAGAAAAACCACAGTAGCCAAGAGAGAAAAAAAGATAAAGAACATAACAAGTAAAACCACAGTGATCATATGGAGAGGAGATGATGTTGTTAACAACGGAAGCAGCATTCATATGAATAAAATAAAATTCCAGGGCATAAAGATGAGCTGATGTGACTGTGGTGGAAATAACTTTGGCATTAAATTGAATATTTGCCCAATATTCCAACAATGTGCAGCAACTAATGATTTCTCATAATGTTGATAATGGACAGTTTTATTGTCTTCTTTAAATCTAAATTTTGAAGCGTAGTTTGCTCGATGAAGCCAAGGTCGAACTTACAAGAAATGTGGTAAATACCCCAGCTATTATCAAACCTAATGGGATCTTTAAGAGACTTAAATTCAATTTTGCTAACAGGTTTAAAAATGACTTTAAAACCAAAATGAGAAGAGATATTAGCAATTTATAACAAACGGAAGAAAAAACTTTAAAGTAACAAGTTTTCTGTTAGGATTAGAGGAGGATGAGCATTTGGGTCTAGTGAATTTAGCAAGAACTGACTCAACTATAAAAAGGTTAAATCCATAGTTAGCAGCTAGCCAGCAGAGAAAGTTAAGCTCAGAATTTAAAGAAGTTAGAGACCAATGGAGTCAGAAAAAGTTTGGAGTTAGACCAAAGATTTAGTGTGCGGAAAACAAAAGTACGAAGTGTAAAAATTTTCAGACAATTAGGGTGTTTAGAATTAACATGAGGGGCCAAAGGGACGACAAAGTGTTTATGATTAACAGAGGTGGAAAAATTATCAGAGTATTTAGTTACAAGAACATCTAAAAAAGGTTAAGTAAAATTAATTTTCATGTCTTAAATTGAATGTTGGAGTCAGCCAAATTGACAAAAGAAAGATACTCTGGAAAATCATTTTCACTGTCTACTAAGACAAATGTATTGTCAACATATCTTTTCCACTATGAGAATTTGAAAAATTTAAATCATTTTTCTTCGAAATAATACATGTCACAATGAATGGGATAGAGAAGGCTGCTCATAGCAAAGCCCTCAATTTGTTTATAGAAACTACCATTAAATTAAAAAGCAGTTTGCTAAATACAGGAATTGACAAGAGAGATAATATCATCAATTTTAACAAAAGAATAGTAAAATTCTTGCAACCATAGTTTTAAACAATCAATAGCACCAGAAATAGGGACATTAGTGAAAAGAGAAATATCAAGAGAGAGCACAGTTTTAATGGATCGCGAAACATGTGCTAGCTAGGAAACAAACATGGGAATGTTTACAGTATGGATATTGTTGAGGTGAGATGATGCTCGTTAAATTAGGAGCAAGTTTATAGCACGGGGTATTAATGTTCGAAACAAAAGGTCTAAAAGCAAGTTGGAGCTTGTGAACTTTAAGAAGAGCATAGAAATTAGCACATTTTGAAATCGAAGGTGCTTAGCTTAGTGTAGTCGATACTATGCTTAGTGTAAAAGAGAACAAGAGCCTTTTATTTTATTCTTAATAGAAGTATAATAAGAAGGGGTATGGTCAGACTTTAAAATTGTGCAAGGGCAAGAAACTAAGGTATTCTCAGCATAATTATAGTAATCAGATTTTTTGAGAACACCAGTCTCTTCTCTTCTCTCTTCCTTATCCCCAAAGTTAGCAGGGCTAAACAATGTCCATGAAATTCATGACCCAGAGGAAGTCAACCACCAAAAGTGGGTTATTCAGAATGTCCCTTTTGTCCAGACCAAGACAGTCCAGGATATGTTGGGGAGAAGCCTGCATGTTGTGGCACCTGGGGCAGTTTGGGAAGATTTTAACACTACCCTCGAAAGAAAGGGACTTAAGGTGGCCACTGATAAGCCTGGTAAGTGCCGTCTGTTCCTTGCGATTGCACCGAATGTTGAGTGCACCTCCTGGACGGGTGCTCTGGTACCAGTGATGTTTGGGGGGCACGAGCCAGGAAACATTGTCTTCTTTTTTCTTTTTTGATGCCAGTTCCATGAAGGTGAGTGAACTTGGACTCATCAAAGTTTCTACTGTCCCCTCCTTAGCCAGCGTGTCGGCGATGTCATTGCCCAGAACCCCAACATGAGAAGGGATCCATTAGAGGTGGACTTCGCGTAATCGTGAGAGGATTTCAAGTTTGCGCAGGATTGAAGCTCCTGATTTGTCTCTCACCTTCCTCCAATGCGATAAGTACTGTATGAAACTGAGACTGTCAGAGAGTATCCAGATGTTATTACACCAGTCTTCCCACCTTTATCTGCTTTGGTAATGAAAATGTCAGAATGAGATTTGAGTTCATTCATAGCTTGTTTGTGAGGGTAGGTGAGATTAGATTTATTCAAGTGTTTATTTAAAGAAATAGTGTTAGAAATTAAATGTCATAGAGTATGAATTTGACCAGGAGAAACTTTACTCCACGCCAGATTTTTCAACAAAAAATAAGCACCTTTTAAGTACTTTTTAAGCACTCAAAAAATATTTTTAATCACTTTCCAAAAAAAAATCATAATTAGGATCTGTGCAGTAATAAAAATTATTTTTTCTATCGTCTAAAATTCTTAATTTATAAACATAAAATCAATAAAATTTAAAAACATTTTCAAAAATTTCACATAATTATGATAAAAATAACTAGATTCTGATAAATATTGCAGAGAAAATTGTGAAAATCATGCATTTTTTCTAATTTAGAACGTCAATCGACACGACAAAGAAAAAATCTCTTTTTTAAAGATAGAAAATTAAGCACTTTTTACAAACCCCGAATAAAAAAAGCACCTTTAAGGGCTTTTCAAATACGTAAATCAAAAATAAGCACTTTTAAAAAATGCTACACACCCCTTAAATGTTGAGTCTAATGGGGCAATAATATTGGAAACTGAAAATTTTGAAGTAACAATGAAAACAGGATTTAAATTTTGTTGCTACTTCAAAATTTGTGGTTTCCAATATTATTGCCTTATTAGACTCAAATTTAAGTGGAGTAAAGTTTCTCCTGGTCAAATTGATACTTTCTGACATTTAATTTTTAACATTTCTTAAAAATAAACACCTGAATAAATCTAATTTTCCCTACTCTCAAAAACAAGACAATTAATGAACTCAATTTTCATTACCAAAGCAGATAGTGGGGAGCAGACTTACTCAAAATGACAAAAATTCAATACAAATGAAAAAACTAAAGATAGCCTGTTTCCTGAAAAATGATGCAGTATTACATTTGTTTTGAAGTTTGTCAATTGCTAAAATCTTAAAAAATTGTTTGTAAAAACTGTATGACAGAACCACATTTGATTCCAGGGTTCCCACTCTTTTAACGAAGCAAAAAGTAAGCACTTTTAAGGACTTTTTTTGAAAAAATTAAGTACTCTTTTGAAAAATTAAGGACTTAAATAATATGATTGTTTATCATCGAAGATACATATACCACCAGTGACAGTGCTAATTATTTACCTTTAAAAAAATTCAATAAACAAAAAAAAAAATTCTAAAAAACAATTATATTATAATTAAAGCACTGATATAATTGTATTAATTAACAGAGCTTGCCAAAGAAGTACCAGACACTTTTTGCAAACCCGAGTTGTTTTTTTCCCCCAAGCATTTTCAGATTGTTAAATGTTGACGCCAGCTATGAAACTAATCTGTATTCCATTTATAATGATTTAATTGAAATATAATTGTAAAATTAAGCGCAGAAATTAAGATTTGCAATTTTTTTCATGTAAATTTTTAAAAAAAAGAGTAAATTAAGTAATTTGGCAAAAACGCTCAAAACATTATTACAACAAGTTTTTATATTTCGCTATGAAACCAGCAAATGTGTTATATTTACTTTTATGGTAAACTTTACACAAAATTATTTTCAGCCAAACCTGTTATTAGGAATTAACTTTACAATATGTTAATAAACATTCTGGCGAAAAACATGAACAAACTTTAAAGCAACCAAAAATTGAATAAAAATTAAAAACAGTATATTAAGTAGCAATGTTAACTGAATAAAATGATTACTAAAATCTAAGGATCTTTTAGTTGAGTAGTTTTAAATTTTTATGTAACAATCTAAAACTTTTAAAAGAAATTTTACATTGCCACAAAACAAATTATAAATAGTTACCAAATATTTAACTTTCTTGTTAGAAGCAAATCATGCTTTCTTATTTAGCACTCAGGAAAAAAAAATTAAAGTATTTTTTAAAAAACTTGAGGTTTTCGTCAAAAACCCTATAAACCCCAGGTTTTTGATGAAAAACCTAAGGTGGGCTGGGATTTTTCAAACCCTGTTTAATTTTTAGTAAAATCATGAATTTTAAAAAATGTTACTGCTTTCTATAAATTTACAGTTACTTATTACACATTGAAATATTGCTAAAATTTATTTTATTCTTCAAGATTTTAGGAAAGCTACATTATGGATTCTAGCTCAAGCATTTTTTCTGATACTTCTTTTCTTAGCGTTTTACTTAATTCTTATAAGCAGATAGATATGCGTTACCAGTATAACTGAATTTCCTTAATTCTGTCAATTTTGAAGTGTGGTTAATGTGGGTCTTCTATTTAGGTACCTTAAAGCTGCCCCCCCCCCTCCAAAAAAAAGCACCATCTCTTCCATGTATTCCCCTTGTCCACACTATTCTTTAATTTTAGAATGCTCACTACTCTTTTATTTCAGAATATATTAATGAAAGAACCAATAAATTAATGAGAGGACATGCTTTCTTCCTTTTGCCTGTACCCCCCTCCACACACATTAATTTTTGCCTCTCTAAAATGCTTTACCCACGATGCATGGTCTAATTCTAAGTGATAATGACATGTTTTAAAAAATTGAACTGAAAAATTGTTCTGATCAACTATAGTGATGCTGAAAAATTAAAGACTCTTAAAAACCTTGTACCAAAATTAAGTACTTTTAAAGGCCATTATTATCCAAAATAAAATTAATCAGTTTTTAAGGACCGTGGGAACCCTCAATTCAGTTAAATTGAATAAAAAAATATAAACAAAATTAATAAAAATACAGTCACAGGAAGGAGATTTTCTACAAGAAAATTAAAAAAAATGGAAAGCCTAAATGATTAATTGCATTTCAATAAGTGAACAAAAATGTGTAGAACTATAGATGATGTCTTATGAAAAATTAAATTTACTGGTATGACAGAAGAATTTTAAAAATCGCAGAAGGTTTTGTTACATTAAACATTTTTATTAAAAGTGATATATAAAGCTTTTATTATAAAAAATATTGCATAAGCTGTTTTTTATTGTGAAAATTACTCAATAAAGTCCCCCAAAAATTATAATTCCAGGCGCATTAAAACCTTAAAATGGCCCTGCATTATGTAACATATTGTAGCGATTTCTTAATTTAAAAGTGTTTTAGTACAGCATTAAAACAGGCATTATTTTCTCTTTTTTAGAATGTATATTTTGGAATAATAAAGTAAACCTTTTGTAAAATCGATTTTTCAAATTGATCAGTTAAGAATGAATAAATAATATATTAAAATAAATATAATACAAAATATGAATTCTTGTAAAATAGTGAAGTACTACATTACAAAGTACTATAATCAATAGCTTTTAAATAAGAAAATAAAGCAATATCAAAAGAAATTTTATGGAATTTAAAGTTCAAAATTATTTTAAAATTGAAGTGAAAAAATAAAAACTTTAGTAATACCATTAATTCATATTTTTTCAAATGATAAATTTTTCAAATATAAATAGTTTTCAAAAAATGGATTTAACTTCATTGACCTGTTTTAGTTTAGAAAGATTTCATCTCATATGCTGTAGCAGGATGATTTGACAACAAAAATTTTATATTCATATGCGCCGTAAATCTATATTATTATAAATATATTTAAAAATATTTTTAAAAAACAGTATTGAGATATTTCCTTAGATACCAAGATACAATTTTACAGCAACAAAATTTTGCACTAAATAGCAATTAAATTAGAAACAAAACATCAAATGCATCATGCTATGAAGGCAGCAGCGGTTAATTTTTTAGAAAATATAATAGAAACATACCTTAGATGGATAAGAGCTAGCACCAAAAAAATAACCATTCGAATTTACATGAAAAATAGAAAGATTGTCATTAATAAAGCGGGCAGAGTTAATTTCGACAGCAGCTCTTTTATTTCTGGATTGCTCTTGTAAAAAGATTCCTGGAAAAAAATAATAAATATGATAAATGGTTGACATTATATTAAACCTCCTCAACAATATATAAGAAACAAGGTAAAGAAATGCTATACCACATGTTATATATAAAAAAAGAATAAAATAAAAATATATTTTTAAAATTAGCCACAATAAATACAGATAAGTCAGAGTGTTGAATTAAATAAATGACTGAAACTCCACGGCAGCAACCAACTCCTTTTACAATGCATAGAAGTGAATACCATTCTTACAAGGAAATGGCACTAAGTGTAACATAAAAAGTTTGATATTGATTAAAGCTTTTTTTAAACAGATTTTCATTCATTGAATTTGATGTTACTTGTTTCAAAACCACTTGAATAGTTAAGTTATTCTCCAAAAAAAACATTTTAAGCTGCACAATAGGAAGTAAAAGACTGTAGAAATCATTTTGTTCTTATGATGCAAATGGGAAAACACACATATCTTTTGCTCAAAGAGTGTTGAATTCAAACTCTGCGTCCGGCAGAAATTCAATTTTTTTTCGATCAATTTCTGTCAATTCTTTTATTTCAATTGGGAATCAAAATTGAAAATTGAGGCTATCCCAGAAGGAACTACAAGATGTTTACTTTATTTCACAAATGAAAATAATCATGTATAAAACTCATGAAAAAATAAAACAAGACAACAACTGATACAAAAAGATAATTTGTTTGTTAAGTAATTTTATTTGTGTTTAACCAGTTTTCATAAAAAATATTGAGAAACATAAGATCAAATGTGCATTTAACAAACTCGGATATGATAACTACCCAGATTATTTTTAAAATGCTGTTCAAATATTTTTTTTTTCAAATCCAAACTCCGAAAAATTAAGTCCAGACAATTATTCAAGTTCTGAAAAACTAGATAATTGTCATAAAAGTGCTAGCAAAGAATTCGTAAAATATGCTCAATATCATGAATTAAATATTTTTCCTTATCGTGTATTGGCTGCTACTCTAAACACACATGAAGTGTCAAAATATTGGCTATTTAAAAAAACATGAATGCATATATTGAAAAAATATAACTAAAAAAAACTAACTAAAAATATTCAGAGAATTTGAGAAAAACTTAAAAAAACAACAACAAAGTAATTTTGAACATTAGTTTTGAGCAAATAGCTTCTTGAAAGATAGATACGTGTGCTTTGTCATTGGATTACCAAGAGAGTAGAATAGCTCCATTTTTTTCTTCAGTTACATGCAGCTAGATTTATGAATAAAAAAAGTTATGGACATTAAGAACATATGAGCCACCTTATCTAAAACTAGGCTATTTTGTTGAATTGAGTCAAATTTGAAAATAGCCCCCTCATTGTGGTTTTGAAATAAAAAATATTTTCTCCACAAGTAGTTTTTTGTAAAAAAAAATTATTAAACTTTGTGACATGACAGCAACAATCATTGATCCATTTTAAATGGAATAAGTCAAATGATGCAGAGAAGTTATAACAATGAAACATAAATGATTTAATATTGGTAATGCATAGAAATATTTTAACAAAATCAACAATTAAAAAACGAGCCAAATGTAATCAAAAATAGATCTAGTTTTAGCAAATCCTTTTTTCTAATTTGTAAGCTAACTTTGACACCTTCCTTGCATATTCTAAATAAAATAATTACTACAATATGAGACATTACTTATTATAATAATGATGTTCTTTTAACTGAGAAATTAAAGTGGAAAAAATGTCTTTCAAGAATGAACACACTGAAACATTGAATCTGAGAATTCTGAAATTGTAATAATAATTGAAATTTTATTTCATATTGTAAATAGGCAGAGGGAATACAAAATGTTAAAAGCCCATTTGTTTTAAGTATTATTGTGTTCAGCATTCTTCAAGTAAAAAATTACAGAAAATAAATATGTACTTAAATACAAAAATTTTTCTTAACTTTAAGCCGTTTTTGGTTTTGAAATTATAAATATGTCACACAAGAAAAGATTCCCTAATGTCATTAAAAATAAGTTGTTCCTTAAGTTAACATCTTTTACTTTATTAACAGTAATTTTCTGTAGAAAAGTTGCACTGTTGTACACACATCACTTGTGAAAAACATCACCAAGAACAAATAAAAGTGGAAGCCTAGACATAACTAAAGAATGTATTTTTACAGTTTTGTGTAAATTTTAATTTTGATATGCTTGCTTCTTTACTGTTTAAGTTACTTTGCTCAATGATTCTTAAAGCTACCATAACTTTGCAAAGAGAATTTATGTTAAGTCAGTTATTTATTTTTCTTTTGTTAGAAACAAATATTCTTTAAGGTTTTACTTTAGATTGTTAGGTTTGATTAGTCTCAGCCAAACTAAGTAAACTTTAACTTTCAAAGACATGTACTATGTATACATTAATTAATTAATAATTATTGATTTGATCAGAATAGAGAAAAAAATTACTAAATTTTAGAGATTTTTGGACAATTTTCACCTGAAAACATAACATAGGGGGAAAACGACATGGCAGCATTAAAAATTACTAAATTTTAGAGATTTGTGGACAATTTTGACCTGAAAACATAAGATAGAGGAAAATCTTAAAACATCTACAAAAAAATAAGAAAAGTTTATAATAAGCCTATTTTCCTCAGAAAAATGTGCAGAACTAATTAAATAATTTAAAACAATTAATTGGTAGAACTAAATAACCTAAAAACAACATATCAATACCTTTATTGTCTGTTCCATGATTTTTGTCCTCCATGATCAAAGAATTGTTTCCCTTAAAAAGAAAACATATAAAAACTTAATAGTAGAAATAACTATTTATCTTAAAATGCTAAATCCGCAGTAAAATTTTGAGGACACATATTACAGAGAAGAAAAAAAGAAATATTAGAATTTAATTGAAAATTGCATTGATTGGATTTATTTACAGTGATGGAATGTAGCTAATACTCAGCAGTTTATGAAATGTCAAAAGTTTTCAGAACTTACTTCTAAAATGTCCTGAATTTGAAACCAACTATTAAAAACATAGAAATTAAATCTATACCTTGAAATTGCATTTACAGTAGAACTCCATATCAGCGATGTTTGCAGGATTGGTCAGAAATGTCATTAAATTATTTTTTTATATATTATATAGAAACTAAAATAAATATATACTGATATGTGATGCAATTTTTTTTCATTTTAATAAAGAAGCAAAAGCTTACACATTTACAAAACTTTGACTTAAAAAATTGAGAAATTTTAGCTTGCTTAGTTTTTTAATTTTAAAGATGCCGATGAGTCTAATCTTAACAAAACAAAATTGATCAAGCAGGTGCTACTGGTTGTTACTAGAAACTTTGTGACCTTTGACCTCTTTGCTCCCCCATTGTGGCTAGACTTTAGAGGAGGGTCAGAGGGAACAAAAACGATGTGAAAAAGGGAAACGATAAAATCAAATTTTATTACAAACCATTCAATAATAATTTTTTCCTAAAAAGCTAAGATTCAAAGTAAAATTTATATCAATTTCATTTTTTTTTAATTTCAGATTCAAAACAAAACTAATATTACTTTCTTTTTCTTCTTTTAATCCGTTTTTATCTATCCATATTTAAAAGGGCACCAACCAAAAACTACTGCAAAGAATCAATCTAACTTTTTCACAAGCAAGCAGTGTTATATCAGCTCTCAAAATATTTAATGATTATACGGCTTAAGTGTGAAAATATAATCAAGTCCTCTATTAGGAAAAAACTAAATTACTTTACAAACAATCCAATACCCAATACACACTTCTTCACGTAAAATATTATATGATCCCAGTTTATCACTTGGATGGTTCTCTTGTTTTAAACAATTATTTTTAAAATATAAATACAGTTCCTTATCTGACATAAAATCATGTATGACAAAACACAACTATTTAATACATTTGAATATATTTTCATTAAAATAAACAAAGAGCAACTGAAATAGACAAACTAAGCTATACAAACCTGAAAGTTTGAAGACATATTAGCAATGCTGCTAAATTTGTGCAACTCAGTCGGTGAGGGATTGTATAAACTCAGTTTACAGTCAGGAGGAACATTAAGCTTAAAAATAAATAAATAAAAACGTTAAAAGCTATTAAAATAAATCAATCATGGAAGAATAACAGGCACAGTTCAACTAACCTTTTCATCAAAAGTAACAAACGATGCATTCACATCCTGAAATGATGCAAAAATTTATTATACTTTAGCATATTATAAAAAAAATAATAAGTACAGAATTGAAAATAAGACAATAGAACTTCTAAATAACTCTTTTATTTAATGACTAGATTTTTGCATGCTAACATCTTAGAAAAAGATAAAATCACCAAATTTTATCTCACCAGTGAGATAAGACTGGAAGCATATGTTAACTTTACAGAAAATTTAGAAATGCTAGAATTTCAGTGAAAAAATAGCAGACCTTTTTATTTCATATTACAATTTTGTGCAAATTTCACATGTGAGGTAATTATCTTCTTCCCTCTCTCCACTGCAGTGTTCGTAGGACCAGCAAAAATACTTTCCACATTTAATCCTTCTTTCTTTTTGAGTTAGAGAATAGATCATTACTATATAATAAACAATCAACATTTGGTGGGGTTTTAAAGTCGTCATTGGAAGAAACATCAATCAAGGATTAAGGCGTTTCTGATAAAAACTGTTTTGTTATATTGATTCTTCATGCACTTTTCTTTTTGGTCATTTTGTTTTGAAGCTTTCCCTTTTCTAGTCACTGGAAAATAACTTTCATTTCCTTGAAAGCAATTCGTGTCATGTTTTTTTTTCTTCATCTTTTTTTCTCCTGATATTTTAAATAGGCTTTACATTGTAATAGTAGTACTGAATCATACCCAATCTGTACCAGATCTTACCCAGAGGGCAAAGATTATCGAAACAAAACAGAATCATGCTACTACCGTACTAAATCTTCATTGGTTGCTAGGGTATGAATATTTAGTAAATGTATGATAATCTGCATTAAAAAGATTTTTAAAACTGAAATGAATAATAAATAAGGGTAGTTTAAAAAAAACTAAAGAACATTAGAGAGTTGACACAGTAAAACAAACTTTTCCACACAGATATTTAAATCAGGGATGAGAGAAGTTGGAAAGTAAAAAAGAGGAAGTTCAAGAATGAATATATATATATATATATAGGAAAAAGTGTAATTTTTGAACTTGTAAACCATGTGATTATAAATCTCGATGATTAATTTTAAAATTGCATGAATATATAAACATGAATCACAAGTATGATTTTAAATTAAGAGAATATGAATCACATGCATGATTTGAAATTAAGAGAATATGAATCACATGCATGATTTGAAATTAAGAGAATATGAATCCCGAAATGAGGCTTCTAAATCACATGAATATGAAACTCTATATCGGATTTAAAAAATGCGAAAATACAAATCATGATGCGTAATTTTTAGATCACGTAAATACGAATCACGATACATAATTCTTAAATAGCGCGAATACGAATCCCACTGTCTAATTTTTAAAGCACGCATAAATAGGAAAATCGATGTTTGATATTACAATCACAAAAACGAATCACGACATTGGATTTCAAGCTCGCGTGAATACGAATCGCTATACAGGGCTTTAAAAGTGCATAATTACAAATCGCGATATTGGATTTCAAGCTCGCATGAATACGAATCGCTATACAGGGCTTTAAAAGTGCGTATTTACAAATCGCGATAATGGATTTTTAAATCTCGTAAATAAGAATCGCAATGTACGATATTTAAATCGCCAGATTAAGAATCGCAACATTCAACTTTTAAATCAGGTAAATACGAAAATCAATGTTTGAGGGAGGAATGAGGACTTCAATACTTTCGCTTCGAGGAAAATTTAATTCCTCATAAAATATTTTAACTTGTGCAAAAAAAAATTTCAGCGGAAATTAGCGGGAAAAATGGAAAAATCTGAAAAAAAGCGGAAATCCGCGAATC